TCTACAGTTGTTCCACTCTCAGACTCCTGCCTTTGAAAGGCCACAGGTTCCCCACCTCTGCTGTATACATTTTAGATGGGAAAGGATGAAGAGCTTCTAAAAGAAATGGTCTGGCTTTTCAAGCAAGTCTCAGACATAGTTGTTCTCTTTCTGCAAAGTAGGCAGCATTCTCCTCTATGTTTATTAGATGGTTCCTTAAGCAACTATTGTCTTTTGGATGACTGCAGTTCTATTTGTGCATGTATATCATATGTGTCATGATGTATTAGAAATGTGTGTGGGGTAAAATACAATCACTGTTGTTTATGAGAACACAGTATGTGGTGTAGGTTGGGCTTTTTCCTCATTGTCTTCTGTTCAAATGGATCTGTTTATACACAGTGCTTCCAAAGCACTGCTGAAGAAGGAAACCAAATGAACCAACCTGCTGTTATCCAGATCTGATACTCAGTTGACAATAAGTATTAGAGAAGAAGGGGGTGGTATGATGTGATATCATAACTTGTTCTCATTTGTCAGGTGCTCCACGAATCACCCCCTCCAGTGCAGAAGAACAGGCCTTCCTTAGTTGCTTCTTGTAACATGGAGGGGGGACTTTTAAAATCCTCCTCTCAGCATATAGATTTAGATGTGGCAAATAGAACCTTAAAAACACAGTCTCTGTGTTGGCTTTTCCCATTAGTTTCAACTCTGCTTAACAATATTTATTTTATGACATTTATATCCCACTCTTCCTATCAGTGAGCAAAAGGTAACATGCATGGTTTTCCTCCCTATTTGAGCATCACAACAACTGTGTGAGGTGAGGTAGGTTAGGTTGAGAACTCGTGACTGAACCTAAGTCATCCAGTGAGCTTCAGATTTGAACCTGACCTGAGATTTGAATGTGGTATTTGAACCAAAAAGGCTTACCCATGCTTAATGTAGTTTTGAGCACATATTTCTGGATAAAACTGTAGCTGAGCCTAAGCACTTGCAACTGAAGCAACTGCTTATTCTTTCCCTGCTTACTGCCATCTTCAATCTGCTGTTACTTTTGAGTTGAATTTTATCTTGTAAGCTCTTTGGGACAAGGACCTGACCTCTTGTAATCTGTAAAGCGGCATATACAGTGGTACCTTGGGTGTCACACTTAATCTGTTCCGGTAGTCCGTTTGACTCCTGGAATGGTTCGAAAACCAAGGCGCGGCTTCTGATTAGCTGCAGGAGCTTCCTGCACTCAATCGGAAACCATGAAAGCCACGTTGGACATTCCGCTTCAGAAAAATGTTCACAAATCAGAACACTCACTTCTAGGTTTACGGGGTTTGGGATCCGATTTGTTCAGGAGCCGAGCCGTTTGACAACCAAGGTACCACTGTACATTGATTGTGTTATAAATTGAGGATTTCATGGTAATGCCAGCAGTGTTCTGGAGTGATGCTATGTAGGGCATTGTGGGAAATGTGTTAATAATGGCTTATTGCCTCCTGATGTGTGGTGGGGGTGGGGTTGGGGTGGTGGGGACATTTGTCAGTGCTGGGAGGAAGGTTGACTGGGTGCTAGGGCCCAGCAGCTGACTGAGGTTGCTGTGTGCTAATGCTGGCCCTGAATGCTAGTTCTGATTTCTAAGAACTTAAATACAGTGACAATTGTACTTTGCAAAGGAAATACTGGGTCCTGATAAACGTTAAGGGTTAGGCTATAAATAACATTCTATAGGTGGAGACAAATAGGTATGAATGAATGGATGTTGAAGTATACCTCCTCAAGTATGAAGTAATCTAGGATGACTTCTAGACTCAAACAAGACTTTTAGAAGTCACATTGTTAAATTCCTGGTGTGGGACAGGGGTTTCATAAACCTCTAGCCAGTGTTATCACACATGAATTGTTGATATATACTCACCATCAGTTATAGTAGAGAGGTTTATATCTAGGGACTGTTGTGTTTGCCTGTGTGTGTACTGGTAATAAAACAAGATTTATTTTTAATTGGCCATTAAAGCTAGATGGGTTTTTAAAATTCAGAATATCTCACTGGTCTGATCTTGGTTCCATGATGAAATGTTCTGTGTTTACCATACTATAAAATGACAAGAGTTGCCTCTTCTCCCTGTTCTTGTTCATTCTAAGTTCAGCATCACTAGAACTAGATGTTGGATTACTCACTTTTGCATTTATATTATTCTACATTATTATGAATGTGCAGAGGTCACAAAACAAGCACACTGAAGCTTAAAACCCGAATCATACACTTGGCAGTGTCTGTACTCATACTTTTCAAGCTTCTTCAGTTTGCATTCCCCTTTTGAGCCCCTGCAGGTTGAGAATTATATTACAGGAACTGAATGTGCCGCATGCTCCGCTCCATCTGACTCTACTTAGATCCAGTTCATATTTTGCATTTCACCGGCTAGGACTGGTAAAATAATAGATTTCCTTGACTCAGATTCAGTCCACTTTCTTGTCTTTTAATATGCAGCTCAAAGTTTTGGAACTCACTGTAAAATTATAATCAGACATTAGCGCCAAGGTTTAGCAACCTGCTGAGTCCTTAACATGTTACATTTCTGAGAACCATGTTGTTAACTTTAATGAAGAGTATGTTCACATTTAAAATCCATGCCACTCTTTGAGCGTTGCAGCTTGTGTTCAGCAAATGCTCAAACTCCACATCAGTTTTTGCTATAACATTTTCTCTTCATGTTCCCGAGTACCATTCTGTCAGTACTGGGAGTGGGGGAGAGTAGGAAGGTTGATAGATATTGGTGGTACCGAATAACAATTTCAGCACAATTATTGCAGCTTTTGTTATACAATCAGGAATTCAACGTAATCTATTTTATTTGGAAATTATTTTGATCTCTCCTAGTACTCTAAGAACTGTATTAGGATATTTTATAGGAGATGATGCACAAAAAGTAGGTAACAGCATACATCTAAGGCATTGCATATTTATAATGTAGCTTCAAAACTACTTACAGTAGTATCCACTTGGCTTATTCTGCAAAGTAACCCAACCCTCTTTTGACTCCATTCCACAGCTTGTAACTCACTCTATTAATTATAAATAATAGATGGATCTCCTGTTCTTGGTCCTGTGGTATATCAGAATGCTGTGCATTTTAGTCAGTATTTGTCTTATATTTTCTTTCCTTTCCTCCTCTGTTGTTGCTTTCAACCTTGGAAGCATTTATTGTTGAAATGTTATCCTGTTCCTGAAGATCACTCCATGCCATGTTTGCAGACTGCTTAGGGGCCAGGGATAATGATAAGGGGTATGTGTGTGTATGTGCACTGCATGAGGGAGACAGCGTGTCCCAATCCTGTTTCCATGTCAACGATTCAGTCCACATTTGCCATCACACAGTTGGCAGAACAGGTTTTTTTTATGAGAGAAACCCTATTCCCCTCTTTTTTAGCATCCTAATCTATACCAGGTTTCCTAAACTGCCTTGGTACTATGTTAAATGGCAGGACTACTTTCATGAAACTCCACTTAATAGCAGCCAACCTAGTGGTGGTGGTCTGTACTGCCATCTGGGAGACTTAAGTTAGCTGAACCATGATAGCAAAGCAAGTAGGAACTGGCACTGCTGTGGAGGCCATGTGCTCAGTAAATAACAAGAAGACAAGGGGGGGAAAGTGCACCATGTTTGTGACCAACTGTCCTGCTAAGAAAGGAGGAGCTGGCTCCCTGTGGTCTCTGCCTTCTGCCTTCGTCCTTAAGCTTCTAGTTATGTTATGTTATTTTTTAAAATTTTTTTATTAAAATAGGCATAAGCTGTCATTCATCAGCACTGTTTGCAGCAATATAAAATAATAAGCACAAAGTTAAAATACAACACAAAATAGGGCATTGCTGAGGGGTAAAAAAAAACCTTTCCATGCCTAAGGCCCCAGAGTCAATCCCTAGCGCCTTCAATCCCTTTCTGAGACCTGAAGAGCTGCTGCCAGTCAATGTCATTGGTCTCCAACTGGAGGATCAGGCCCTATTACTGGGTCACAGCCTGATTTAAGGTATGTCACAGCAGAAGCACAATGTTGTTGTTGAGATATAAGAAATGGGTACCAAAATACATTCTACATCCAAAGAGGTAGAAGGCCACTGGTGTAGACAGTGTTGCACTCAATGGCCCAATGATCTAGCATAGTATAAGAAACCTTCCTATCTTCCTTTCCCCTCAAAAAAGGACAATGTGGTATAGTGGTTAGAATGTCGGGCTAGGACATAGACAAAGAGATTGAGGTTCTCCACTCAGCTATGAAACTGACTGGATGACCTTGAGCCAGTCACTATCTTTTAGATCTGATTGCGCTGAACTTGTCATGAATTAAATCTTCACATGCAGTATTATAGACCTCATTAAAGTGGGAAGTGATGCCATGCTAAATTATGATCTGCAGTCATGAGTTCACACAATTTGACTTCTAGACTTAGCCTACCATCCATACCCTTCTCTTTGCTCTATGCAAATTCAGTTGATGACAGCCCTCTCTCATTCCACTTTTCTGGCTTTTGGCATACCTTCCCCTAAGAACAAAACAAAACTCCTTCCCTCACACTATCTCCTTGAAATCAACTACTGTATATTTAAAGGGGTTTCCAAGATTTGAAAAAGCTCCCAGTTTGTATTTCTGTCTTTTATCAGCTTGCTTCTGTCCTATTGCTTTTGATCAAATCTTCACCTTGATCCATGTTGCCGACACTGTGATTCTAAGTCCACTCTTGGAAGCAAATACAACTGAACTGAATTTATTGTCAAGTAAATGTTTTAAGCCTTCTAAGCAGACGCCGTGCTACTATGTGTTCTTGTACCAGAATCTAGCTTTCTGCTGAAACAAAATACATATTCAGTAGTAACAGCAGACATAATAGTACTCATTCTGTAAGAAGATTATTAGGTTTGGGGAAGAGGATTGGTTGAATGAAATAAATGGTCACAGAATCATAGAACTGGTGAGTTGGAAGGGATCCTGAGGGTCATCTAGTTCAACCCCCTGCAATGCAGGAATCCTGCCAACGGGGGGGGCTTGAACCCCCAATCTTCTGGTTAACAGCCAAATGCACTGACCCATTGTGCCACAGAGAACCATTTTTCAAATCCCAGTGTTTGGAATAAATAGAATGCTTCAGTATTTTTACTTTTCAAATCAAGGGTTGCATTTTCCTAGATTTGTACGGAACTCAACATACTGAGTGGCTGATGCTGACTGGCATCTTTGTGAGCACAAATGTTTGAACGTAGTCATAACTGTTTCATTTTTAAAATCCCATTTCTATAATTTTATTTATTTATTTTACTTATTTTGTAGAATCTGCCTTTATAGCAAAAGGTCTGTGCTGTCTTACAGCTTGCAATGTGGAGTCAGAATCACTACATATTGACCTTTGATGACTTACATCCCAGTTTTCTGCTATGGATGGAACTCCCTATGGGATCTATTCTATTATGCAGATATACCAGATGTAGCACATATGGTTTAAATGTTTTGTTCTGAATTTTATGTTATTCCCCCTGTGGAACTTTGAACATGCCATAAATGTACGAAAACAGCATATTTACACATTATTTTCTTTCTTATATTTATAACCAGCTTTTCAGCCAAGATTGGCTCTCAAAGCAGCTCACAACAATGATCATCCATCACGAAGATACCATGGGAGATAGTAAGTATGCATGAGTATGTGTATATCTTGCAGACTCTTTAGATCACTGCTACAGTGTAATTATTAGATAGATGATGCCCTTAAAAGAGCAAAGCTACTTTAGAACAGTAGCTTGATCTTGTGGTGTTAGTATTGTCACCGAATTAGAGAAATCTTACAGCACAATCCTATCCATGCCCACTTAGAAGCAAGTCCTATTGAATTTAATGGGGCTTGCTCCCAGGTAAGTGTGGTTAGGATTGCAGCCTCTGAGTAGACCATGGTTAGGATTGTGCTGTTGAGTAATGATAAGAGTCGTAATCTAGCTTTTAAATCTACCTAAATTTGTATATGAATAAAACAATGGTTTTGAAGAGAAATATGTTATGCTCATGAATGCATATGAAAGGGGTGTTCCATTCCTGTGTGAGAGTGATTAATGGTGGGTGCCTTTCTAGCCAAAGCAGGTAATTACTTAATGTATCTGAGTAAAGGTTGCAGTCCTAATTAAAAATGAGCAGTGGGTTGTCCAAATGGAACATAGGAAGCTGTCTTATACCATGTAAAACTATTGGTCCATCTCATTCAGTATTGTCTTAACTGATTAGCAGTATCATTCCAGGGCAGGCACAGGCAAACTCAGCCATCCAGATGTTTTGGGACTACAACTCCCATCATCCCTAGCTAACAGGACCAGTGGTCAGGGACGATGGGAGTTGTAGTTCCAAAACATCTGGAGGGCCAAGTTTGCCTGTGTCTGTTCCAGGGTTTCAAACTGGAGTGTTCCCAGCCCTACACCAGGAAATGCCAGGGATTGAACCCAGGAACTTTTCAATGTAAAACACGTGCTTCAGCGTTGATCTATGGCTCAGTAATTAGAAAAAAGCCATTGGCTATACATCTAGGAAACACCTAGGTTTTTGTGGAACATCTATCCTGTGCATGTCCATGTTGGAAAGCATGTATTGGAAATTCATTACTGAAGAAGCATGTCTATCAGGGAAGCATTTGTCAACTGGAAGATCTTGGGGTGGGGAGGGGAAGGGAAGGGAAGGGAAGGGAAGGGAGGTGCTATCTATTCTGTCCAAAATATCTGAAAATGAGAAAGAGCTGTAGTTAGATGTATTTTGAGAGAACGGTTGGAATACCACTTCATATTTTTACATACTAGAAGCTTAAGTGAAGTAAGTGCAGTTTTTCAGTTACTCTAATGTTAGGGTAACAGGGAAATTGTAAAAAAAATTGTAGTTGCTGAAACTCAAAAAGAAGAAAGGTAACTACAAAATACAGGGGTACTTCCAGTTGTTTACGGGATCTGTTCTGGAACTCTGGTCGGATCCTGAGGTTTCCACAACTGGAGGGAACGCTTCTGCACATGCGTACATGGCGGTAGAGTGCTTCTGCACGTGCGCATGCAACAAAAACCTGGAAATATACTTCTGGGTTTGCCACCTACGTATCCTGAAGTTTATGTTACCAGAGGGATATGTAAGCTGAGGTACGACTGTACTGGTGCTGGGTATAGGGGGTGCTAGGAGTTCCATCTCCCTCAATATTTTGAATCAGGGGGCCCAGACCCCCAATATTGAGGGAGTCGACATCCCCTGCTGCCGCCAGGTGCCCTCCACACACCCCAGCCCCCACCCTGGAGCTGGGAGGGGGCTAGGATGAGCAAAGGCAAAGATCACCCTCCGCGTGTCTTGCCCCTGCAGGGAGCCCAGCGCTGCAATCCTCCTCTCCTCCTGATGCCACATCGCGGAGGCAGGACACCTGTGCAGCCTGGTGCGTAATCGCTCATGCGCTGGGTGGGATGCATCAAATGATGCCCCCCCAATGTGGGGGGCAAGTCAGTGCCCCTGCTACAAAATATTGCCTTGCATTATGAATGCTTGATAGACATATATTTTATGAATCAAACTACACTATGGTCTCATTTGCATATCACAGTAAGCCAAGCTATGACTTACCAGAACTACCGGGTACATGAGTGTGTCGAACATGAGAGTGGAACCTGTAGCCAGCCACAATGGCTAACCCAATACCTATGGAAAGCATGCAAGCAACAGCACTCCCCCCACTTTTGATTCCCATCAACTAGTGGTAGACCATACCCATCATGGCTAGTAGGCATTGATAGCCTTATCCTCCATGAATTTGTCTAGTGTTTTTTTCAAGCCATCACATTGATGGCTATCATTACAAGTTGGAAAAGAACACTATAAGTCCTGCCTCCAGCCCCATGCCTGTGGCATTTTGTAGCATTTATTTTTTCATGCATCTGTTTTGTTTAGTGGATGAGCACTCACCTGCTGTCCCACTCAGGCATGAGTGTTTTCATGGTAAGTGTTAAAAACAAAAACCACGCAAAACACTAGCAAGTATTCTTCCATGTCCTCCTCCCCTAAGCCAATGCCTCATTCGTTTGTGAACTTTTTCTTTGTTGTTGTTGTTCTTGGAGGTTATGAACTCCTGTTCCTGCATGGAAGGAAGGGGTGGAAGTAGCAGCCTTGGTTGAACCTAAAATGATGGGGCCAATAATGTGATGTGACCACAAGGCAAATGAAAATTCATGATAGTGTTGTGCACATATAGGGAAGTCTTAAGGACTTCTTTGAGCTGTGTCCAATTCTGGTCTACTAAAACTGAAGTGAAGAATTCACCCAGTGTGGTTATTGGCTTATTAGCTTAAAAAGGAAGAGTGAGTTTGGATGAAAGTTCCTAGGTTCAAGAATAAACATATAGTTGGAATTATTATACCCAATGTGTGGCTGATAAACCCAACTATGAATAAAGACAGTAAATACTGAAGTAGACTACAACTCTCCAAAAAGGTACAGCAAAAACTAAGTAGTAGTCTTCTAGTAAATAATTGTACTATCTTCCTGAATCAACCATGGGATAAAAAACCTAAGCTTTAACTTGAACTGGTTAACTGCATGAAGGGTGCTGTGTAATACTTTAGTGTTTCAAGATTGTTTACTGTTCTTCATATGAAGTCATAACTGGAGATATCTAACTCCAATTAATGTGGGTTAACTTGAAGAGGTTATTGGGTGAGTGGATTTGTAGAGCGCTGAGAAGACTTGGTGTATGGATTTCTGCTTTCCTGTCAAGTTTTATTGTGGTTTCTGTAGTAAGGAATTTCACCTGTCAGCTTGGCTGGTTAGCCTGTTGTCATGTGGTACACTTTGGTCTTTCCTTTTATGGCCCTTGTATGCTTACCTGACCTATCTGAATTTGTTTTTACTACACATATTGCTCTGGTGAGGTGTACCTTGCATACTTCTGCTGTTGGCCTAATATAATCTGGATGATGAAGGCACCTAGTAGATGTTTAGATTTACCAGATCTTGTTTTGAGCAGTAGGGTACACACCTTGTACTCAACAAGAGACTAGCTTTGAACCTTGTACACTACATCTGGCACTGCGAATGCAGCATGGCATCAGAGCTCTGCACCCTGCAATCCATTGCAACATGGCAGGGGTTTGGGTGCACACTTCTGGTCTCACATGTTGTTACAGTACTGATGAAAGCTTATGGATAGAGGATGCTCCTGAATTCCCTGCAACCCTAAACAGTAATTCATAGAGAATTTAGTTCACTAGTTTTGCTTGAACAAAGTAACTAACCATTGTCATAGAATGGCTAGTGGGATAATGGATTTTGCTGCAATGGATTTCTTGCAACACAACTCTTAAGAATGTTTATGCAGAAGTAAGTCCCCCAGAGTTAAGTGGGATTTAGCCCAATTAAGTATCCTTGGAACTGCGTGTTTGATGTCTGGACTGCATGAAGTGTGAAAATGCATAAAATTGTCCTGGTTAAAAAGTATTAAACTGAACAGCCTACATTATTGGTAATAACAGTTGGAGTGGTGTGAATTTTCCACGATTGCTCTTGGGATATCCCCCTTGAAGTTTTGATCTATTCTAGTTGCCCTTCTACCAGTCCCTCTATGCGGTGCCTCGTTAATCCCTTCTGCCCTTAAAGGCACGAGTCCTGGCCTTTCTTGGTTGCGGGAGTCTTTGTGCCCTGAGCAAATGAGAGGAAGCACCGGAGCATTCGCTTGCGAGGCTTCTGAGAACTGGCGGGAATGGGGCTTTGCGAGCAGTTCTGTTCACCTAGCTTCCTCCAACCCGCCTTGTGTTTTGTCAGCAGAGAAGCTTCCTTTTGTGGCTCAGAGGCTGAGCTCGGCTCCCTTTGCCGCCGATCCGTGGCGGATTTTGCGAGCGGCAGGCTGCTGTTAGCTTCAAGCTTCAGCCTTGCTGAGTTGAAAGCGTCCAGGGCCTGGCAGCTCCTCCTTTGTGAGGGGGGAGGGGAAGAAAGCTCCAGTCCGGGCCATATTCCAGTCCGGGTTTGGCAGGCTGCCGCGGCGCTGGGTAAAATGGCAGTGCTGAGCCTCGTGTCGGAGTGAGCAGGACTCGGCGGACGAGAGTCGGAAGCTGCCGCCACTCGGCTCGCCTAGTCTAGCCTCTCCGGCCGCACCGCCCGGCTCCGAGAACGGGGGTCCGTCCGATCCTCCCTCGCCCGCCGTGTCCCCCTTCCCTTCCTCCTCTCCCACACCGGGAGCCCCGTCCTGCCCCCCTCCCCCTTTCCTCCTCCTCCCCCTTTCTCCGCCGGCTGCAACTAAGCGAGGAGGCACAGTGGGGCCAGGCCCCTCGCACCCGCGTCCAGCCCGCCGGAGCTCGCCGCGCCTCGCTCGCTCGCCGCGCCGGGGGAGGAATGAGACCCCGTTGTCCCGAGGATCCCACCGCCGCCTGAGCGCGGAGGAGGAGGAGAGGAGCGGTGAGGCCTTGTGCCGGCCGGCCGGCCAAGCAGGGAGTAGGTCGGGGGAGGCGGAGGCGGGGGAGGGGGGCTGGCTGGGTGGGGAGGGGGGATCATGGCCGCTCAGGTGGCCCCCGCCGCCGCGAGCAGCTTGGGTGCCCCGGCTCCATCCGAGCTGAAGAAAGCGGAGGTGCAGCAGCGGGATTGTTCGTCGGAGGAGGCGGGGGGCGAGGCGGCGGCGGCGGCAGAGCGCGGCGGAGAGAAGCAGTCGGAAAGTGAAGGTCCCCCGGGAAAGGAGCTGCAGGACGGGGCCGAAAGCAATGGCGGGGGCGCAGGGGCCGAGCCCGACCTGAAGAGCTCCAACGGGAACCCGGGCCCTAGGCCCGTCGCCACACTGAACAATAACCTCCCGGAGCCGCCCGGCGGTGGTGGCGGCGGTGTTAGTGGCGGCAGCAACAGCAGCGACGGGGTGGGGACGCCGCAGCAACAACCGCCGCAGCAGCAACAGCAGCAGCAGCCTCCCCCTACTCATCCGGCCGCCTTGCCCCCGCCAGCCTACGGTTTCGGGCAGCCCTACGGTCGAGGCGCCCAGGCTGCTGCGGCCGTCGCCGCGGCCGCTGCCTTCCACCAACATGGCGGACAACAAAGCCCTGGCATGGCAGCGCTGCAGAGCGGGGGCCTGGAGCAGCCGTATTCGGGGCCCACCGGGGGCCCCCCGGGGCCGCCCCCTCCCCAGAACTCCCACGGCGGCGGCAGTTCGGAGCACGGCTTCCCCAACCACCAGTACAATAACTACTACCCTACAGCCGGGCGCAGCGCTGGCGCCTACCCGCCTCCCTCTCAGGCCTACGCCCTGAGCTCCCCTCGGGGAAACGCTCAGAGCCCCGCGCAAGCCGGGGCCAAACCTCCAGCTTCGGCATTCCAGCAGCAGCGTTTCGGGGCCATGGGGCCCTCGGCCGCCGCCGTCGGCGCAGGAGGAAGCGCAGGAGGAGGCAGCGGCGGGGGCGCCACCCCGCAGCCCACTTCCACCCCCACCCTCAACCAGCTGCTCACCTCCCCAAGCTCGGCTCGGGGCTATCAAGGGTATCCCGGGGCCGACTACGGGAGCGGACCCCAGGATGGGGGAGCGACGGCCAAGGCCCCGGCAGCAGCGGACATTGCCTCCCAGTACACTGGGGGCACCAGCCAAGGCTGGGCGGCAGCAGCCACGGGAGGCCAACAAAGGAGTCACCACGCGCCCATGAGCCCCGGGAGCAGCAGCGCTGGAGGGGGACAGTCGCTCACCCGGACTCAGCAGGTAAAAAGGCACCGGGAGGGCGGGGAAAGAGAACCGGGGCAGCGGGCGCACATGGGCTGGGGGTTGGGTGGTCAGCTGGGCGCAGGTGAGGAAAGGGGTTTGAGGACGCCTCTGGCCGTGGGAGGGCAAGGGCAGGAGGGGAGCGCACCCGAGGTCGAGGTTGGGGTGTCCTTTAACGTGACAAGCTTTCTGTGGTCGTCTTCGGGCCCACATTACTAGGGAGCTGCCATTGTCTGTCTCTTTCCTCTGTCTCTAAAATGGCTGCCTCTCTGCCTTCCCTTCCTCCCTTTCCCAGCCTTTGTGTAAGCTCTCTTGGAGAGAGCCCTTCTCCTTTCCCCCTTTCCTGTCCCGGCTGGGAGCCTTTAGGGGGGTCCTGGGGTGGGGTGGGGTGGGGGTAAGACTTGCCACCACCACCTCTGTGGAGGGAGGGGTTGGGGTGGCAAAAATAGCTCCATGTTGCTGGGTTGGAAAAAAGAGGGTGTGCTGAGCAGATTGCTGCTGTTCAGCTCTACTGTGCTCCACTCCTTTGCGGCTCCTTTTTCCTCTCTTGGTGTGGGTTGAATTGAGCTGTTCCTGTGCTTCCAGGGGGTAAGAAGAGGGCAAGTGACCTGCTCTGACACCCTCATCTTGTCCAGGCTAGCTGAAGCCATTTTCTGAGCAGCCTTTTTAGATAGCCTAGTGCCTTGAGCTCCTGCTTGGAAGTGCTGGTAAACAGTTCAGTGATTGGAGTAGTAAGTGCAGATTGCTTTGGTTTGGGATTTGAATTATGGAGGTAAAATCCTTCTGTCAAAGCCAGGAGACAGTTGGTCTTAGGTTGACATCCTATCTGTGATCTGATTGGCTCCCCATCTCCTGCTCTTGGCCATTTATAATTGCCTCTGATGTAATGGTACAACAATCCTGATGAGCTCATAAACTTTTACACTCTGCTTTTTCTACCAGCCATAACCCACTGCCACTTTCTGCCTTTTTTTTTTTTAATTCCACAGCTGAAATTGGCTGTGACCTTGAGGAGGTTCAGCAGGAGCAGATCCACAGACGCTGCCCTCGATGCATTGTGCCTGAAACAAAAGAGGGAGCAATGGCATTTTGTTGTACCTTGGATTTATTTTGCTTGTTAAGCCTTATGCAGCCTGGAGTAGATTCTATAGGGCTGAAGCAACAATGGGGCGTGTGTGTGTGGATGCTTTTCTGTCAAACCAATATGTTTTTGGTTTTGTGACTTTCTTGGGTATAAGTGATTTCTCTAGTTTTAAGTGTTCATCTGTTTTTAGTAGAAATTGACCATTATAGTAAAATACCACCTACAGAACCAGAAATGCTGCAAATGTAATTTAATATTTTCAGAATTGTCATTTTATTCTGAAAGGCAATAAAATAGCACAATTTTCTTAGGGGGGAAAGAGTTGAAAGTTTGCATTTAATATAATTTAAAGACTTTTCAACATACAAAAAAAACCCCAGAAACAAAACAAGAAATAAGAAAGAAAGAGAATGAACAGAAAAGCAAGCAGACGGAGAGATAAAAATAACAGAATAAAGAGAAAGATGGGAAAATAAGTAAGAGTGATTTCAAACTATCCATCTGTTAGTTGTGCCTGTAAAAGTTCTTCATAATAATCCAGTGCAATGTCCAGTTATTCCTCCCTCTGCTAGCTGATGTTTGCATCAGAATTGTAGAATTGCAGAGTTGGAAGGGACCCTGAGGGTCATCTAGTCCAACCCCCCTGCAGGAATATGCAGCTGTCCCATACAGGGATCAAACCTGCAACCTTGCCACTATCAGCACTGCACTCTAACCAACTAAGCTATCCAGGCTGTATCGGCTGCAACAATATTGGGTAATGAACAGAAGAACATAGAAACTCTTGATATTTTCCTGGATATAACATAGTTCAGTAAATAAGTATTTAGTATCATAAGCAAATTTGGAATTTTAAAAATGAAGTCATTTCACAAGTTATGTGATGGATGATGTCTCTGGTTTTAGAAGTCCATAATGTAAATCTGATATATTGAACTGATGAGAGACCAGTATTCTTTCTTGGTCCTCCCTAGTCATCTTCAAGGTTCTAGGTCAGGACTTGTTCAGATTATAGTTTAAAGTTTCCCAATTTTTCTGTAAACTAACCCCTAGAAAAAAGTTTGGTTTAATTGTGTTCTTTAATTACTGTGGTAAGGACAATTCTTAATTATGCTCACATCCCTTTACCTTTATAAGCATTTCAAAAAAAATTTTTTTGTTAAGTTTCTTACTTGTGTGCTTTCTTCAGCTCATTTTTTAAAATTGTTAAGATCTTTATAGTACTGGCACTTCTAGAGGAGCAGGTAGAAGAATGGTCTCCATCCCAAGGAGCTTGCCATACAGTCATACCTTGGGTTACAGACTCTTCAGGTTGCACGTTTTCGGGTTGCACGCCACGCCGAACCCGGAAGTACCGGAACGGGTTACTTCCAGGTTTTGGCGCATGTGCAGAAGCGCTGAATCGCAACCCGCACACGCGCAGATGTGGCGCTGCGGGTTGCGAATGCTGTGGGTTGCGAAAGTGCCTCCTGCATGGATCACGTTTGCAACCCGAGCGTCCACAGCATCCACTGTACTAGAACATGACTCTGGAGGGAAAGAAAAATGAAAGATACTGACCATGAGAGAGATTCTGGCTATTGAACTAATTCAACTCAAGTAGTATTTTTAAAAGTTTCTGGGCATTTTGCACAACACAGGATACAGTGATTATTTGTGTGCTGGGTTGAGCCTCTGAGGATGTTTTGTAGGGCTAATTCACATGCTACAGGCCAGCAAAGCCTGGTACACTTAGTAGAGAGTCTGCAGTCAGTTTTGGCAGCCTGAAGTTCTTGAGTGAGGCCTATTAATTTCAGTTACAGTTTGCACTTTTAAGGATTCACATTTGGATGTATCCTAAACATTGAAATATGTGAAGAGGCCCTCTATATTATATAGACAAGGCTTGTTCATACATTACATTGCAGACCACATTTTATTAGAGACGGTCTGGTTACTCTGTAGCAGTCCTGTTTCTCATTCATGGTTAAAACCAGTCTTGATTGTTTAAGGTGGTGGTTTTCAACCTTTTTGAGTCCATGGCTGCCTTGATGAACTACATTCTTTCTGCAGCACTCCTGTGGGGATCAGGAGCCCAGTTATGTCACCCCATGCTTGCAGAACTGGCAGAGCTCTCACCCTTTTTCAAACACGCTCCCTTGAGTGTTCCTTCAGCCTCCTCTCCTCTCTCTTGGGGAGTCCTCTGGGCAGCCGCCTCTGGTCTCTGAGCTGCCCCACCTGCCCCAAAGAGAAGTGCCTCCTCACCCTGCCCCACAGAGGCCTGAGAAACACCCCTTTGCCAGCCCCAGAGGCACCATTCACCTGGGAAGCTTGTAGCCAGGGCTGCTGCAACAAACAGCTGTGCAAGCCTTTGGCAGGCAGAGGCGCAAGAGGGCATTAGAGGAGGGAGGGAAGGAAAAAGGGACAGAGGCCAGTGTTGCCAGCGGCCCCCTTGACCATCATTCAAGGCACCCCAGGGTGCCACGGCACGCTGGTTGAAAACCACTGGTTTGATGATAGGCATTTAGGTGTGAAGCTATTAATGTGTCAATAGCTGGAATTAGTGGGTAGATAGTAGAAGCTAAAATTTATAAGTCAAAATGGTTCTCTTTTTAAACCAACTTCCTATCAGTATGCATGTTGGCATCTTTTGAGTGGGGATTGGAGAGGGAAGAAATGGTGTACATACTGAACCAGGCATCTTAAACATTTTCAGACCCTGGGCCCACTTTAAACCCAAACATGCATTTGGGGACCCATTTCTTAATCCTTTACACTATATTTTTATAGTGGTAATACTGTTACAACCTACTTTGGATTAGGCTGCGACCTCCCAGTTTAAGACTAGTGCCTTAGGCAGATATTAGATGGGTGGTAGAAAAACAATCTATAGAGTTAGGGATGAGTTCCTTCTCTTCCCTATCTTGGTGGCTAGGTTAGTTTGAAGCATACAAGTGAGCTTGAAAAATTTATTGAAGGTGTGCAAGTTTTGTAAGGTTTTGGGTCAATGTTGGTTTTTGGACCTTGCATGAATCTTTATTCCAAGTCGGGTATAGAGGAAAGAATGCAAAATAAGATCAGAAATGAAATACATGAAGGCTGTATACACACCGTACATTTAAAGCACACAGCTTCTCCCAAATGAGCCTGGGAAGTTATTTGTCAGGGGGGCTGGGAATTGTAGCTCTACGAGGAGTAAACCACAGTTCCCAGGATTCCTTGGCGGAAGTTGTGTACTTTTAAGTGTATGATGTATATACAGCCTAATTTTTGTTTTCTGCTTAACACTGTTGCATGATTTGATTTGATAATTGCTACATCCGACTTGGGCTGCAATCCTAAAAACACTTGATAGGGAGTAAGATTCATTTGGACTCAAGGGAACCTAAGCATGTGCTGTTAGTCCCTTGGGTGCAACTGTTGTAGCAGTATCACAGTTTATCTGTTCAGCATTACGTGGAAGGTTACTATATATTTAAAATTAAATAGACTCTGAAAACAGCAAGATGAGAGAACCTCCACAAAATGTGTACTTGAGGAATACCTTTTTCATGGAAATAAATATGTGGTATTTGTGCCTGCTGCTGAGGTTGATATAGATACATACTGCCTGTTATGATGTTTCTGAATGGGAAAGCAAAGTGAGTAAAGGGAACAGATTTTCTGCTTGAAGTATAATAGAGTGGAAATCTAGAGAGTTCCTGATGAATTCTGAGTGACTGGCATAGACTCTGTAGTGTATCTAGAGAAAGTGAAGAACTTTGGGACCAGCTGACTAGCTAATGTTCATCATACTGCAATACCTACTACCCCTGAAATGTTTTCTAAATGAAGGAATGCAAATTGATCTTCTAAAACTGACTGTTTGACCTTTATATAGCAGCAAAAGTAAAATTTGGAACTTTAAGTGATCACCTCTTTGCAAACTTCAGTGAAGCTGTATTCTCATCAAGCAGTTTTTCCTGAACTCCGTTTTTAAAATAATGGCATACTTACAAAAAGATACATTCTTTGGTCTGTACTTTGGTCTGTACTATTGCTATTCAAGTGTAGGTGTTCAGGCTAGAGTGCTTTCAATTAAATTGGTGCTAAGTGTTGCTGTGATACCTTGGAATCAGAAGCTGTGTCCTAACTGCTGTGCTGTCTACTGAGTACTGTATATCTTAGATTATGTGAGGCTTTGTATAAAGTAACATGGGACCAGTGAGCCATTCCACACAATAACAAAATGTTGGGAAAATGTGGCCTAGTTGCCTCAGGAATATATCTGTATATTTGGTTCTGCATATGTTTTTTCACAAAAGCTAGAGGAGGTAAGCAACCAGGTCAGGAAAATCATTTGATGTTTCCAGGTGCCAGAATTAAATTGTTGGGTGTTGTAACTCTGTAGACATTCCTGGCTTGAGAAAAGATAGTTACTAAGGAAGATGCTGACAAAACAACACTGCTTTGAAAATTATCCCAGTTAGTTGAACCTGCAGAACTCTTCAGTGCAAGGTCATAGTTCGAAATAAGAAAAATGCGCTGCACATCCATGTGTCCTCCTGGGGGAAATTGGCTCCTATATAGGTGTGGGCAGCCTGTCTTGTCTTCTAATGATGCAAGTGAAAATACTATAGTCCTGGAAAGTTGTATCAAATATAAACTTTATCACCATTACCATGGAGATTAGCAGAGACTAGAAAACTCAGTTAGTTAGAGTATGGTGCTGATGATGCCAAGGTTGCAAGTTCAATCCCTGTATGGGTCAGCTGCATATTCCTGCATTACAGGGGGTTGGACTAGATGATCCTCAGGGTCCCTTCCAACACTGCAATTCTGTGATTCTATATACAGTTTTCATGGATGTGTAAAATGTCAATCCATTGCATGTTTAGATCCCACAGTATGCATTCAAACTTAACATTAAACCACACTTTGTAAAGATTGCAGAAACAGCTGCCTGAGAGTGGTGTGTTACGCCCCCTTACTGCTTCCTTTTAAGCTAGTGCATAAGGCAATGTTTAAGGAGGCTTTTTTTAGTTGTTTCTTTATTAATGATATGCTCGCGCTGTTGGGTTTATTCTTTCACATATTTGGTTTTTATTTTTCACAGTAAGTTGTTCTATGTGTACTTTGCTGGTGGCATTACCTCTGAACATGCACCACCTTGCAAGGTATAGCTTGTAAGCGAGGATCATAATCCGCAGTTTGAATCCGCAGTTACAAACTAGTGTCCATTTTAATTGTGGTTTGTTACGTCTGAATTCACAAGCCACGTTTAGGCCTGTTGCTCTACTTCAGATGCCCCAGCATGGGGAAGAGAGACAATTTAGGAACTTAAGAAGCAGAGTGCTAAGCAGATGGAAAATGAATGTAGAGTAGGAGATCTAAGTCATGGTTTGCTTGCTGTGCATCAGAAAGCCTAAACGATGGTGTATAAGCTTTTTATGTATGGTTGGTAACACTATGATTTGGCATAGTGCCACAGTGTCTACATTCTAAATCTGTTCACAGAGAATTGTCTTCTCTTGATGCACCAGAGTTTGGGCTTTTTTGTTTTTAAACTGAACAGCTTTTAATCTTGCTTTTGTTTCTGGTTCTTGAATCATATCTTGTTCTTGTGCATGAGGGCAGGCACTCTTGTTTTGGAAAGGTGGTTTCTAAGTCTGTAGATTGAAGTGTTGCCCACCCCAGAATTAAAGCTTGTGCATCTTGAGGGTAAAATGCAGTGAAGTCCAGTTGTATTGCCCTTCAAATGCTGAGTCTACTGCTGGGGATGGCTAAACCCCCCTTTGCTAATTTGTACAATAACTTGTATGGTAATAATATTATGCCAAGGTTCTTAATCGAGTTATGTACTGTGGAGCCAATGGGACTGTTGCTTTATGAACCATTTCTGGTCAGAATCTCCTGCCAATGTTCTAAACTAATTGGTCTCTTTCCACTGTCATTTCAACTGTCTTTTATTTATTTTTTGGCTTAATGTTGAGTAGTAATATTGTAATAGTTCATTCACAAATTGTGCCCTGTAGGGAGGGATCTTTCTGGCACCAGGAGCTTTTAAAATGTGAATATGAAGAGGAAACTGCCTGAATTTTTAAAGCTTCTTGGATTCAAATTAGAAATTAGGCATATTCTAACTAGAGAGGAGGCTTCAGCTTTAAGAACTTTTGAGTTGACAGTCAGTGTTCTGGTAAAAATGTTAAGATTGCAATGTTCCTGTGTTCTTTAAAAGGTAAAGGTAAAGGTAAAGGGACCCCTGAGCATTAGGTCCAGTCGCGGATGACTCTGGGGTTGCGGTGCTCTTCTCACTTTACTGGCTAAGGAAATGGCTGGCAAATGAGTAGTGTGCTACAAAATTTCAAATGTGAAGCCGTTCTTTCCCTCTTTCCTGTTTTGGACCTAACCATTAAACCTGTAGTGATAGAAATTGTAACCAATGGGAGGAATAAATTAATGGCAATAGGGTGCAGGGAGAAGAGTCTGTGGTATGCTTTCATTCTGAGCCATGGTTAGGAAACAACACTACATCTGCACTTGATCAATAGCATTGTGCGCTTTCATTCTAAATAGGTGAACTTCAGTCTTTTAAGATTTATTTATATTTGTGAAACAACAACAACAACAACCAGGTTTCTAAATAGCTGCTCACCTGCTATGCCAAATAAGAATGGACTTCTGGGTGGCCATGTTGTGAACCAGGAAGGTGATTGGATATTTTTTTAAGGCAACAAATGACTTATGTAGGCTGGCAACTTTTTTGACTTGTTTGAAAGGCTGGAAAAGTACCTTTCTAATTTCTTCATCCCCCAGCCCAATTGTATTACAGCCAGAGAGACATCATGCAGTTAGGAATTCATTTCACTTTGAAGGAATGAAATATATAACTCTTTGGGGATTGCATTTGAGGTCAATAGGGTGGAGCATGCAAAAGCATACCTAATTGCCATTCTTGGTCAGATCTATGTTCCCATCTTTCCATTTTCGCTCTGATAGATGCAGTACCTCAAGGATCTCTACTATAGACCCTCAGCATCTGCTGGTTTGGGCTATCTTTGCTGACAAGCTTATTCTCTTGGTGCTTCACTTCCATTAAAATTGCTTATGCTGGCTTTAGAGAAGCATTTCACAGATGTGTGTTCATTGTTAACTAGCTCCATCTTACAATGCTGATCAGTTTGAGTGAATGACCCTTGAAATATGACCCAAGCCATAGACTAAAAATCAATTTTCTATATGATGGCAGGTGTTTGAACTTTTTCTTGTAATTTGATACAACCCACTCACCAATGTGGTTCCATTTTCCTGCATTTGTAATGGCAAAATATGGTCATAGATTTCATATTTGGTCAATCTGTGTTGTGAACTCATGTGTACTGGTTGTACTTTAATGAAATCTGCTAAGAATGGGAGGAGGGAGAGAAGGCAGTTTATTTTTAATCCTGTAAAATGATTTGGGCAGTGTATTTGTTAGCAGGTTTATTTTTATTTGAAGTATCCGTGTCCAGGCTTACTATTGATACATTACATTCACAAGTAGGCCTGGGTGATATATCAATATTGTACGCAAGTAGGAGTGGGATTGTGGCTGCTCAGCTGGGGAGCGTGAAGGCCCTGCTCCCCAGCTCTGAGAGCCCTAACCCCACTCCTTCTTCCATAGCTGCTCAGCTGGGGAGCGAGGAAAGAGGCAGTGCGCCTGCATGGGCGAAACTGAAGGCAGTCAAACACATGGAGCCTGACAGGCTCTGTGCAATTGGCTACTCCCACTTGGTCTGTCTTCGTGGAGTGGGGTGTGTGCGAGGTAGCTCACCCACCTCCCACGCTGGTGAAGACAGCGGGAACCTCAAAAAGAAGCCCCAGGTCCCTGCCACTTGCGTGTGAGTGACAGGGACATTGGAGCTTGCTCAGCTGGGGCCAGGGGCCAATGTAGCTTCTTTTAACATTGCGGTAAACCTAGCTAGTGATACATCATGTTGTTAAAAATGCAACATCACCCAGCCTTATTCACCAGGTGGCTTTCAAAGAACATCATGAACAATCAAGAACCCATACGATCACAATAAAATAGAAAAAGTAGGAATAGACTTAAGTAGCTTCAAAAATTTATGGAGAGGCAGTACAACATCCTTGCTCTTAATTGAAAAGTTGTAGAGAGAAGAGCTGTTCTAATGGTAGGCAAACCCCTCTGAGGTGTGAGTGTTCTATAAATAGAGAAGGCCCTCTCCTCCGGAAAACAGAAGCACCTGTATGCTTTCACTGATGAGCCCAACACACAGGTACATTTATGTGGGAACAAGGAGTACCCTGAGCCCAAGCCATTTAGGGCTTTAAAGCTTAGGACCCATGCTTTGCATAGTGCCCAGACACACAGTGGATGCCAGTGGAGCTGTCTTTTAACAATAGCACGATGTTCCCTGTGGCAAGTTCCAAGTAATAATTAGCTGCTATGGGGTGTAGCCAACTAAGGTCTTCTCAAGAGTAGACCTATCAAAATTAATGAACCTAAGCTGGTTGTGTCAGGTAATTTCAAGGGGTCTGCTTTGAGTAGGACTAGCATTGGAATCAACGCTATATCTTGCATCTGCTGATGTTTAAAATTTGCCTTCAAAGGCAGACCCATATGCAGTTGTGACCGGAAGCATGTGATCCTGTACAAGAGGGATCAAAATTGGCATTTTAATCAAAGCTTGTGAAAGGTACTTTATGCCATTGATACTGTGTGAACATCTAAAATATGAATCAGACCAGTAAGTACACTAAAGTTGTGAGTCTGTTCCTTAAGGAGAAATGCAACCCATCCAGAACAGGATGTAACACTATATTCCTAGTTTACCTGTATATTGCTCTTAAGGCCAAAAAAAAAAGAAGAAAAAAAGGTAGTTGATAAATGTTCTTTGAAATTCTCTTTCCCCCCCATAAACATATAGGTACAAATTTTAACTAAAACGACAACGGCAATAAAATATTTTAAATATTAGGAGAGAAAAATTATTAACCACCTTGTCATAGAAACTGTTGCTATACATACATATTAGGTAAAAGTAAAATGGGAGGTGGCATAGACATCTAGGTGCTTTGCTATCATAAAATCCGTATTTTGAACAGCTTGAGAACAGTTACAAGCATTGTATGTGTGTGCCATTCCCCTAATCTCCCAAATTTAGAGGTGAGTGGATACCTGTGCAGTGAAAACAACACATTCTTGCACGAGGAGGGAGTGTGCTATCTGCAGGTTCAATTAAACCTCAATAGAATCGGGGCTCTAAAAGGGGGATGTGAAGCCCCAGTAACGAATAGGCCATTGAGGACTGAGTATGCTGAATGGGCAAGAAATGCTGATTAACTGTTATGGCGTGGAGGAGGGTCAATGGAAAAGTGTGGGAATAGAATGAAGTATCCCAGAAAAAGACAAGGCTTGCTGGCTGGTATACTGAACAGGAGTACTTCGCACTGCAACGTTTTATTGCAGGTCCACTTGTATAACCTGAAAACACATTGGACAGTTTTGTGGAAAAACTAAGCCTTCCAGGTATATATTATGACTTTTCATTTGTTTAAACATGAATGTATGGGTTTTTGTATCTTTCTTACTACCCCCTTCATTTTGGATTATCAAGTGACTATTTAATTGTTGTGTTGTGCTCATGATGGGCTGGACAGCAATGAAGAGAATGTTTTCCCCCAGCAGACCTAGATTCAGCATTCTCTTTCCAGTACTTTTCATAGTGCTGAATAGTGCAGCTCTTCCAAAGTTACAAATCTATTAATTCAGTTGTGAAACTTAATTCACATAGAAACATTTGGTTAGTGGCTTTTTTTTGCCAGTGAAAGCTTATTCTGTATTAGACATTATTTGTTTCTGTTTTCAATGTTCTTCTTGCATGCTACTTCTATATACAAAGAAGCTTTAGCTTTCCCAAAATGGTGGTGTGTCTGTTCCAACAACTAGGGACAGAAGCTAGGCCTTTGATTTCTAGTCCTGTGCCTGAACTACAAGGTCATTCCTCCTTAGTGTATTTCTTTCTTTATGCTCTGTGTTTAAAGTAATAATGCCCAAACTTGCCTTATGAGGCACACAGAGGGTGGAATAAGCACCAACAAGGCTAGAACAGGAAGAACTGCTTCTCTTGGGATTAATGTATTGCTTGTTACAAAAAGGTATAGTGATCTGCCCATGTGATATAATTAGGTATGTGTTGGGGAGGGATTCATATTTCTCTATGCACCTGGACTTGCAGGTCTTGGCATTGCTCAGCAGTTTAGTGAGGCAACTTTGGTAACAATTGTAGCATTGCTTCTAGAGGAATCAAGTGCTCCTGAGTGAAATTGTGCAGTAATCTTAAGAAAACGTCTAGTTTCTATGGAAGATATTTGAGAACATATTCAAGCTGTGTGATTTCAATATATTCCTTTCCAATAACCATGTGATTCAGTATACAAATTTCCCTGTTGGGGAACTTAAGATGCACACAGACATATGTTTGGAATTTAATCCAAGTCCAGTGATGGTGTTTTAGCAGTTGGACCTTTTTATTTATGGATTTGTTGGCCGGTTATACTTGGTTGTCTGAAATTCAGATATGAAGGTGTTAGTTGGTGCTTTGAAGAACCTAGATAGTAGTTTAGGAAGTTGCCAGTGATCTAGCGAAGTGTGTTATATGTTAGTGCTGTAGGAGCTTCTTGCCAAATATGTGACAAGTCCTGTCGTCCAACAACTTCGATATTAATATGTTCACCAAGCATAATAGCAGTCACTGTCAAATTATTTGCTCTCTCTTGAGTGAGCAGAGGTGTTCAGCCATGGTACTGCCTGCTGAATTGGGGTAGGGGTGGGGTCTGACAGTCTTTTCTTTGTACAGAATACCTCCATAAGTTCATATTGATTCTTTCCTAGGAGGTTCATGGAGTGGAAGGAATTAACAGAGATGAAAGAAATGGTCTGTATGACTGCTAAGGAGTGAACACTGGCTTGGAAAAACATAAAATGCTTCATACTTTCCACACGGTGAAAGTATATTGTCCTCTCAAGTTCACTTTTACTAGGTTGAATTTCTTAATTATAACACTGTTAGATTCAATATTAATATTATATGATAAATGTACTTAATTTTCATTCATCATTTGTTTCAAGGTTCATTAGTACATGTTGCAAAACAGATTGGCCACACGGACCATGGCCATTTATTTGAAGACCAAGATTGCAGTTACTAGGAGGCAGGTACCTTTGAATTCGTTAGGACCATTTCCTGGCAAATATTCATAGGATGTTCCAAACTTTCCAGAAGCAAAATTCATTTGGCAGGGCAGTGTTTCCCCATGAAAAGAGAAGTACACTTGTGGTTGTCAGGTGGAACTTTGAAAATATTCAAAATTGATTAAACCTTGCAATTATCTCAGATAAAAGGACATAAAAATAAAATTTGAACATTACAGGCTCTGTCTTCCTTGGAGATTGGGGCTGGATTCCTGTGCCTGTGATGCTATGCCAGGTTGTAGCTTCATGCACATATTTATCTACTGTATATTTTGGAAAGTGATTTGTTTGTCCATTTGTTCTCTGTAGTTTTGGATGCTTCCTAAATATAGTTGCCAAATCGTGCTTGAGGGTTCTGAAGGCAGGGACACTGGTCTTCGTCAGCATTTGGACTTTGGTTGCCATTTTGAATCAAGATGGCAGTTTGAAATGTACATTCAGTGTGACTTCACCCAGTTGTTGGCATATGTTCGGCCACCTCTCGAGATACCATCGCCAAACTTGGCACAAGGGTTTCTGAGGTGGGCGTGGGGGCCTATGTTGATGTTGAGGTGCCATCACCATTATGGATCAAGATGGCGGACTGAAACATGACTTTGTGTGACTGCTCATTTTGGGGCATAGGTTCTTTTTGTCAATGTTTGGATGCCAGGTGCCATTTTGATTCAATATGGCAGACTGAAATGTGGAATTGGTGTGACTTTACTCACTTTTTGGAATGGCATGCCCAAACTCACAAATTACACTTTAAAAAAACAAACAAACTCAAAATAGTTTTTGGTTTCTAAAAATTCCCCGGGAGCCCCAGCACTCCCTGCTAGTATTCAATACAAGTGTGGCCTATAACAAAAAGTTGCAGTGTAGAGTACTCCTCTTCAGGTTGCCAGCCATGCCTTTCTCCATAGTACTTCACCTCATTCCCATTCAATTTTCTATCTTTCTATCCCCATTTCTTGAACATTTGACATTCTGACTGATCATGGTTGGTCCACATTGGGTTGTTTTGGGAGTTCTCCCTCTGTGGGGGGTTTTCCTAAATATTTTTTCTTTTGGCATTTCCTCAGGCCTCAAGGTTTGCACTAGCCTGCTGATAGCAACCCCTCCCCCACAAGAGGGAGGCGTTTGTGACTACATAGGCACTCCCCACCAAACACTGGAAATAGAGGGGATGATTTTGGGATGAACTCTGCCATATTTATAACATTTAACCAAACAAGGCAAATATTTTCCTTTCCACTGACATGGTGGGGGTGGAAAGCAATGCTTGGTGAATACATCTTGCAGTTGTCTGCAGAAAGCTTAATACAGAACACTTTGCTTCTAGCTGAGAGTATCTCAGTCCTAGTTTCAGCTACTCTTTTTGACTTGTATAAACTGAGTACAGTGGCTCAGTTAAAGGCTAACTTACTGTAGCATGAGCCTTTGTATACAAGAGCCTGCTTCATTGGGTGGACAGAGGAGGTGCTAGGAGTACACATCATGAGATGTCCCCCGACAAGTAAGAATTTGATTGGTTGTCATAGGGTGACTGGGGCCTAAATACACCCAAAGTTGTTGTTGAAGATGTTCTAACAGCATCTGAGTTGTATAATGGAGAAAGTCCAACTGTATGCAGTGGGCTTCGTTCATACTTCATGTTGCAAGTCATGCTTCCTGAATGAAGGTTGGTGAATTTAGGCCAGATGGCTGTAGGACTAAATAACTGGTATTTATTAACTTGATGGTATAAGAGAAATAACTGGCGTTTATTAACTTGATGTAAATAATTAAACAGGAATACCAAGCTTAACAGTGGCCTCACTGTGGAATCTCTAGAAGACCTCTTTCCCTAGAAAAGAAATCTTAACTATTAAAAGGTGTTTGCCTCTGAATTAGTCAATATGGGAAATATTTCTACGAGCTTTGTAGTATTGGGTGATGTCTGATTTGTCACGTAGTCTGCAGGTCTTGCAGTGCCTTGTTAAGGATCTGTCTGTGCAGAGTACTTTAGTGTTTCTATCTCTTCTGTCTTCATAGTAGTCCACTTTTTTCATTTTATCAGAGTGAGATTTGTCCCAGAACACTTAGGTGAGTTCTTAGCAGCAGTAGAATCCAAGTCTTCGGCTCTTTGACTGGAACATACTGGCTCAACAGTAGTGGTTCTTAGCTCTTGTTTGCTACTACAGGAAAAGCTTGGGAAATGACTCCTGATTCTGTAGTGAGAAATTCTTTCCCCATACCCTAGCATAGTTAATATCTGTGCATGGTTGTGCCGTATCTTGCAGTGATATAGTATGGGAATGACATCGCATCCTGTAGAACAGGGATAACCAACTTGGTGCCATCCAGATGTTGTTGTATTACAAATCCCATCCCCGACAATTGGCAGTGTTGCTAGGACTTTTAGTCCAACATCCGGAGGGGTACCATGTTGGCTGTCCATGCCCTAGAACAAAGTACAGTGGTACCTCGAGTTATAAACGCCCCAAGTTACAAACGCTTCAGGTTACAAACTCCACTAACCTGGAAGAGTTACCTCAAGTTGAGAACTTTGCTCCAGGATGAGAACGGAAATCGTGTGCCGGCGACGCAGCGGCAGCAAGAGGCCCCATTAGCGAAAGCACACCTAGTTAAGAACAGTTTCAGGTTAAGAACAGACCTCCAGAACGAATTAAGTTCATAACTAGAGGTACCACTGTATTGTTCTAGGAGGTGCTAATTTCTATAGGCCTCAAATTTTGTTTGATTTGCTCTCTCACATAAAAGGGCACTTCATCTACAGTGGTCCCTCTGGTTGCGAATGCCTCTGGTTGCACACGCTGTGGGTTATGAGCTCCGGTAACCTGGAAGTAGCCGCTCCGGGTTGCGAACTTTGCCCTGGGATGTAAGCGGAAATCGCGCGCCAGAGGCACATGCCCAGCAGGAGGCGTATTTTCAGTAGTGGTGCCTCATGTTATGAGTGGTTTCTGGTTACGATCAGACCTCTGGAACGGATTCCGTTCGTAACCAGAGGTACCACTGTATTCACTTTTTTTTAAAAAAAACCTTCACTTTAAAGTTTCATCTTAACTGATCACGTGGAACATACATTATCTTAACAAAGTGGAGAAGGTGGGGTTTTAGTTGTTTGTGGTGGTTTGCTGTGATTGTTCTTCTTTGTAGCCACTGGCTACAGGAGTGAAAACCTGATTTCAAAATACTGATTGATGTAATAAGATTAATTCCATTTCAGTTTAACATTTTGTACCCCACTTTTCATTCAAAAGTATCTAACAATGACATCCCTTAACACAATACCAAAATAATATGCAAAACACTCTTACAGTGAAATTTTGATTGTGCAATGTAAAATGACACACACACACACACACACACACACACACGTACATAAAGCTGCCCTGAGGCTTTTTTGAAGCATGTGATTGGCAAATAAAAACAAAATGTTTTTGCTCTGCTTGCTGCCTCAAAAGAAAGTAACTGCAAAGAACAGAATTGTAAACAATTACATTTCTTTACATTCCAAATGCGTAACTACGTATAATGGCTATAAGAGTTTGAATTGAAAACTGGAGACCACTACTGTACTTCATATGTGGCCCTGATCCTTCTGGGCAGTCTTAGGCAAGCAACTCTTGCTGTCTGAGTATTGGAATAATGGCCTAACTTACATGGTTGTTGCGAGAAACAATGAAATGCTGCATGTATGCAAACTTAATAGAAGTACTGAAAGTTGCCCACAAAGTTATGCCTTAATGAGTGTCTGGTGTGACGACCTCAACCCGAAGTCGTCCTTTTCTCCTGTCTAGTGAAACTGTTACTAGATGTGACCCATGGTGTTTGAAAATCACCCAGAGAGCTCTGCTTCGGGATTTGCTATCATCATAAGAATTGAAATTGGCTCTGCCTCCTAGTATTATGGTTTCCTGCTATACTTGTTCTTATCCTACTGGAAGGTTTGCAGCATCGGCTGTTCCTCCTTTCCCCCTGGCATTAGCGTAATATGAATTTCAGTATCTATTCATCTGTAGCCAGGGATCCCTCTCCTTGCTGAACAACTCCTGGTGTTGCTAACTTTGCTTTTATAAGCAGTCCAATTAATCCATCTGAACTGATATGTAGATGGTTGGTGTGCGCTTTTTGCCACAAATAGAAGCTTTTGCTATAATATGGCATTTTAAAACACATGGGAAAGGCTTTTGGTTTTGTTTATACTGTAGTTTACATTGCTTGCATCCTGTCTTTCCTGCTAGGAGCTAAGTACACCATACAGGGTTCTCCTCCTTTCTTCTTTTTACCCATTCAATAACCCTGTTGGGCCAAGAGACTGTGACCTGCCAAAGACAATTCAGTGAGATTCATGACGAAATTGGGATTTGAACCCTGGTCTTGTAAGAGCTAGTCTGACAGTGTAACCACTGCAATATTCTGGCTCTCCTCATGTCACTGAAAATTTATTCCATGTGAACTTTTACAAAAGCAGCATATCCCAAGCCCATAGGATATTGGAGTTAAATCAGTTGAGTTGTCACTAGTTGTTACACTTGCAGGTGTGTTGGATATATATTTGACCCCAAGTTGGATTATCTGATACAAAACCACTGGCTTGTATTCAGTGCTATCCCTACTCAGAGTAGACCCATTGACATTAATAGGCATGACTAAACTGGGTCTACTCAGAATGGAACAAAGCTGATTTGAGCTTGAACTGTAAATAGTAAGGAGCTCAATGTGTAGTAACTTTTAATGAAAAAGTAAAGACTGTGAGGCTGTTTAATAGTGTTTTACAAATACACAGTCCATTAATGATAGCAGTTAGTTGCTTTTTGTTTAGTTTTTCCCCTGGACCTGGCTTTTGTTTGGATGTGAATGAAAAGAGTGAAGGAAGGAGGGCAGGATTCAGACTTTGGGAACCCTTGAGTAGGGCCTTAATAGTAAACTATTTTATATCTACAAGAAGATGGTGCTTTGAGTGTGTAAGGTGTTAGCACTAGTTGACACAGTTTTGGCCTGGGTGTGTAGTACTCTGTTTCCATTCTGCCTTAATGTGACTGATGTCTGTCCTTGATGGCAGTCTGGGCGTCAAGGGACAATTTTGAGTTTCCACTGGGGACCAGTAGCATGAAAACTAAAGGATTTTGATAGTATGGAATACATGCCCTGCAAGACAAGGCTGAGGGAGCTGGGTTGGCTCAGCATCAACTAAGTTCAAGGGGGAACTTCAGTTCAGATGACTGTTGCTAAAACATTGATATAAAGGTTGGAAAATTGCTTTTGCTGGAAGGTGGGAATGAGACTCTAGCTCTTGTCCCTTGTGGCCTTCCCAGGCAGGCTGGCCCCTCACCCAATTTTGCAGCTTTTGAGGTAGCTTGCATGCTACAGAAGGAGGATTTAATTCCTTAGGGCTCCCATTTCCCTGACACTGCATTGCATTCCTCTCCATTCTCAAAGTCCTGCACTATATGTGTCCCAATTCTTACCTTTGGTATTCTGCTAATTTGTCTCTTAGCACCACAGTAGTCAACCACTCTGCTTCCCTAGCTGCCATCTGGATTCTTTTCTGCTGCTGCTGGAATTGAGTTGCCCAAAAAGCAGTTATCTCCCCCAACCCATGATTTCTTCAAGACTTTGCTCTTATCTAGATCCCCCCCTTTCTCCTCACCCTGCAAAAGTTGCTGTCATTCTTTGTTTTTAGTTTTCTCATAAGTATACTGCCCCCCAAACATGGTGAGAGCATTGGCTAAGTGCTCCCAGGTGTTTACCCTTCCATTGTTTCTCAACCATTAAGCTGCTTTTTATAGATCTTCACTTCCCTTTTGCATCTCTGCATTGGTTGTATTGGCCTTATGACTCCCCTTCCCTTTCTTTATTTCAGGCCTTGATGCTTGGTATGCTGCCTTTCTCTTAAATGTTTTCACGAGCTCCTTTTTGGCTTCAGCATTTGCATTGTGATTGTCTGTGACTGAGTAGCCTCTTGCTACCTCCCCTCCAACTTGATTTCCATCCTTTGGAATGACTTCCTCACCTATTGCCACTCTTAATCTCATCCTCTCTTAAGTATTGCTTGTGTGACCTTTCTGGTTTGGATTTTTTCCTGACTGTTGCTGTGACTGTCACAGTTGACCCTCCACCTTTTTCTTTCTTACCAGCCATGATAGTTCTGCTTGACCTCCACTGCCTATGGCAGTATGTTTCTGAATACAGGTTGCTGGGAATCTCAAGAGGGGACAGTGCTTTTGCACTCATGTCCTGCTTTCAGGCTTCCCATAGGCATCTAGTTGACCACTGTGAGAACAGGATGCCTGTCTATATGGCTACTGACCTGACCCAGTAGGGCACTTCTTGTTCCTTTTGGGAACTTCAGATTTCTTAAAAGCCATGTGTGAACTGTCACTTCTGCCAACTGATTTTTTAGACTCCACTAAAGGCCTTATATTCCTTGTCCCCTACCCCACTGTACTGACGGCCTATTTACTCCAGTAATCATGCTAATAGTGTACAGTCCTATCTTTGATGTTCTACTCCCAGTTTGCTGAGTGCCTCCAGTGGATCCACAGCCACATTACTCATCTTAGCTCTTAGCACTTTTGGGTCTCCACTGCTTCACTGTGATTTTTCTCCTCTTTTTAAAAATGTGATGGCTTCTTTGGGATTAGCTGTATATTTCTAACCCAGTCATACTCACGTGTAGAGCCATTGATTTTATTGGATCTGCTCTGTGTATGGCTATTGTTGGATATCGCCTGATAGGAAACATAACACAACTAGATGTTGAGGTGGATCAACTTGGAACAGGAGGGGCTTCATATAACTTAAGTGAATTGTTATGCTGCTTGGGCTGCAAAGTAGACTGGTTGAACTACTATACCTCTGTATTTCATTATGGTCTTGAAATCTGGTTGAAGATCAGTTATAGCCATGTGAAATGCCTTTTCTGTTAATCATCTTTTATTGTGTGTCTAGACAGCTATCCCAGACTTATTCATTAGACAGGAAGGACTTGCAAAAGGACTCTACGTATATTATCAACAAACTTCTGGTTGGATAGGCTATAGCTCAGAAATGGTTTTCTGTTAACTTTCATTCCTGTGTGTGTGTGTGTGTGTGTGTGTGTACACACATTAACAACAACGTTGGTAGTTTGTGTTATTCAGGCATGACAGCAGCAATTACAGCTACTGCAGTTTATGGGAAAGCCTCATACTACAAGTGGGGGGTGGGGAGGGGAGCCATTAGCACAATCAAGACACATTGGTGTGATGCTTCTGATACTAGTTCCTGTAAGAGAGGCTATTCACATCCAGTATCTCCTTTTATCACTAGTGGCAATCATAATTCTGTGTCTTTAGTCCTCTTGAAATGTACAACATTAGTAAAGGAAAAATGTGTCAGATACCAGAGTGATCTAGCTGATGTTAATTCATTATTACTTAATTCATTTCAGTTTATTTTAATCAGTTAACTGGTTAGATGAAAAATTTTCATTTTTTTAAAGGCTACCTCTGTTTAATTAGTAAATTTCTTTTAAACTGAGTTTTCTAATGCAGGTACTTAACCACAGGCGATATGCACAATCTTAGAAGAGGCATTCTCTTGTGTATGAGGGAGGAGAAATGCATTTTCAAATAAGACTTAAGACCTTTAAAATTGGGGTTTGGTGTGAAAATAGCCCTAGTATTTATGACCTCTTCATATTTCTAACCTATACTGTATCTGAAGTATATTTGGTTCTTGTTCTTTTCTTCCTTTCACCCAATATTTAGATATTATACTGTCACTTCTATTAATCCTTTAAAGAACTTGTGCTGCTTCTGACAGTAGAGATGCTGGATCAATGTGTAGATTTACCTAGCTGCCCACTGAATTTTACACAACTTCAAATATTGTGACACCATTCTCTGCCCAATGCATATTTTGAAGTACAAATACAATCAAAACACATATAAATGTGGGTTATTATTATTATTTTTAAAAATAATATAGAAACAGGACAAAGTGGAATTAGTGGTGATCAACTGTGAAAGTGACATGGGATGGAAATAGGCAGATCCATCCCTGATTGAGAAATACTGCAGAATCATTGTCTACTTTCCAGTGCTACTATCTGGAGAAATCCCACCCGCATTTCATAGTTGTGTGAAGCTGTATCCCCGCATACAATAAATAGAACTGTGCCTGGCATGGCTTGGCTCAGTTTGTTTGAAGGGAATTCCTACTGAGCATGGCCAAGTATTATATGCCTAGTTAATGTGTGTGGTGCTTTTCACAGTAACAAAAGAGAGGTCTCCCCCAAGAAGCTTACACTCAGTTAATTCTACCTAGTCTTGCTTATTTGTCCTACAAGCACTGCTATAGACAAGTGGTACTGGTATCATGGCTTGGAAGTTATACCTTTTTACAAGTGCCCACCTTGGCAAGAGTTGCTTGTAGCTACTTCCACTTTTGGAGGTTGTATGCGTTGAATACCAGTTGCTGGAAGCCACAGGAAGGGAGAGTGCTGTTGTGCTCAAGTCGTGCTTGTGAGCTTCTCATATTTAACTGGTTGGCCCCTCTGAGAACAGAATACTGGACTTGATGGGCCGCTGGCTTGACCCAACAGATCCTTCCTATGTTCTCATAGGTGCAGTGCACATAGGCAGATTTAGGGGAGCATGACTGGTTCACCTGCACTGAGCCAAAAGGCTGCTACAGGCCCCCCCCCCCACAACAATGCCTTAGAACAGAAGGTGAGAAGTGTGGGGGTGCCAGAATTTGGCATTGCATAGGGTGCTGCTGAAATTTGAAAGCCCAAAGTCTGCCACTGCAGTGCAATACTAGCAATGTTGCCAATTAATACTTGCGAACTGTGGTCAATCTTTCCCATATAGGTGGTGCTGGGTGGACACAACTTAAGGCTTTGTGACAAACACGAAAACTTGAAAATACTTAAAGTTGTGAGATTAACCCGAAGATGGGATTTGGGTGGGTCTAAAGTGTTAGGGCTTCCAATTACCACAGGAACCAATTGGCTACAGTTTCATACATATAAAGACATACATGCTAAGCAGCCATGTGGAAAGCAGCGTTAGAAACCCATAAATAAAAGCTATTCGCCAAATGGCTCCATAAACCTAGAACCTAGTTACTGGCTCCGCAAGGGAATGTCTAGGCACCCTTTTTTTTACAAGTTCAGAAATCTGAAAATGAATTGTGTATATTGTCAGCACAATAAAATTCAAAAAACATAATGTGGTGTTTTCCCCCTTTTTTTGAGGCTGTTTTAATTCCTGTGGGTTATTTCAAGTGTCTTTTTTGGCCTTTTGAAAATGGAGGCAATCATTCAAAAAGAGCATCAAATAAAAGGAGTACCCCAAACCCATAGCTTTGTATTTTGGGCATATTAATCTGGAATAACTACAATTTCCTCATTCTGTACTAACAACAATTTAAAAAAGCTGCAGTGTAGGCTGCACAAGACACTAATGACATCTTCTATAACATTTTAATTAAGTTACTTTCTTGGATAAATTGGATGTACTGTAGATTCCTCCAGTGGCCCCCTTCCCCTCCGTACTGTCATCACACCCTGAGTATAAATCCAGGTGAAATCTTGTTCATTTTCCATATGGTCTAGTCCTCATCTGAAGACTGCAAAAAACAAAGCCATGCCTCCTCCCCCCCCCAAATATTCTTATGTGGGTCCCTTCTCCAGTCTTCAGAGTGGCTAGAAGTGGATTGAAGGAGGAGTGTGTTAGACTTGGTTTGAAACCTCAGCCATGAATCTTAAGAGGTTACCTTGACCCAACATCTGACTTGTGTCTGCCAGACTCTGGAGGGATCTTCCGCTTGAGGATTCTGCTATGGGAAAATAATTTTTAAAGGATGTATTGTCTCTTCATTGGAATTTGATATGTTCTTCCCAGGGTTCGAAATTAGCATAGCCCCAGGCTCATTTTGTGCCTAAAGACTCACCATTTGCGAGCACCTCAAAAAGTCTGGGTGCCATTTTTTGTGCCTGGCTGACACTCAAGGATTACTGAAATGTATGTGATGGGAAGCATCAACATATATCTTAAGGATAGACTATGTGTTAACAATAAAGAAAGTGTTTTGAAAACTGAAGTATGGTACCAATATTTTATTGTAAACACCAAAATAAAATGTGTCACTTAGGTGAACTGTATATTAATTCATGCTTATAAAAATAATAAATAAAAAGTGTTGCCTACCCCCCCCCCCGGGCAACTAAACATTCTATTTTGGCTCCCAGCTTTTCTATCCCAGTTTCTAACATTGGTTCTTCCTGCATGTATATGGTCCTCTTTGGGAAATTCCAAATAAGCAGTTCCTGATCTCACAGAGCAATATAAAGAATTGTTGGGGAACAACTTGATTTAACTAGAGATACCTTCAGCAAGTAGTGCCTTTAGCAAGGGTTAAGGCGCTGTGGGTTAAACCACAGAGCCTAGGACTTGCCGATCAGAAGGTCGGCAGTTTGAATCCCCGTGACAGGGTGAGCTCCCGTTGCTCGGACCCTGCTCCTGCCAACCTAGCAGTTCGAAAGCACGTCAAAGTGCAAATAGATAAATAGGTACTGCTCTGGCAGGAAGGTAAACGGTGTTTCCGTGCGCTGCTCTGGTTTACCAGAAGCGGCTTAGTCATGCTGGCCACATGACCCAGAATCTGTACACCGGCTCCCTCGGCCAATAAAGTGAGATGAGCGCCGCAACCCCAGAGTCGGCCACGACTGGACCTAATGGTCAGGGGTGCCTTTACCTTTACCTAAGCTGATATAGCCCCTTGCTACTCAGTACTATATTTTTTGCAGGTAAGTGAGAGAACGACAAGTTTTAGAGCTAAGCAAAAATACATGTGCTTTCCTAGAAGCATGACTCTTCATGAACTCACTTGGATATAGTGATATACCATAGACTAGTGTTTAGACGGTTGAGTCAGCATGAGACTTAGGTTTGTGCTTTCTCCTGCACCCCCCCCCTTCAGTGTGACCAGAAGAGAAGTTTGGAAGCTTTCACTTCTGTTTTTAGATTAATCTTAATTTGTCAAGATGATCAAATTTGGACAAACTGTGGTTAATCTTAACTACGTCTTGTTGAAACAAAGAAGCTTCATAAACTCGTGATTAGGGTTGTAACACTAAACAATGGTTAATCTGAAAGGAAAGTACACTGGTACCTCGGGTTACAGACGCTTCAGGTTACAGACTCTGCTAACCCAGAAATAGTGCCTCGGGTTAAGAACTTTGCTTCAGGATGAGAACAGAAATCGTGCGGCAGCGGGAGGCCCCATTAGGTAAAGTGGTACCTCAGGTTAAGAACAGTTTCAGGTTAAGAACGGACCTTCAGAACGAATTAAGTTCTTAACCCGAGGTACCACTGTAGAAGCTTCTGATATCATGGCCATGCTGAAGAAAAAAGCAGGGAAGGGGGAGCATGCAGGCCTAAGGCTTGCTGTAGCATATTCTAAAAGTGTTACGGAGGTATCTCGGTTTTGAGCGTCTCAGAAGCCAAATGTTTTGGTTTTCAGTGCCGAAAACCCAGAGGTAAGTGCTTCCATTTTCGAATGCACCTCGCAAGTCGAATGGCTTCCACTGCATGTTTCCGATTTCCTCAATGGAAATTGCAGACGGTCCTTTGCCCCTCAATTTTCAAATGTTTTGGAAGCCAAGTGGTCTTCTGGAACTGATTACGTTCGAAAACCGAGGTACCATTGTACATCTGAATACCACCAACATATCAGCTAATGCTGAAACTATGAAATTGCTCCTAAAAACAAAGAGCTAGTAGCCCTTTGCTGAAACAATAACTCCCCTGATTAAAGCTATTTTCATATTTAAACTCAGCAATGTGTACCTAAAACTTTGCCTGGTCAGTTCTCCGCATCTCAGGAGAGTGCCTTTGTTGACTTGAAATAGTGTGGTGTTTACAGCACAGGGAAGACAACACCCCCCCCACCCTAACATGGAACAGAAAACTAATTTCTTTCTTTGGCCCGTGATCCCATCTGCGTTCAGCTGTGGGGAGCTGATGGAGGCTGCATCTGTGCATTTGCCCAGCTGCATTAAATATGTGTTTTGTTGGTGAGAGCTTTCGTCTGTTTGGTGGCTTCCAAGTCCCAGGGGTTCAGTGGTCTCTGTCCTCTCTGCTAGCTAGCTTGAGTGTGGCAGGGTTCAATAGAAGCCGCCACTGGAGCAGCTGCTGCTTCTCCTTGAACTGCATAGGAAGCATTTTTGCTGTCTTTTGTACAGCAGCCCCGTTGGCCAAACAATAGTTTGTGCTTTCAAGGCCATGTGGAGAGTCACGTGACCCGTTGCTGTTGCTGCTGGGGTCCTTACCCATCTGTTCTCTCCACTCTTTCTGGGTTATCAGGCACAGGTCCAAGTTCTCTCCAGCAGCCAGCCTCCTGGTCAGAGATTACGAGCCAGCGCTAACCTTCCTGGCGGGGGTGGTGTGGCTTTGCTTTTATGCAGATTAGCCATGTGCTTCTCACTTCAAGACATTTGAGGAAAACACATTTCCTGTGTTTAGCTCTCAGTGGGTGGTTCCTGGCTTTACTGTACAGGGACGGAGGGTTGGGGCCTATGAACTAAGAGCACTCTGGAGAGGGATTACAGTACACTGCCCCCCTTCCCATTCCACCTCCGCTGCTACGTCACCACAACACAACCACTCGTGCTCTCATAGTGTTGGTGTCATTCATTCAGTGCCAAGATTGCTTTAAAAAATTCCCTTGGCCCCAGTTCAAACAGGAGTACAGCTGGGATGTGTTAGATTTTAGGCAGTCTGCCCTCAATTTGAGATGAGTTATAAATAGCTGTGCTGACTTCCTTAACTAGCACACTCTGAGGTAAAATGCAGGTTAATTACTGTGGGAATCAATTAGGGCTTCTCTCCGTTAAAGAGCCAGCAAGACTTTTTTATTATTATTATAATAAATCAGATGACAAATCTGGTCAGGAATGAATTCCAGACCTAAGGTAGGGTTTTCATTTTCTCCATAATCCAAGGAATCTGATTTCTACTTCTGCTCAACACATATACAGTCTTTTTAAAAAGTCCTTTGCCTTTTGCCTTCATTTCTACAATTAACTATGATAACCTTGTAACAATTTCCAGAGGGATAGCTGTGTTACGGTAGCAAGAACAAAGAAGGGTCTTGTACACCTTAAAAGACTTAATAAATTTATTATGGCATAAGATTTTGTGGACTTCCGAGAGTAGAACCTGAAGCAGTTGATTCAAATGCAACAAAGGAGATTCTGACTAAACATTAGGAAGAACTTTCTCACAGTAAGAGCTGTTTGACCATGAAATGGACTATCCTGGAAGGTGTGGACTCTCTATCAGAGGTTTTTAAATGAGGTTGGAAAACATCCGTCAATGATTCTTTAGCTGTAATTCCTGCATTACAGTGGGTTGGACTACATGGCCCTTGGGATCCCTTTCAACTCTAAAATTCTTCGATTCATCAAATGCACAAAAGTAAATTACCCTGAATTTCAGGTATATAGATACATGATGGGGGAAATCGTAAACAGTGAGGACATGAAATTTTATAATAACCTTGAACAAAAGGCCTCCTTGCTTTCTTTTGCTATCAGAAACCAGATTCATGGCACTGTCATAGCAAGCTTTCTTTATCCAGGAAATAATTGTTTTCTGATCCCTGAAAAGTTGACAGCATTGTTAGTTCTGTGGCTGAAACATTTCATTTAGCCAGGAAGCAACTGACTATCCTTGGGTCTAGGCCAGGGGCCCTCAAACTACGGTCTGAGGCCAGATCCGGCCCACCAGGGTCCTGAACCTGGCCCGCCCGCAAGGCCTGCGGCTCGGAAGTGGCCAGGCGGGAAGAGCCTTGAGGTAAAAGTGTGTGTGTGTAACGTGTGTAGCCCTGGTAACATGGTTGCTACCACCGGCTTTGGCTGCTTGATAATGGCATGCTGTCCCTTTAAGCCACCGGAGGGTGGGACGGTTGCGAAGGAACCCCTTCCATGCCAGCCCTTACCCTCCTCCCTTCCCCTCAGGCCGGCTCCCTGCTCGCCGGAGCAGTGCCTCGCCGGCCTGTTGCGCACACGGGCCTCATGTGGCGGCCTTGGCAGCCTTAAAAGTTAGGGAAGCACCAAAAACACAGGCAACAAATGCAGATAGAATTAGCAAGAAGAGAAGTCTCGATCACAACAGTTTATTGTACAAGGGAATCTCCATGTAAATAGTGGTCAAAAATAACCCAGAAGAAATGAAGTATAAAGGTGAGGTATAGGTAACTTACATTATTACTGATAGCGCCTGTTGTGTGTCTATCCTGGCTATTATTTTGAACAAGGTTGGTTTTTTTAAAAAAATACATGAAAAAGAGCATGTTCTGGCACCTCTTTAGTCTAGCCCTCAACAGTGTCTGAGGGACAGTGAACTGGCCCCCTGTTTAAAAAGTTTGAGGACCCCTGGTCTAGGTAGAAGGTGAGAGAGGTGGGAATTGGGAAGGTGTGGGTCTTGCTCAAAGAGGGCCAAAGAACAGAATCTTGAAGCTCTTTGCCTGTCACTGCTAACACATGTTTCAAAAGATTTCAGTCCTATGCATAGTGGTATTTGTGTATGAGCAGGTCACCGCAGATGGGGAATGAATATGCTATGTGGTTTTAAATCAGATTTCCAGTTACCTCATGTATGTTTAATTGTCATAAAGTTGGACTAAGAAATTTTGGGAAGAGTTGCTCTTCACACAGAAATAACTTACAGTACACTGCTCGTGCTCCATTTACATGTTTTACAAGTGCATTATTGGGGAAAGGTGTTAATTCTGCTTCTAAAGTATTTAGACTCTCTTGTACCTGAGAGCAAAGTGGCATTTCATAGGTTAATTACATTCTCTACAGTACTGCTTTAGTAATACCCTTGTAGGAGAGCTATTGTATTTGATACTCTGGCTGTTTGGAGGTGAGAATTCTGAATTGGGACCAATTAGGCCAGTAGCTATTGAAGTCTGTTGTATTGCTAATTGTCTATTCAAATAAAAGTGCAAGGAGAGTAACTGTAAATATCTGTATGGTGATCAGGCTTCTCACTTTGTACAGATGTGGGTTTTGGGAAAAGTGCTATGGAATTGGCAATTTTGAGATTGCTTCTCATTTCTTTGAATGTAGGTGAGTTGCAAGCAGGGGGTTGGGGTTTCAATGATCAAGGAGTAGCGCTTTCTCTGTTATGTATGTCTGTGGAAGGACCTTCAGCTTTTGAAGTGCAATCATGATAATCTATTCCTGTGGTTTCCTTTTGAAAGGATTTCCCCTGTGTCAGTCCAGAAGAGAATCTCCAGCGCTTTTCAGTCAGGGTTTGGTATTTCCTTATTTATCCTGATGTATTCTTGCAAATGAGCCAGTATCACTTTTTTTCCTGCCAGTAACAGCTTCTGTCTCTTGTATAATATCATTCCCTGTATTTAACTCTGGCAGCTGTTCCTCACATCAACATTCACTGATAAATACCCAATTCAAAGTTTAAGTGGAATTTTTGAGAATAGGGTAACTGGTACAAAACGGTGGGCTGTAATGAAAGATTTGTGAAGGGGGCACCATGTTTTATTACTGTGATTACAAACCCAAACCTTTTACTATTTGGGAGTCTTTCAGACCCTTGGCCCTTTCAAACCAGAACTTGCTGGTGTTTATGGATTTCAATATTACATACTGCTTTTTCAGGCAGAACAAAAACAAGAGAGTGTTGGCAGAGGTGGTCCCCCTTTTTTTTAGTCAAGATAAACATGGTTAACACTCAGAAAGTAGACTCATGTCTGCCTCAAGAAAAGAATATCAATGACACTTATATAAATATGGCATTTTGGGTGCTTTGGAAATTGAAGCTTTGTTTTTTGTCAATGGCATCATATTAACTATATTTGAACTCAAATGTGAGGAAAGTAATGAGTGTTAATCTGGTCTCCTAAAAGCTGTTTGTTTAACTTGCAGGCACTTGTCTACTGGTCTTTAATGCTAATAACATCTATAAAATTTTGGAATAGGTGACTTACTCTAGAGGGGTGAAGTTTCCTTGGACTGTGTAGTGACCTACAATATGATGCCTATGCCTTGACTGAGAATTTTCATTTTCTTCATGGATAATTTTATATGTTGGCAACTTTAAGTGAAATGTATTTGACTTTTGCCTTGTCTATATGTTGTTGTTTTTTACTGATGAGTCTGCCTTTCATGAGTAAGACTGTAACATTTATATAGTTACAAAATTTCAAATTGCTATTTAAAACAAATCTTACAATTTTCTTTCCTAGCCATCCAGCCCAATGGATCAGATGGGAAAGATGAGACCTCAGCCTTATGGAGGAAACAACCCATACTCACAACAGCAGGGACCTCAGTCAGGGCAACAGCAGGGCCACGGATATCCAGGACAGCCGTATGGGCCTCAGACTCCCCAGAGATACCCAATGGGAACTCTAAGCAGGACACAAACTGCAATGGGCACCGTCTCTTATGCACAGCAGGTAAAGAGAAGTGAATTGCGGATTGATGTTAAAAATCTGAAATGCATAGAATTACTGTTTGTGTGTAGTGGCCAAATGCCAGTGTAATGGGCAAGAATGCCTGAAGTACTTGTGTGATGAAGTGTTGCCACAAGAGAAGCAAAAAAGTGTGTTATTTATTGTTGAGTATACTTTAACCAGCTGCAGCAGCAAAGAGGTTCTTTACAGAATCCTAAACCTTCTGGGTAGCATTAGATTTTCTGGCTGCATCTTTGCACTTTGTTTGGATCTCCACCCAGAGGCGTAGGAAGGTCAGGTGGTACCCGGTGTGGAAAATTTCTTGTCAACCCCCCCCATTTTTTATTTTTTGCCTCCAAAAATGGTTTTACATCATTTCATATTTTCTTACAAAGGAATGTGGATTCTGGGCCTCTGATAACAGGTAGGCGACTGTGGACAAATACTTAAATTTATAGAATGGATTTTGTTTAGGCTTGTGTTATTTTATTTATATTTATATTTATTCTTTATTTATTTAATAAAATTTATTTTAAAAAACCTGCAAAGTGGTTTACCAAAAAACAAAACAAAAAACACAGCAGTAAAATCAAGAAAAATTAACAATCCTACTTTAGAACATACAAAAGCTAAAATATTATTAAAATTACTTCAGCTTCCTAAGCATCTAGGTATTCTTGCCTAAAGAAGAATGCTTTTAGCAGGTGTCCAAAAAGAGTCTAGCAAAGGCACATGCTTTATTGCAATAGGCGGGGAGTTCCAAAGTGCAGGTGCTGTCACAGTAAACAATTCAGTACAGATATTATGTGGAACCTGTAGTAGTGCTTGAAATTACTGAAGGGGAGGTTTTATTTATTGTGATTTCACCATGCTCTGTATTATCTGAAAAGGAAAACATTTATTTAAAAAACAGGACTGCACAGCAGCAATCTAGTCTCATCATGATTAGTGGGACTTATTCCCAAGCTGATGATGCATAAGATGGGCTGCAATCCTATGCACCCCTTGCATCCAACTTGTACCTAAAACTCTGCACAAGTCAGAGAATTGTAGAGCTGGAAGGGACCCCTGAGGGTCATCTAGCCAAACCCTGGGGCAATGCAGGAATCTCAACTAGACCATCCCTGACCGATGGCCATCCGTCTTCTGTTTTTCCCCTTAGCCAGGACACACAGCAACAGAGACTGGAGGTGGGGGAAAAGATAAATTTTGACAGTGGGGCAGATTTGTCAGGCGTGTGCAGGAACAGCTTGAAGACTTTACACAGAGAGGAACCCCACACAGGTTTCCCCGCATGTAACGTAACAGGCAGGGAGCCAGCTCAAATAGAGAGAAAGACATTGGGGGAGGACAGAACAAAAGAGTACCAAAGTCCGCCCATTTTATCCTCTTTGAGATGGTGGCGCTAGGGCTCTGGGACCCCCCCAAATATTTACTTGTCTTCAATGTATTGTTTTGTTGTTTTTTTAATGATATTTATTAAAGTTTCAGAAGATACAAGAATTACATAATGTATTGTTACCACTGTTATTCTATAGGCTGACTTTCCAGGATCCGGGAAGCCCAGCGGAGGGTAGGGCAGTAGGGCTGTTCCTAAAAAAACCTTTTTTTGAAAATGCCTGCTCCAAAGGTCCTATCTTACTAAACTAGGGATTATATAGCTATATCTGAAATTTCATGCATATCAGTTAATATCTTGACCCTGCTTCACTAAATTGAAATTTCAGCCTTCACAACATAGGAAAACTGCCAAGTAAACAGCTATTTTTGTGGAGGAGGGTCAAGATGTTAACTGATATGCCTGAAATTTCATATAAAACTATATAATCCCTAGCGTAGTAAGATAAGACCTTTGCTAAGACCTTTGGAGCAGGCATTTTCAAAAAAATTTTTAGGAACCGCCCTAGTAGGACAGTAATTGTTCCTTGATAATTTGTCACCCACCTCCACGATGGCACCCAGGGCACCCCCCCCACGTCCCTGTCTCCACCTACATTTTCTCTTTCTTCCTTGCATAGATCCCTCCTTACGGACAGCAGGGACCTAGTGGATATGGGCAGCAGAGCCAGACTCCCTATTACAACCAGCAGAGTCCTCATCCCCAGCAGCAGCAGCAGCCTTCTTATGCCCAACAGCCGCCATCTCAGACCCCTCACGCCCAGCCTTCTTATCAGCAACAGCAAACTCAGTCTCAGCCTCCGCAGCTCCAGTCATCCCAGCCCCCATACTCCCAGCAGCAGTCGCAGCCACCACATCAGCAGTCTCCATCTCCGTATCCTCAGCAGTCAGCGGCTGCCCAGCAGCATCCACAGAGTCAGCCTCCCTACTCCCAGCAGCAGTCACAGTCACCCTACCAGCAGCAGCAAGCTCAGCAGTCTGCTACCTCGGCACTTTCTCAACAGTCTGCATCTTACCCTCAATCTCAGTCGCAGCAGCAGTCGGCATATTCTCAGCAGCGCTTCCCACCTCCACAGGTAAGACTTCTTCCAGGTGCTGCTGCAGACCTGTTCTTGGATGTCAAGTGCCAGCACAAAGCAGTGTTGTGTCTCTTGGAAACATTACACAGTGACACTAACTGATTTGGTTGTGCTGTAGCCTTTTACACCTTGGGTAAGGTTCTTTATGCTTTTAAAGGAAGAAATAAGGATAATTGCAACTCTGTTAGGGAGCAAGTGACCACTCAGGTGTGGAAAATCATAAAGTGTTGTTGGCTCGTAAATACAAATTGGGTCAGGCATGCACAACTTGTGACCCGGCAAGCTGAATGTTCTCATTAGCCATCTACAGCTGCCCACCAGGAAGTTCAATAAAAAGAACCTTCTTTTGCCTATCTGTGACCACAAAACAGGGAGTTGCCAAGTAGGTGGGAAGCCACAGCACATAAGTGACCTGAATTAGATACTTCTGTTACATTTTATATCCTTCCTTTCCTCCAAAGAGGTCAAGGAGGTGTGTGTCTCTTCTTTCTTCCCCACCCCATGATAACAGGTTAGACTGAGAGAGAGTGACTGGCCCAAGGCCACAATGATCTTCAAAGTTGGGGTGGGGTGGGGTTTGAAGACACTAACCAATATATCACAGTGTGGCTATCAAATATAGGACAGGGTAATACAAAATGTATATTTAAGCAACTGGATGAAGAATAGATCAAAGCTAGAATCCATGTGCCAAGCACCTTAAAAGTGGAGAGAGAATTCCCTTCTCAACCTTTAGGCCAGGAAAAAGTATGAAGGACAGTGGGGAGAGGTAATTAATGATGGGATTGAGACCAGCAATGAGGGTATTTTCTTTGGCCTCTGTAAAACTATATTGAAGGGAAATGAAATAGCAGCCTAAGGAGCTTTGAGCCCCTTCCCTGTGTGCAGCTTGTTTAAGTCATGGCAGATCCTGTAGCACCATGCCTGCTGACCTTGGAAGACATAGGCAGAACTGGGCATGGATAATGCCTCAGCATAGCATTTTTTCTCCGTGATGCATTACTGAGGCAGTGGTCTTCTTTAAGGCTTTCTATGCTTTCAGCTTAAGGCCATAGGCATAGAAAGATGTGGGCAGCAGTGCTGCCTGAAATTTGCCTCATTGGCAGAGAGAAGGAGAAGGGCTAATGGGGAGCTAACTGTCTGAGCACCTATTTTGTTTCTAAGCACAAGAAATGGCAGAGTGCTTGTGGGGGCTGCCAGCCTATGCATTACCCCCATCTCTTTGCCAGAGACACAGAGAGGGGAACAGCTACCCAAGAGCCCCTACACATCTGGGATATCCAGCAAGGGGCTTGGGTGGGTGTTCATTTCCATCTCCATCCTTTGGGACTACATCGGGGTGGGTAACCTTTTTTTCACTCCCAAGACCCACATTCTCTCATAGGGAACTGCATGCTAATGATGGGTGGGGCTAGAGACAAAATGTGGCAGATTAATGGATGTGACTTTCTCATGCCTGTTAATGGGCCCTTCAGGAGCTGACAGGCACAATCTTCCTGGCCTAGACTTCTTCTCTGTTCTACCTCCCCCTCCCATTCTGAGTAGGGTTTTTTTAGTCTCACAGGAAGAGAGAGGAGGGAGAGAAGCCTGCTCCTGATGAAAACACGAAGCAGCTGCACCGCATTCAAAGGGGTCTGGGATCCTGGCTCTGCGACCCACCCCCCTTTCATGATTCAGACTCCACACCATTGAAACTAGAGACATCATATGGGGCAGTTGATTGGAACAGTGTGTGTTGATAGAACAGGGCTAATGCTGTGAGCCAGGGTGAGGATAAAATAGGGATTCTTTTTCCATTTCCAAGATCTCTTCTCTTTTGTTCATTGGATTGATCTCTTGCATTTCAGGAGTTATCACAAGACTCGTTTGGGTCCCAGGCATCATCGGCTGCCTCAATGGCTTCCAGTAAAGGGCAAGATGATGTGAATTTGAATCTTCAGTCCAGACCCTCTAGCTTGCCGGTGAGTCAAAGGTCCCATCTTATAAATGGCTTGGGTTTAAGTTATTGGAAGCACTGCAAGCTACTTAATATGCATAGCACATGTTCTCGTTGGAAATAAAAAATAGGACCATGTATTTATTAAAGCCAACAACATTTGGGCACCCACTTGCAGCAGGGGGGACTTGTTGGAAATGGATTAAAAATAATAATGTGGAATTCTGAAAACAACACCCTCTACCATACCAGAATATAAATCAAATTTCTACTTGGGCTATAGAATTAAGCCTGAAATTTACAGATTATATGTGGTAAAATCTCTTACTTCATTACACATCAACACCTGCTATACTCTAGTGGAACTTGTTACTGTGTTAGTTACTATGTTATAGGTATGGACATTTTGGTGTCAGTTTAGATTTATTGCTGCTGTGAAACCAACCAGTAGAAGATGAAGTCAACAAAGCTGCCCTGATACTCTGCAGAAGAGAGAAACCATATTCTACCATCAAATCTTGGTCATCTATTGCTTCTATACTCTGTGTCCTCTAGCCATTTATCAGTCATTTATCAATATTCTTTTAGTCCGAGTGTGATAAGGCTGTGGGATTCAAGTTTAGTGGTGGTCCAGTTCACTGTTGGTGCCAAGCAGTGCTGTAGCTGGAGACGTAAAGGATCATACATACTGCTAACTATTTATGGCTGTTGCTGTATCTTCTGAGTCTCATTGAGAATAATTAGTAGGCTAATGACTTCATATGTATAGCTTTTCCCTGTTCCTGAAAGGACAGCCTTTTCATAGTGTTTGGGAAAGCTGTTTAGTGCATTGGCCCAGTGCCAGGTCTCTCCTCAAGAGACTGCCCCCAGCAGGCTCAAAGGAGAGTTTGAGCTGCTGACCTAGAATTTGTTACTTCTGCTGGTGCTGGAGTGCTATTTGGCTTTCAGAGCTCTGAGTGCTCTCAAATATGCAGTTGCATGAGCAAAATGCAGAAGAGGTTAAATGGATGGCAGAAACTGCATGTTTTAAATATTTCTAGGATTTATTAGATTACTTTCTGAAGAGGAAGTTGACGCACAACAGTTCAATAAAAAGTTATATTTAATATATGTAACAGAATGCAGTGTGTGTTTCTCCCCTCCTTCTGAACTAATGAAAGTTGCAGAGTAGATTCATGCTTTCTGATATGATAACATGTTCAGTGTTACCACCACTTCTTTTAGGAAATATTGCTTCTTGTAATGAGTAGTTTCCTTTCACATAGTTCTTCCGAAACTGTATCTTATTTGACTAGATCAGCCTTATTTAATCTGATACTTTCAGCTACAGCATCCATCAGCTCTGACTACCAGCCATGTTTGCTGTGGCAAATAAGAGTTGTAGTCCAAAAAGTTTGGTGGCGGGCATGGGGTTGGGAAAGGCTGGACTAGACAATGTGGACTTCCTCTAGGTTTTGATGTTAGCTGTTAATTCTCAAGTGACAGAATAAGTTCTGATGTTGAATTGGAATGCAAGATAGAAGTTTCATTTAGTAGTGTAGTGGTGCTGTTTCCGCAAAGTCTTTCAGTTGATGGTTTGTCACTTGTTGAAATTAGTTACTATCTTTAGTGTGGTGATTTCTTTTCAGAACAAAGTAGGGGTATTTCACATTTTTGTGACTTAAAGGGTGGCTAGGCATATAGTCCGCTAGTGTTTCAGGATGTGCTTATGAGAAAGTCTCCATCTCTTTAACCAACACTAGGACCAGCTAAAGTCCCTAGATGCTTGAAGAATTAGTATTCACTAGGGATTGATGGGTGTGCTTTTCTTTCTAGATGAGCTCCGTCTCTCTGGGAATTTAGGTTAGTTTTGCTGGCTTAGTGGATTCTGGGTTGATAGACAGCTGCTTGTTTTGACTAAGCTTAGCAGCCTCTTGCGTTCTCTAGCTTGGTAATCTGCAGTCTCTTTACATTTGTTACAACTAATTGGCACAAGAAAGTGTGTCCAAACCAAAACATCTGGGTACCAGGTCTCTGCTCCTCCAGAGCAGTCATATGCATGTCCACTCAGTCTCATTGTGTTGAGTAGGACATGCCTTCAGATCACTGCAGTTCTGTGCATGCTTGCCTGATGTAAATGACACTGAATTCAGTGGGACTCACCTCTGTGTAGAAATGCATAATGTTGGGCTGTTGGTGTCTGTCCTAATACTGCACCTCTGAGAGGTCTGGGACAGCCCCCTGCCCATGTCCCCCACTCCTCTAATTTTGGTGCTGGAACGGGGATTGGCAGGATCCCATAATTGTGTTGGGCATTGGAGGCTCATGAAAGTCTAGTACAACTGTGAGAACCCTGCCAGCCCAAGCCTTCCAAATTCAAATTTGCTGCTAGACAAAGGAGCACAAGTGTTTATTTTGATTCTGGGAAGCCAAGGCCCTTGAACTTCTTCTGCTTGCCTTCCAAAAGAGTCCCAGCCTTTACCTCTTGCTGTCTAGGAAAAGGTTGGGGTTCATGTAGGTAGCAGAGTTCTACCTTTGGGTGCCTCTGCAGACTACTGCTGAAGTGGCCAGCTTCCTTTCCAGATTGCAGCTGGAAAACTGGGCTTTCTCTCTGCCTCTTTCTCTTTCCACCATTTTCTTAACATTTTAACCTAGAAAGGAACAAACAAAATAAATGCTGCTGCTGTTGTGACATGCCTGAGGTTGGGGCATGGCCCTCTAACTTAAGGCTACTTTTCTAAATAGAGTACCTGAAGGCCACCACATAATCCAGAAATCCTTTATCATGGCCAAGTTCACATCTGCCTGTTTCATATACATTATGCACAAAGGAACATTTCTCCCACACTACCACATTTTTATATAAATAGATTTTCTGAGCCCTCGGTGTGCAGATAGAAATGTTGCTTGTTCTTTCAGCAGTACCGGGGGAAACTTGGGAATTTGCTGTTCAGGGGCATGAATGCACCCCATCCCTTCTCCAATCTAGACAGGTGTCTATATAAAAAAACCAAAGTTGTTGTGTGCATGGAACAAATTCCACATGTGCATTGAGACTTTCCCCCTCTCCTTTTCCTGTGCACTCCCCTGCGCCACCTGAGTCTGCTCTGAAGGGTTCGGGGAACACCAGAGGGCGAGGGTGGGTGCAGAAAAAGTGGGGGAGAGACCTGTTGGGTTGAGAGGACCTTGTTTCCTGTTCACATATCCCACTTAGCGCTACATTGAACTCCATCCATTGAATTTGTCTAATGTATTGTACACAGTCTAAAATGGGAATCAGATCACTTTAGTATTGCTTCTACAACATTTTGGATTGAGAAGCAGCTGCATGTACAGCTCTGAATGCTAGTAATAAAATGCACATAGTTAAGATGGCCTCCTCCTTAAGATGGCAGTAGTGATGGCGAATAGTTCAGTAGAGAACAGGGCTGGATGAAGTTGGGGGATTTCAGTGAATGGTGGTTGAAAGAAATGTTCACTTTTGACTCCTCCCCAGCCCCTCGCCCTTTTCTTTATTTGGAATGGGAGGACTGTATGCATTTAAAGAGCTAAACTTCCATCTTTCCCAGCCAGCATGGTCAGTGGTGAGGGACAGTGGGAGTTTTGAGTCCCACAATGTCTGGAGGGGCACAGGTTCCTCATCCCTGGCCTAAAAAAGGTAGGCAGAGCTGTTGTTGGTGTATACTTGTGGGAGGCTGTATCCCAGCAATTCAAGAAACTATAGGTGAAGACTGAGATACAGTTTCATAGTTGTGACTGGAACTTCCTTTTTTTCTTTTCTTTTTCTTTTGCTTTATACACCTTTTACTTCATCTTGACAACTTTGGAATTTCTCTTTTTATATCTCTAAGGCATTCTGTATTAAGTTACTTGTGTTTAAAGCAATGGTTTTTCAAAGAGTGACTTTTGAGGGAGTGGGTCAGCAATCCAACCTATATAAAGTGACCTGCCAGCAAGTTTTGTTGCCATGAATGGTACTTTTACAAAGCTTCTTCTCCTGCAACTTGGCACACAGGACTGCATTTAATAGAAGGCTGCCTAGGTGCCCTAACTTAAAAGGAATAGCTTAAGGGTATATCCAGCTAACTCTTACTCAAGGCAGACCCATTGAAAGTAATGGACTTGACCAACTTAGGGCCAATAATTTCAGTAGGTCTACTCTGAGTAAAGGTTTGCAGAATACAACCATTATTTTTCTTTACTAAGCAGTGTTCACTCTTAAGTGACTATATCATTTGTTAGCAGTATGTGCACAGTAAAATAGTGGGAGGAATGGAAACAGGGCTATAGCTCAGGTAGAACACGTGCTTTGCATCTTGACAGTTCCTGGTTCAAGCCATAGCATGTTCAGGTCGGGTTGGGAGAGGCTGGTTGGCTGAAACTATGGCGAGCTGCTGCCAGTCAGTGTAGACAGTATAGAGCAAGATTCAGTATTAGCAACTCCCTAAATTCATAGGATTACAGTGTTACTTAGGCTCAATTAACTTCGCCACAGCTCAGAATTTGATAAAAATGTTTCACTTTGCTTCCAAGAAATACGCTTTTAATTGGCAGGTTAACCCTCCCCTCACCTCTAGCACAAATGATCAGACACTAAGTTGGTAGTGTTATTTTATTGCCACGATCTAACTTGTGCAGAGGACTACTCTTCTTGAGGTGTTCATTACAGCAATAATTTGACCTTGTTTTCATGTTTCCTTAGCTGGCTAAACTCACTCCACTTCCGTGATACTGTGTGGCGTGGCATTTTGACAGCCTGATATATACTGTCTGGCTATGCCAAATGAACTGTGGGTTGCTTAGACTGTATGATGGGATGCTTCTGACTGTGTGCTAACCACTTAATCAGCCTTCCACTTAATCAGAACTTGAAACTAACGGTAAACATGATTATAGCTTCAAAGATCAGGTGTGTGCTCCTTTTTAATCCACTGTTTTTAGTGTATTTTAGGCAGCTTCACAATAATAAATAATAACAGCACTTACTGTGCTTCAGGGTGTTTAAAGTGTTTCATGTTATCTTGTTGTAATCCCTTGCAACAACCCTCTGAAAACTGTATTATCATCATATTTGGGTGGGAAGCTTAGGCTGAAAGTGAGTTGCTTAAGGCCATCTAGCAGAGGCAAGATCTGAACCACAGGCTTTGGAATTCATCCCTCAGACTCTTAGCCACTGTGCTATACAAGCCATGATGATCATTTGTGCTGATACAACGCTGAACAGCAGTACAAGGCAGGAGGAATTTGTATTCCAGAAAGGAGTGGGTGGTGTGGGGAGTGGCTAAGTGATCTGTGGCCTTCTTCAAATTGCTTAACCATGTTAAGCAAATTGTGACTGTGTGCATATGCACATAACCACCCTTGGTTGCATAGACAATTTTAAAAAGGATTCAAAATGAATAACAGTCCAAGCAAGTCTTGCTTGATCAAAAATGGTCAGTCAGTTGATAAATCAAATGCTATATAAACTCTGAATTTGTATAGCTGTGGTCTGCTCAGGAATCATTTTGTCCATGCTGCTGGAAAAGGTACCACTGGGAAGCTGAGAGGGTGTCAAATGTGTCATCCAAAGACCAACACAGTTCTTATCTGGAAGCAGAACAGTGCATATCTTGAAGCAAGGACAGAAATAAGGGGCCTAAAGGATTGGAGGAGGAGGAAGGGAGAGAGACCGTGGGGAAGAAAGAGGGGACAAAGCTAGATGAGAATGAATGTAAATATGTGCCCTTCCTTTGGTGTGCATTTTGCATATTTAAAGCATTTATTGAGAACTGCAATCAATAATACTGAAATCAAATTCTGAATCACTGAATAGTATAGAAATATAAATCTATATGAGTAACATTTAGAATGTGAAAACTTAACTTTGGTTAGCCCTTGTTTTCAAAGATAAAAGCCAATGTGGTACCCTCCAGATGTTGTTGGACTACAACTCCTACTACCTTGGCCTATGGCTCTGCTGGCTGGAGCTGATAGGAGTTTAAATCCATTAATACCTAGAGGACACTATGTTGGCTACCCCTGCCTGAAGCATTTCAAATATTATATCATGGAATTTTGCAGCATCTGAAGAAAGAAGAAGAAAAAGCCAGTTTACAAATGCAGTTAACAATAGTAGAGCAGGTTCCTAAAATTAGGGTGATGATGGTCCTGACTCCTACAGGACTAGGAGCAAGGCAGGGCTATATCTCAATACCAGAGCACTTGTTGTACATATGGAAAGTTCCAGATTAAATTTCTAGTACAGAGATGAGGAACCAGTGCTTTTCCAGATGTTATTGGACTCCCAAGTCACACCTGCCACAGCCAACATGGGCAGTGGTCATTGAGTTGCCTCCCAAAAGTTTCTGGACAATCTTAGTTTCCTCACCCCTGCTCTAGAATCTCCACTTTAAAAGTGTTGTGAAAGACATTTGCCTCAGACTCTGGAAAGCCACTGCCAATCAGCGTGGAAAATACTAGATGGATCACTGGTTTGACTTTGTGTAAGGCAGTTTCCTGTGTAAAGCTTCACTCCAGCCTTTGCATTTGGATGACATCATGAAGAAATAAGGTAGGCTGCTACCTACAAAAGGCAGTCTTAGCTTGATGGAAGATATGACTACAGATAGAGGTCAGTAGGTCTGTTTATCCCATTCCAACCCTAATCAAACTATATTTTCTCTTTTATGGAAATTCCTTCAGAGAAAGGATTATGGTGCAATAAATATGCCTAATAATAATAATAATACCCTGTTAGTTACCTTCCTAACGAACACGGGCTTTTCATTGTGACTTTAGCTGCCATGTGTGTTACTCTGAGTTTAAAAAGGAATCCTCAGAGCATGTTACACATAGACCTGTTTTGCATTTGACTAAACCATGACTTAAGCACTATAAGCATGAGCAGGAAGGATCCATTGCCCACGGCTGTGAGGATGACATCAACAGAATTTAGTTTCACTTTCCATGTCAACTTGCTTGCTGTTTTATGCAAATCAGAGATTGTGGTTTAAAATGAACTCTGGTCCATTTCTAAATAAACCATACTGTAATCCATAATGGCCAGTGTTTTGAATCATGATCTGCGGTTTATACATAACAACAATCTATGTTACACGGAAAGTGAAACAAAACAGCTGAAGGGATTGTCCTGGCTGATGGGAGCAAGTCAAGACAGCTTCTTCCTGGAAGCTGACAAACCATTTCACCCATCCTCTTAGCTTCTGAGATTTCACCAAGCATTGCTCAAGCACTTCCCATCTGGTCTTTGCTGTCATAAGGACTCAATGCTTGAACTTTTTAAAAAAGAGAATGTAACAAGAAGTTTGTTCTTCATCTAGCACCATAATCTACAATTGCCATACCTTGAACATTATCATGGACATAAACCTACTTCTGAAAGTACATATCCACTTCTAGTCGTAAATAGCTCCAATTTTTTATCACCAGTTATTCTAGTGCGTAATGATCAGGAATTTATGTGCCTCAAATTCAAGTCCAAAGATTAGAAATCTATCTAGATTGGCCTTTGGGTACCAAGCATAATGCCAACAATACCAATTACAACTTATTGTTATATAGAAGAGAATTACCACAGAAGCACTGACACTAATGGTTCTGTAACAAACAAATTGTATTTTATGTGTGAAGATTTATTGAATAAAATTTATGGGTCCCATACTACTTCAGACCCAGTGCTCCTAAGAGGGACAGCCAATTCTGCAACACAGAGGCATTAGCATAAGTTGTGTTTATGTAGGTATGTTGATACCCAGGCATTCTGCTGAGTGTAACCAGTACTAATACATTAGGTTGTGGTTGAATACATCTGTATTTGTGTGTTATTGAGCTGTGAATTGCATCGATTGCTCAGGTTATCTGATGTGCAGAAGACATTTCTTCATTTGTGGTTCTGCCAGCTTCTCTCTACCCCCACCCCACAGTGACCCAAATGTATAACTATCCTCAGAAGCTGAAAGTAAAGCAAAAAGAGCAAGAATTCCTTTCACTACAGTTGTAGCCCATAAAATGGGCTCTACTGACCAGGTTTCATATAGTGGTGGGACAAAATGATGATTTGGGGGGCTGCACTTGCTTAAATTTTGTTGAGCTAGATGCTGTCACCTGTTTTGAAGTTTCTGCCTGAAATTTGTTCCCTTGGTCTTGGCGTTTGTGACTCCTTCCCCTCTTTTTGTGGAGTGGAACTGGGCCCAGCAATTTGTAAATTCATGGGAAAATAATATTTGCTTGCTAATTATAACTTGTCTAGGCATTGCTGTAAATGGTCCCAGAGTACAACAGTGCCAGAGATCCATATGGCATTTGAAGGATCAGTGCCTCCCAAATTTGTTCTGGCAGAAAGGTTCCTATAAAGCCTGGCAGTTAAATGACTCTGCTCATTTGCATGGAAAGACTAATAGCAAAACAAACTCTGCACGTGATTAACCACATCTTCCCCCCACTCAAAGAGCCCAAGCCCTTTGAGCCTTTTATAAACATTCGAACAATGTGTTCTAACACCATTACCAAGTCTCTTGCTGGGAATTTTTTGTGTCATTCCGGTGACATAAGTATGACTCGCTTCTTGGAACTGATCTGCTATTTGTCCATGTGGCGCTCCCACCTCTGAACTAAGCCAGTCTAACCTGGTCTGGCAAGGAAATTCCCCACCCCCCACTGCTGTGTCAGTCATGGCCGTGCAGCACGGAATGCTGTGTGCTTGATTCTCTTCGAAGAGGCAGCCAATCAGCGCCTGCCTTATAAATCATGTTGCTCTGAGCCACTGATGCAGTTTGCTGTCCCTGTGCTTCGTGCAGGAGGCTGTGTTTGCAGCAGATCGCTCTATGCTCGATCCAGGGCCCGTTTCCTGTTTCTATTCTAGTCATTGGTGGCTCAGCACGGCTTCCTGCCTGTATACGTTACAGATTCCCCTGATGGAAGCTTTTTGTTTTTTAAGGAACAATTTCGGTTAGAAAATTAACTGAAATATGAAGCCAGCTGCGACTTGGAAAGGAGCAGATTTAGACAACAGGCGCGTGCGCTTTAAACAGTGCTGCCATTTCTTTCTTGTTCTGCTTTGAGCCTAGCTTCTGTAAGCAGGACAGGCTGGTTTTTAATCAGAAAATTGCTAGAGGATACCCAGTTCTGATCTTGGATTCCCAAGAGTGGTGGTTTCTTAATCTTGTATAACCACTGAATTGGAAGAACCGCAATTGCAATTGCAATTGCTTCAAATGAATAAACTAAATCAATGTATTTTAACTATGGAGAGAGAGAGAGAGAAACCAAAAACAGTGAAGGTGAGAGGAAGAGTGATGTGTAAAATATAGCATGGATAAGAATTACATTGTTTTAAAGTCATCTCTGAATATTCTAATTTGGAGTTATATTTAATAAACCTCAGACGTGAGCTCTCATTAAAAAATAGCTAGGTTTTATCTGAATTAAGCAAACCCTGCACTTAAACTGAATCAGTGATCTTCTATTGCATGACCCACCATATCACCCACCAAAAACACAGTTCAGGACCTAGAAACTGTTAACTGCCTACCAGAACTAAGATCTATTTGTCTCAAGAAACACAGTTCTGTTTTTGACCAGGATAATTCACTGAGCCCACCCACATGACTTCACACTTTGTCCTCTAAATACCTAAGCACTGTAATTTTGCTTAGACCTATAATATTTATCCCACCTGATTTGAAACACTGATTGTTCAGCAACTACCACTACTTAATTCCTGGAATGTTTGGCTGTACCATGGGTTCACTTGAGAGAGCACCCTGTGTAATTGCATTGACAACATCCAGGGCCACCTCTGGGCTTGTATCCAAACAGGATTTGTATGGTTGTGGGGCATGTTGGTTCATTATTGTTGATGATATGATGCTGTCCAACCCTGTACTCCAGCAGGAGCTGTATTCATTACCAATGTGCTTGATTCAGGCCTGTTGGCCCCATACCTTCAAGTAAACGGTCTTACTCAGGTTTCTTGATGGTTGTTTTGAAATAAAATTACAGTTTATGGTACAGTGGTACCTCGGGTTACATATGCTTCAGGTTACATACGCTTCAGGTTACAGACTCTGCTAACCCAGAAATAGTACCTCAGGTTAATAACGTTGCTTCAGGATGAGAACAGAAATTGTGCTCCGGCAGCGCGGCAGCAGCAGGAGGCCCCATTAGCTAAAGTGGTGCTTCAGGTTAAGAACAGTTTCAGATTAAGAACGGACCTCTGGAACAAATTAAGTACTTAACCCGAGGTACCACTGTATATGCATACATTTCACTTCTAGTTAATGACCTCTGATAATAAGGGCTAGTCGGTAGAAGGGTTTGCATATTTTCAGATGGGATAGTATAGAGGGAAAGAACATTAGTACACAGTAGTTCAGCCACCATAAAGAACACTCCCTGTATTAACAAAACTGTTAAGCAGGTATACATGTGCAGCCACAAATGGGGAAGGGAGAGGGTGGAGACTCATACTCTTACAGAAAAATATTGAGGTGTGGGGAGGGTGGAATGATTGCTCCCAAACCTCTCCTGAACTTCAAATATGGGTCAGACTGCCAGCTGGTAGTTTCATATTGCTATATTTGTGAAGATTTGTAGGGTGGGTGATGGATGAGTAATTTTCCTTAGGAGAACATATACAAGTCTTTACCAACCACAACTAACACCCGATCATTTAAGCCATTATTATTATTTATTAAATTTGTATACCACCTTTCATCCAAGAGCACAGGGCGGTTCACACCTGAAAAATACAAAAAAAAAACCAACACAAAAACTATCTATCCACACACACACACACCCACCCACCACAAAAACAAACCAATAACCCACATTTAGAAAACATTTTAAAAGCAATAGAATGTTAATCAGCTGGATGCCAGGTTGAAGAGAAATGTTTTTGCCTGGCACCTAAAGATAGATAATGAAAGCGACTGGCGAGTCCACAAATGGGGAGCCATTGCAGAAAAGGGCCTTTCTTGTGTTGCCACCCTCATAGAGGAGGCACACAAGGACCTGAGACAGTGATTGCAGGGTTTGGGTTGGTTTATATGAGGTATTGCGGTCTTGAACTGTGAGAGGGAGCACTTCCTCTGAATCTAATTTTCCCCCTCCTTATTTTCACAAGTCCCTGCATTTAAAATAAAAGTTGTTTTATATATAGTAAAAATCAAATAAGGGATGTTGTATTTAAAATAAGTGCAACACCAGCTGTTCCCGTAATTATAACTTGCATTTATAAAGTTCTGTTGTTTTCTAGGTAAGTTCTGTATTTATAAAGTTCTGTTGTTTTCTAGGACACGGGTGGCACTGTGGTCTAAACCACTGAGCCTCTTGGGCTTGCTGATCGGAAGGTCGGCGTTTCGAATCCCCGCGACGGGGTGAGCTCCCGTTGCTCTGTCCCAGCTCCTGTCAACCTAGCAGTTCAAAAGCACGCCAGTGCAAGTAGATAAATAGGTACTGCTGTGGCAGGAAGGTAAACGGTGTTTCCATGTGCTCTGGTTTCTGTCACAGTGTTCCGTTGCGCCAGAAGCAGTTTAGTCATGCTGGCCACATGACCCGGAAACCTGTCTACGGACAAACACCGGCTCCCTCGGCCTGAAAGCGAGATGAGCGCCGCAACCCTGTAGTCGCCTTTGGCTGGACTTAACTGTCCAGGGATCCCTTACTTTAGTCATTAAAACCTCCCCCCTCCCTCCCAAAAAAATGGTAAACAGCAGTGTTTAACAAAAGATCAGCAAACTCTGAACTTCAACAAATACCTTTGGCAAAAGGAGAAGCTTACCTGACAGCGGAAACAAAGAGGAGACCAGTCGGTTGCATATGAAAAACAGTTTGAAGAACAGGGTGGTTTAGACTTCAGACTTTCAGGATCTGTCTTGTTTTTTTGAACTAGAACCACAAGTTCCACCACTTCTAAAAAGTCTGTTTGCATATGAAAGAAGCCCCTGGTGGCTGACCTTGGAGTGGGTTTTCTCCTTTGTCTTATTTCCTCATTAAGGTAATTAGGACCAAAGCCATTAAGGGCTTTAAAGGTTAGGGTCATCATCTTGAACAGAGCCCCAAATTAATAGGCAAGCAGTGCTGCTGTGCTGCATCCGAAGTCATATGGTCAGTCCCAGATGAAGTTTCCAAACCATTTCCAAGCACTGCCCAGCGTAGACTGTCGCTGTATTCCAAACACAGGGTTGTATGCAACAAAGCCATTATGCAAGTGGAACAAATTCTACTCCCAACCTCCACTCCCCCAAAAAAAACCTCATGAGAAAACTTAATTGGATTGTATGCCAGTGAAAACTAGATCCTGATCAAAGAGAAGAGGTTTCAGTGAGTTTGGCAGTAAATGCTGTGAATTTGACCAATGAAGCAGGAAGGTGATCTCCTCAAAGGGACTGTTACCCAGGTAGCAACAGGCAATACCTTGAAACTCTCCTTCTTGGGTAACCATCATCAGTTTGTCCTTCAGTATGTTCGTTAGCCCCCTTCTAACTTGTAATGGTGCCCAGGCACTTGCTCACCTAAATCTTTCCATAAATAAAAAGTAGTATTAGGTGTCATCAGAATACTGTGACTTTACTCCAAAACAACAGTTAATCTTCCAAAGTGGCTTTGCATATATGATGTTAAAACATTGGGGACAGAATGGAACAGTGTTATACACCATAAGATAAATTTCATGCGATAGAGCACTGGTCTCTCAATGCCATTCCCTGAGAGAGAAGTGCAACCACAAAAGAACCGTGTCCTCAATTATTATAGTAGACATGAAGATCCTGTAGTCCTCCATATGTTGTTTGTACCTCAACTCGCATTAGCCCCAGCAATTGGAATAATGAGAGCTGTAGTCCAACAACACATGGAGGGCCACAGGTTCCCTATTCCTGCCCTAGAGTTCTGGCCTCACCCAGAAGAAATTGATTAACAGTGGTATCAAGTGCAACTGAAGCTTTGCACCAACAGGGTCATATTGGGAGAGCCTACAGAATTAGTTAACTTTGCTGAACATTGTGGAATCCAAAGTTAAATCTCTAAAGCAGACTACCTTGATGAATCTTCTAGCTGTGTGGATTTTCTCACACCTCTGAAATCCATACCCTGACAAGATAAAGAACTCAGTTATGTCACATTCCTGGAATGCTTCACTAACTCCAGCACACTCAAGCATCAATTGTCATGCAGCAATATCATGACTTTATAGCAGCTGTCCACAACCTGGTGCCATACAGATGTTTCGCACCAATATTCTTATTTGCTCCAGCCAGTGTCAATGTCCATGATCAGGGAAGGTGGGAATTAAAGTCTCAAATCATGCTTTGTGGTATGACTGGCAATATTTAATCCAACCCCTTGCTTTTCCCCTGACAACGCCCAGTACAAGCTACAAAGATGGGTCACAGTAGCACAGTGGACAAGAGAACTGGGAAGGACTTCATTTCCCATCTCTTCTCCAACATTTATTCACAGTATATTTGATTTATCCTTACTCTTATTAATGTGCTGTTCACTCGTAAGGTGACAACATTAAAGCACAATATTATTAACAGTTTGAAACAGCAGGCAATCAAGTGGGTCCTAAAAAGATACACTTCAAGTATAAAAAACCAAAGTAAAGAGGGGTGTCCAGCATTTGCCGGAAACTCCTTTTATAAAGGCCAGACCCACCTCCGTGGAGAGGGAGTTTTACAACTTAGGGGCTGCCACAGAGGAGGCAGTCTTTCAGGCACTTGGGGTCATTTAGGGCTTTAAGCATGTGAGCACCTTGACGGGCTCATAACTGGCCACCAATAAAGTATGCTGTAAACTGCATTAAGAAGAGTTTGGTGGGAATTTTTCTGAGGCTTGGGTTTTACCTTCCATAGCATTGGGCTGAAAATGGTTTTTCACCTTTGTGTTGGAGCCTCATTGTTGTCCTCCATGTCATTGGTCTGTGGATAGTCTGGGCTCCTCTGTCCTCCTAAATTCTCTTGAGAAAGGAGGTTTGTTTTGTGGTTTGTTCCAATACTAAAATGACATTGGTTTTTTTCTGCAATTTAAACTACGTTGAATGGTAGGATGTGGCTTTCAGTTTGAGAGGTGCCTTATCCAAGACCAATGCTTTTCCCCTTTAAATGTTTTGGACTGCATCTCCCATCATCCCTGCCCATTTGGCAGGCTGGCATCCCTGACCATGGGACACCTGGAGGGCACCAGGTTAGGGAACACTGGTAGAGTCTGTCTGTGAAGTGAGTGAGACCCTGATGTGCATACTGCTGTGAGTATGAGCATGGTTGCGCTCTTTCCCCCGCTCCATCACCTCGCAAAAGAAATCCCTTCTCTGCTGGCTATTATGATTGATCCCAGAAGTTGTGCATGGATTAGGGATAGTGAGGTTGCTGTAGGCCTGAAGGAAAGAGCAAGCAACTGGATCCCTAGTCATCTTCCAGCCAAAAGTGGGATAATCAAGAAGTTCAATTCTGTTGCCTGTGACCTCAAATCCAGATAGTGGGTTTTTATTCCACAAATATCAATGTGAAGCTTTTTGTATTATCAACACTGTTTTATGAATGGTCATTATTTTTAGTTTTAAGCATTAACACAATTTTCAACAGTCCGTTTAATTTCCTTTTGACTTAATTGTGCTAACATCCCCCCACATGTAAACTTGCCAACATTTTGTGCATCTGATGTAGTGGACTGTATGTAATCCATGAAAGTTTATACCACATTAGTCTTCAGGGTGCCATAAGGCTTGTTGTCAGACAACAGTAGTTCAAGCAGCCTGTCCAGACTGAGCTAGCCTCTACTTCCTTTGTGGTGAGTTGCAGTAGCTCCAACCTTTTGAGAGGAAGAGCAGTTGCCACCGCAGGAGGTAGCAAACAGTGACTTTGAGTTGGGGAAAACCAGGGTCACTCTTGGCAGGCTTTCTTAGAATGTCACAAGAAACCAGCTTAGTTGGTGCTGGTGCCAGCCCCACATTCTTAACCAGCCCTGGCAAAACAGAGCCAGGAAGCTGAGAATTTCCAACACTGCTGCTTGTTGCCTTGCCCAGTATTTTGCAAGCAGCTTTTTTAAATGCAGGGCTCCTTGAAGGGGTAAGCAGAAACAAGCTTTTGGGGGGTGGCTGCTTGAGGAAGAGATCCATATCCAGCATTCCCCCAGGAGAAGGAGGAGGAGGAGAATAATACTGGCTCTCCTGCATGGTGGGTTTTTCCTCCAGCGACATCTTGTTGAGTGCATGAATCATGGTGCTTTTTTCCTCTTTACTTTGAGCCTTCAACCACAAGCTTAGTGTTCCCCTTTAAAAAGGAAGGGAAAGGACATGAGACTGATCAGCCTCTACTTACTGCTGGTGCTTTGAGGATATATTTTAATAGGTATTTCTTTTTTAAAAAAAGAACTGGGGAGGGAGGAAAGGGAGAGGAGAGGTGGAATGGTGTTGAGCAGAAGCAGTGGATGTGATTAACGCGCCTACTGAGCAGATCTGTGGGAGTGGAGTATCGACCTCTGAAAAATCAATGGCTGCTGCAGTAGCAGTGCTGTCTCTCCCTCTCCCCCCTCTTTCTTTTTCAAGGTCTTCAGTTGAAGGAGTGTGGTAAAACCAGCAGCTCTTCTCCCTTCCCTTTTCTGTCCCTAGTTTCACCAAAACCGCTGAAGAGCCTGTTCTTTCTCTCCCCCCCCTACAATAACTTGCTTAGATGGGTTAATTTTTGTAATTGGAGTGAAATTTCTCGACACATATACACACCAGACTCCTCCTCCACAGAGCCTCCTTTCCAAGCCCTTCTTCCCTGCACTGCAGATGCAGCAAGCAGCTCTTAACAGTTTTGTCTTAAACCCTGAGTAGAAGGAGATTTTGCTTCATTTTTCAGCCTAAAAACAGTCTATGTTCTGGTTTCCATCCTGAATCATATATCCTGCTGTAGAGCAGCAGTAAACTCCTATTGGGAGGAGAAATGAAGTTCCCTCTATCAAAGAAGAAAAACTGAATTCAAATGCCCCTTATCATTTGTGTCCTTTTTTAAAAGAAAGAAGGAAGGAAAGAAGGCAGGCAGGCAATTTAATGCATATATAAAGTAGATAGAGATGCTGCCACAATGGGCAAGGAGTTCTCAGTGCATTATTACTTTGCATTCAGAACCTAAGGATCCTTTTTTTAACCTTCCAAAGGAAACTGTATATATTTTAAGGAGGAGCTCAAAAATGTGACCAACTTCATACTTGCTTGCACATGGTTTGTGGCTTAACTCTTATTGGAATACATTGGGAAATTGCACATGTGATATAGTCTGTATATACGTGTCTACACACTCACAAGTGTTGGTGTACAAAATATGAAAAGCTTTTGTGAAGAGATGAAAAAGATGTAATTGCCTTTGCAAATGGGAGTTGTATGATGTACAGGGGTCCCCAAACACAGTTGAAAATCTAAGAAATTATTGGGGGCAGCACAAAATACCCAACACAAAGATGGAAGACTGAGGATGCTCAATCCCAAAACAGCCAAAGCTCCTATACATACCACAAAACAAATAGAACACAGACAAAAAAGCAAGTAACATCCTCCAAGAAGCATAGAACACCCCAACAACAAAAAGGGACCTCCCTGATAACCCTTGTTCTTTTTTAAAGGACACATAATGTTGGGGCCACCAGGTATAGATTAAAGTAGATAGATTGCTGACTATAGAAGAAAACAAATAGTACAAGACAAACACTAATTTGAAGCTACATAATTTTGTATATTGCTTTCATGAATATTTGTTTTACCCAAGCCTTTCTCCTATTTGTAACTGCCTTTCGTCAAATATACCATCATGATATGCTTTTAAGCAATGGGCACTCCAGCAAGCTCTCTTAGCACATTACTGTATAGTGGACCAAGACCACTGCTGGAGCAAAACACTGCCCCCTGCCACAATCGACCCCAAGGTCGGAGACTGATGGTGTGGGATAAGGCCAGGTCTTTAAATACTGACATTAAAATGTTGAATTTGACCTGATAGTATACAGGTAACTAGTGCATGCAGAAGCACCCATCAGGCAGCAGCATTTCTGCACTAGCTGTGATCTCCAGACTTCACTCAGGGACAGTGTTGCAGACATCCAAACATGAGGCTACAGGGACTTGTGGCAAAGTTGTCCTGATCCACGAATGACCACAGCTGGCACACTAACCATAGTTTGTGTCTCAAGTGTCGGTGCTGGTTCCATCTCTGTTGAAAATAGGCCATACACCCAGTTCTTGTATATAAGGAAGACCTAGCAAGAGCACCTCCATTTTGTCAGGATTCAGCTTCAGTTTATTAACCCTCCAGCCCATCATTGTATCTAGGAAACAGTTCAGCACTAATACAACTTCATCTGGTTCAGATGGAATAAAAAAGCAGAGCTTAGGTGTCATCCACGTATTGATGACACCAAGCACCAGATCCCCAGATGACCATCCCCATAGGCTTCTTATATCTATTGGGGGTGGATTAGAACCCTATGGGACCTCACAATTCAGTTACCAAAGTGTTAGGCATGAGTCACCGCATGCTCTTTTATGGAAATGGTCTTGCAGATAGGAGAGGAACACAATGCCCCCAACTCCCAGTCCACAGATCTGATCCAGATGGTTGATGGTATCAAAAGCTACTGAGAGATCAAGGAGAATTGGCGTGCGCGCACACACACACACACACACACCATATCATTTGCAATACAGTGGTACAGTGGTCACAAGAGACAAGGGCCCTGCAGGACTTGACATCTTTCCGCAGGGCCTGCAAGACAGAGCTGCTCCACCAGGCCTTTGGTCAGGGCGCAGCCTGACTCCCTCCTTTGGCAATCTTTACAAAACTTTAGTTTATGGTTGCCATCAATTTTGATTTTAATTAATTTTTATAATGTTGCACTATTTTAGTGTTGTTAGCCGCCCTGAGCCCGGCTTCGGCTGGGGAGGGCGGGATATAAATAAAAATTATTATTATTATTATTACCTTGGCTTAATAACAGTCCTGTTTCTGAATGATTCGGTTTACGAACTCCGCAAAACCGGAAGTAGTGTCCCGGTTTGCGAACTTTACCTCGGTCTAAGAACGGAATTCGAACAGTGGAAGGGCACTAGCGGCAGGAGGCCTCATTAGGGAAAGTGCGCCTCAGTTTAAGAACAGTTTCAGTTTAAAAACGGACTTCCAGAATGGATTAAGTTCGTAAACCGAGGTACCACTTGTACAAGTAATCAACCCAAGCTGTCTCAGTTTTTACTTGTGTTTGATCATTCTTGCTATGAGCAAATTTGGTGGATACAAGACTAAACTTCTCAGTATAAAGGTAAAGGTAAAGGTAAAGGTACCCCTGCCCGTACGGGCCAGTCTTGCCAGACTAGGGTTGTGCGCTCATCTCACTCTATAGGCCGGGAGCCAGCACTGTCCGCAGACACTTCCGGGTCACGTGGCCAGCGTGACAAGCTGCATCTGGCGCGCCAGCGCAGCACACGGAACGCCGTTTACCTTCACGCTGGTAAGCGGTCCCTATTTATCTACTTGCACCCGGAGGTGCTTTCGAACTGCTAGGTTGGCAGGCGCTGGGACTGAACGACGGGAGCGCACGCCGCCGCGGGGATTCGAACCACCAACCATGCGATTGGCAAGTCCTAGGCGCTGAGGTTTTACCCACAGCGCCACCCGCGTCCCAAACTTCTCAGTATAGGTTTATCCTAATTTGGAAATTATTCATTTGAAACTAGAGAATAATTTTCCTGCATGAGCTTGAAAATCATGACTTAAAATAACTTTGGATATGTTTATATTTTTGTGTTCTGCCTCATTTCTCATCTGTTTCTGCTGTTGCAGGTATCTTTATAATTATGAACACTAGCTCTTTCAAATGAAGTTAGAAATCGGCCAAAACCATAATACAGATTGTACAATCAATTGCTGGTGGGCACCATTGCTAGTACTCATTTTCAAACGCCACTCCTAGGTGCAAAGTTTTGCCTTTTTTATTAAAGCTATGGAAAGTGTTTAGCTTTTAAACTTGCTATTATTTTTATTAATTTCAGTTTGAAAATACATCTTGGATTTCCTCCTTCGAACTAATATGCAAAAAAGCATCCCCATATCAGTCAGCATCATTTCATTTGTAATACGTAATAATGTTTTAGGTTGTACCAAGTTCCACCGCTACAATAAAAAATTAAGTTCCCCAGCAGTTAATTTGCAAATAGAAATGCTGATTCTGATTTTTAAACCATAACATTTCTGATCTGAACTCCACTTGAAGAGTGTTTTACAAGGTATCTATCTGAGTGGCCCTCTCATGCTTGTACACCTGCACTCTAGGAGAACACATAAAATTTGAAAACATTGGATGAGCCTCTGGTTGCTGTGAATAGGAGTGCTTTTCTGTATGATAGCCTCTTGTAGATGAGAAAAGTTGACTTGATCTACTCTAGGGATAGCCAGTGTTGTGACTTCAATATGTTTTAGAGCTACAGTACCCATCATTCCTAACCAGTAGAGCTGGTTGGAGTTATTATAGTTCAGCAATGTATGGAGGACACTACAGTATATGTTAGTCACCCATGATCATCTTCATAGCAAGTTTATGCTTATGCAATAGAGCTAGAATCATTAGAGAAAGTGTGTGACCAAGTTTTGATACAAAACATTTCCAAACATTTTCATACAGTCAAAGGTTTGCATGTTATGGCTGGCCTTGGTAGTCAAGCCAGAAATTGGGATCATCCTCCCCCTTTCCTGCCAGCTTGGCAAATGCTTGGCAGTGGTGCTCCATTCACTTCCAAGCAGCTGTCAATAGAACCCTCCCACTACCCTTTCCGTCAGGAAAGAGCCATGGAGTGTGCTGTCTTATCTGCTGTTCAGTGAACAATTTCAGAGTGCCTCTGCCAAACAGCAGCCAAGGAGGCTCCCTGCCACTTCTCTTATGCTTCAGAGTAGGAATGAGAGAGATATGCTTGCCATATTGGCTCTGTGTGCCCAAGGTATTTGACACAGTTGCCAACCAACCCCCAGCCTGTCCTCCTGTGTTTGGATCTGAGGGGAAATCACTGCACAACTGCCTGGGTGATCTCAGTCCACCTTTGCAGCATCAAGGTTTGGAGGAAATCTCATCATTCATCACTCATTGTGCTCTCCAAAGGGTGATGGCTAGCTTGCTGTGGAGATGGAAAATGTAGAAACCTGCTTAAAAACACCTGCCTTGCATGAACCATATAACTTAAAAGGTGAGGGAACAGTTTTGAATAGGTGCAAATGTCAGGGTCGTATGTCATTAATTCTGCACCACTGAGCACCTATTCTATACCATCCTATACCGTTTGGGAACACTTGTAGCTAATTTTTTTCTGACTTGTGAATACTTTGTAGGTCCTGTTTGGTGGTTTCATTATATAATTTTACCTCGGTTTTCTTTCTATCAGATTTCTTCAGCCTTCTCTTTCCCTCTTCCAAATCCAAACCTTCATTTCAGGTTCCTTTCTCCTATATTCCTAGGCCTGTGGTTCCCCCCTCCTTTTGTGAAAGTCTTTGTGTTCCTCTTTTATAATTATCAGTAGCTTAGCCAATGGTAGATGGGGACCCTTGTCCCTTTTCCACCTGTGTGACAATAGAGCAAATTAGCCAGTCATTACCAAAGGCTTTACCACCATGTTGCAAAACCTCATAAGAAAGACTTTTTGGAGCATGCAGTTAAAAGTACAGTGACATCCATGCCATAATAGGAGGAACTGTGAGCACTAATCCATTCTTACAAGGATGAAATGTTTTGTGGTCATTAAACCCAAATTCTGTACAACCTTATTACTCCATGGAATCCTGTTGTATTTGTAAAGTTAAATTGAACCCTACTCTCTCCCATAGGTAATGTCTACAGACCTGAGATGCTAGTAGGTTGCAGCTGCAAGCAGGCATATTTAGATGCTCACTCCCAAATAGCAATCAACAAATATGTTGTTTGTGCAAAATAAAGAAGTTGGGAAAATGAACATATTTCCCAGTATTTTGTATTTAACATTTTAAACTGGACTTTAAAAAAATATGAATTTGATACTGTTGCAATGGACCCTATTAGTTGTGGCACAGCATGCACACATTCATCCCTTATTGAGAGTGCTGGGAACCTTGAGAGTCTTTTTGTAATGCCCAGAGATGGGAAAATAGTACTGGAATATGTGCTGTTAGAGTAGTAACTCTACTGTTAAAGCAGCTTGGGGCCAAAAATCAGCCCAGATACTAAGAATATTATTAGTCTAATATTCTTAACAAAATCTGACACCTTTTAATTCAGAATAATAAGTACTGCAGGTATATTCTGAGTCAAAACTATCTAGCTCTTTTGTGTTTGGCTGTACTGGGAATTCCATTTTCATCTTTGAGGCAGCCTTACTTACCCCTCCCTTTTGAGGGCTGTTTGATTTCAGCCATAGTTTTGTTTTGGTATGAAAAGGTGGTGTTAGCGGCTGATTCCCTATTCACCAGCAGCACGAACAAACGCCTGCTGGCATAAGGTTGAATTGGGCAACCAATCGCAGCTGGAACAGTTATAGTTTCGGAGTCCCTGTGGGCTTCCGCTATCAGGTCACATCCCAAAATAACACTGGGCAGTATTTCAAGTGAAGAAACAGAGGCTTTGGGGTTGCAGCCAGCCTGGAGTGTGAGATTCTGTGTGAAATACTTGGAATCCCTCCAACATTTTTGATCTGCATGGCAGATGAGCAATAAAATGCATAAAAAACACATTGGAAACACGTGAGGAAATTCTCCAGACCAAGACATTTCCTTCATGCTGGCAGAGTTACTGCTGTTGATTTGCACCTCCTGTTTTCCCTTGCTTTATTGGCTGTATTGAGAAAAGGAGGGAAGAGTGCTTTGTTTAGCATTGTTCAGAGTTGCTCTGTAAAAGGACCTTTAAGCTGCTCCACCAGTTTACTTCCCTGGAAACATATATTTGAATTTAAATCTTTTACTACTTCTGATGACCTGCAATACATTGTCCCTCCCCTCCTTTTCTTTTCTTTTCTTTCTGAACTTTTATGGCAATTATCATTTACAGGTTCCATAAGTTTTTATGACACTCTTGTGGCCCCAATTGAAAAGTCATTCTAGATGTTAATAATCTAAAAGTGACCACAAACTTCATAAAATGGAAATGATTTAATCAGCAGACACATACACAAACGGTGTTCATTCCCCGCAATTTTAAAAGAAAAACCTTAGGAAGCAACATTTGTATATATTCTTATTTCCATAGTTTGTAACATCACTGCTCTCCCAAGATTTCAATAGAAAGCCCGACTGGAGGAGGCATTGGTGATGCCAAGTGTCAATGAAAGTTCATCTTTGTCCATAGATTAATTTCCCTTAGGGCTGATTTCACATGTTACCCATGTGGCATGATCACCACATCTACCCAGATAACTGCTTGTGTGAAATGATGCTCACATGGTTTGCGCTTATGGCTGTAACTCCACCAGAGAAGTCCCTTCCTATAAAACAGAATGGTTTCCCTTAAATTGTCTCAGTCAACCTGAATGTTAAGGTGCTGATGTATACAAGTAGTTCATCACTCATGTGTTTGGAAGTGCAGGGCAATATGTGAATAGGCTTTCTGTTTAAGATGAATGAAAATGTCCTTGGCTCCCTTTATGTTTTGCTATTCAGACCTTTCTTAAATGAATGCAATCCAAATGGGATTTCCTGGTATTGTCACCCCTGTCTTTTTATTGTTCTTGTCAGACCAGGAATTGGTGGTTGAGGAGAAGGAAGCTTTGCAAATCTCCCTTGCAGATCATATTTCAGATGTTTTGTGGGGAGAGGAGGGCCTCTTCGTAAATGTTCCAGAACAAATATTTTATTGTATCAGAACTTGTTATACTTTTTATCTAGTGCATCTCAAAATATTTCTGGGAATCAGAGTGTCAACTCCAGATGTAACCAAAAAAGAGCCATCCATAGATCTTAAAAGGTTGGAAGGGATTATTACTGCTTATACAGGGTGAGTCCTTCAAAAGAGGCCCTGTGGATACAGAGAACACATGTTCCACGGGGCCTCTTTTAAAAGACTCACCCTATATATTCTGATCTGTGCAATACAGTTCACCATAGCATGACTGAAGCAGCCCTTGAGCACTTGGCCCTAAGAATCACATAGCTTAAGCTTTGGGATATTTTTCACTGTATAGCAGTATGGGGCCCTCCAGATGTTGTGGATTACAGTTATCATCATTACTTACTGTTTGCCATGTTGACTGGGAGTGATAGGTGTCCAGCAACATTTGGGAAAGCAGTACTGTGTCATATCTCAAAATCAGTGTTAGAAGCTTTGATATACTGTATAAACTAATCTCCAAATGGCACCTTAAACCTAGGTTACAGTCGCCACAATGGAATATCTAGGCGCCGGGGGCTTTTTTGTTTGTGTGTTTTGCAACTGAAATCATCATCAACATCATTTCTATACCGCTTTATATTTTGCAGAACAAATATCAAAGCAGTTTACAACACATTAAAACATCAACTAAAACCATCCAGAACAAAATAAATTCAAGCTTCAAGGAAAATATTTCAAATCCTTCTCTAAGTGACATTTTCCTTTCCCCAGTCTCTAACCTGGCATCCTGAGATCTCCACATGGTGGTCACAGTTGGATCCACGTCAGTCATAAAACATTCCTGGCTAATTTCGAACACTGCTCAAAATGATCCAGTAAAACAATTTCCCTACTTGGATGAGCTGAATTTTTATTTTAAAAAATCTCCCCATAACCCCCAAAAGTAAAATTTCAGGCAGACATAAATTTCATGTCTCCAAATATCTACTAGTAACTATTTAATAACTTCTATGGTCTTGTAAGTGTGTAAAATAAAAAACCATTAATCAATTTTTCCACATAGGTCTTTCATACACAGTTAGGCCTTTGTGGTCATCACTATATGAGCATGTAAATGAGTAGAACCTCCTTCAAAAAAGAAATCAGTATTAAATGTTGCAAGTGGAGTTTAAAGTAACATACAGTGTGTGTGTGTTCAGGTCTCAAAGATTTTAAATTGTATTGGTGAGTTTCTGTTTATTCTTCCTAGGTCAAAAGTGTATATTCTGAGTTTATAGCTAATGTGTTAAGTTTGTGTATGAAACCCTGCCTTGGTTTTGTGGCACTGTTGTTTTAACAATTCCTGCAAACGTGTGTGAGAGTGAAGTGATGATTGTTATCATCATCATAATCAAATTTATTATCTGTCCTAATCCAGAAGGTCCCAGAGCCCACTCTCCTGACCTGATAAGATCTGTAGGGAAGGAGGCAGTCTCACACATATTTAGGGTCTAGGTTGTTTAAGGCCTTACGCATTAGCATGAGCACATTGAATTGGGCACAGAAATGAACTGGTGACCAATGTCACTGTTTTAGAACAGGGATGAAGAAGTTATATTCAAGGGCAGCCCAATGTAGAGTGTCCAAAGTCAATCTGTCCAAAAGGGGCTGTAGCTGACAAACCATCCAGAGCTGGAAATAAGACTGTAGCTGGACTATAACTTCCGTTATCCCTGACCATTGGCCTTCTTGACTGTGACTAGTTAGAGTTGTAGTGCAAAACATAAGAAAAGCACCAGGTTGGAGAAGTCAGATACAGTCAGATTCAGCTTGGTGATACTTGGGATCTCACGTATGCAACTTCCCATTCAGCTCAGTGGGCCTTTCATATGAAAGATGCACTGAGCTGTGTGGTTCTACTCTGACTCTACCACAGTTTGCAGTGCGATGGAGTTCTTTTATCATTATTGTTATTTGTCTCCCTGCTGCCCTCTCCTTTAGCCAAAGCTGGGTGGTGACACAAGACTGAATTCTGCCCTGGAATCAGATCACCAGTTCATGACCAGTTCAGACAGACCTTGATGCCCTTTTTAAATGGAGCACAACCACAGGGGCTTTGGATTGGAATAACAACTATCTGTTTAATTAGCAGGCCAAAAGAAATACTGTAGAATTCCTTGTGTACTATGAAATTGCCACAAGGCCTTTACCATTAAGAAATACTATAAAATTGACTTCAGTTTAATAATTTCAGACCAATGTTGTTGAGCATTTAAGAGTCTAAAGCTAGACTGAATATTGCTTTCGAGTTTAGCTTTCTCAGTTTAGACTGAGAGCATTGTTTTCCATCATACATGTGCTCATCAGTAGAGAGATCATAGGATCTCATAAAAGGTCTGTTTATAGGAATTTTATGAACAATCTCATCTTTCATTACAAGTACTTTCCTTGGAGAAACATAACATTCATAGTCTTGCAGGAAGTGATCTGCACGCAAATGGCTGTAACAAATATTCTGTTGTGGCACCCAAACTGTCTTAATGGATTGCAATGAAGAGCAGTGTATTGCTTCGTTCTGATGCGCTTCTCCCATCACATGCCTGCTAGACTCATTAGTTGTTTGATCAGTCAGCCTTCAAGCATGACCCTCAATTAAGTGAAATTTAGGTATCTTGTAGGGCCACCACTTATTTCTCCTCCTTTTAACTAATAGTCAGAGCCTTGTTGTACTGTATTTGCAAAGATCTGAAGTGTAGATACTGGAGATTGCATAGGATTTTGTTAGCTAATACAGTATTATTTTACTCTGCGTAATTTGTGATGGAAGCTGCTTGTGTGTTTTGGAATTAGACAACACTGAATTGCTTTCTTTCATAATTTCAGAGTGTGTGTTTCTGTAGTAGAGATAGGCAAGAAGCCATCAGTTAGGCTGCTTAAATGTCTTCTGAGAGTTCAGCATGGACACTTGGACAGCCCAGTTCTCCTTTTCCTTCTAAGCCCTGCTCCCACCTCCTGCTCTCTGTACTAGTCCTTCAGCTTTCTCAAGAAACAAAGCATTACCTTGGGGTAGCAGTGATCAGGAGAGTACTCTGCACTTCATGTCTACCCATAGCATACAAGCTCCATAGGTTGTCTACAAACTTGACCTCCATTTCTCACATAATGAGTTCAGTTGGCTCTTTTTAACAAATAATGAATAAAAGCTCTGTATAACTCTTTCCTTCAATCAGAGTGCTTCAACAAGGCAGCCAGACATATCATTCCCTCTCCTGCTTATGTATTCTCATTGTGGTGCATTGATTAAAAATGGGTGGTTCAAGTGCATCATGAAGTCCTTGCTGCCAAAATGCACGAATCCTGAGAAGCAAGATAATATAATGAAAATAAGATGGTTCTGTCTACCAGTGGATCACGCAAATGTTTTGTGTCATTCTGGTCAACCCATCACAGAAGAGACATTCATATAGAACTGAAAACAAAACTGAATTGGCATGCCTTGCTTTATGGAATCATTTGTGCAGGATGAAGAGACCGGAGACATTATCATTACCTTGCACATAGTATGGTGTGATGAAGCAAAGTACAAGTAGGGAACTTAGGACAACAATCTAGGGGGCTTCTGTTGGAAGATTTGATAGAAATAAGTTGTAAAAATTGAACATTAACAGGACGTACTATTGCTCATAAGACATACTTGTTGGTAAGTAATTCTGTAAAAAGCAGTATAATGGCTGTAAGTTGACAGATTTATGAAAGATGAGATCTTTCAGTGTCAAGTTGGTGGCCTCCAGATCTTTTGGACTTGGGGTATTTTTTTACTACAACTCCAGATGTCTTGGACTGCATCTGTGCTTGCTGGGGCTGTTGGGAGTTGTAGTCCAAAAAATCTGGAGAACACTAGATTGACAAAAGGCTAGTCAAAACTGGGAATCGGGAAATACTGCCTTTATTTTTAGGATGCCACTAGGTTTGTTTCATTGAGATTTTGGACATGATGGACTGTAGCATCTCCTCTTGCACCCTTTGAGGGTAGTCCAAGATTTTCAAAATTACATCACTCCTGGTTACAGTCAGCCAATTTCCAGTTCCACTTGGTAGCACATAAGTCACTGTTGCAGCTGTAGGAATTGCTCATCTAAAGGATTTATTTCTACCTGGAACTATGTTGCAGCCTTCCTTATTGATAGCAACCTGAGTCTTCGTCTAAAGGAAAAATCCCATAAATTCTGTAGTAGATATATGTATAGTAGCATTCTCTCTTTTCTACTTGTGACATGCTTTCCTTTGTGTGTCTCTATAGGATCTCTCTGGTTCAATAGACGATCTGCCCATGGGTACAGAAGGAGCACTGAGTCCTGGCGTAAGCACATCAGGGATTTCTAGCAGTCAAGGAGAGCAGAGTAACCCTGCTCAGTCTCCTTTCTCTCCGCATACCTCTCCTCACTTGCCAGGCATCAGAGGACCTTCCCCTTCACCAGTTGGATCTCCTGCTAGTGTTGCTCAGTCACGCTCTGGCCCACTGTCTCCTGCTGCAGTACCAGGTAAAACTTTCTTTTTTACAGGCACAACCTTCTTAGTTTTAACAAACTGCTTATTTTAGGAAGGTGGTTAGAGTATCTGACTGGGAGTGAGGAACTCCAGGTTCAAATCCATATTCAGCCATGTAGCTCACTGGGTGATCTTGGGTCAGTGACCTCATTATTTTGCAGCCTAACCTACCTCACAGGGTTATTGTGAGGAAGAACAGAAGTCAGGGTGGTGGTGGTGGTATAGAACAATGTAGAGGAAAGGTGGAATATCAATGTTAGTAATACATTACAAATAAATATGGGGTAGAGACATGAGTTCAGAACCCATGTCCTGGGTGACTTTGGTCTGCTTTGGGGCTTCCTTGAATGCTTTTGCCTGGCTGAAATGAGTTCTTCACCTATGATAATACTGCTTGCTTAACTAGATGAAGTAGGTGGTGGGTATAGAAATCTGTACTTTGGGGGTAACTCTACAGAGGTAAGAGCCACATCTGTAGCTCCACCTACTTTCCCCTCTGGCCCTGCCACTTTTTGTACCACTTTCAGGTTTGTCTTTTTTGAGCTGCTTTAGTGGGGAGTAGGGTGAAATGCGGTTCTTCACCATCAATTTTTTCTTTGTTGTGCAGGTAACCAGATGCCACCTCGACCACCTAGTGGCCAATCAGACAGCATCTTGCATCCCTCCATGAATCAGTCAACCATAACTCCCGATAGAGGTGTGTGCATGTGTGCAATGACAGTTACGCTGTTTTGCCTGGCTTCTTGTATATAGCAAACATCTCAGTGGTTCACGGATCAGTCCTGATGTGCATGCCTAGCTTTTACAGGATAATCTTCCATGAAAGGTGTAACTGGTGATTTACGAATTAGAGTAGGGAATTGGGACAGTCCTTAATGTGGAATGTGAACTAGAAACATACACAATGCTTTTGTGACAAAATTAGTTTTGCCATGGTGCAGTTTGCATCATTCTCCAAATTATGCTAGATACAGACACACACACACACCCATACTTGTTTTCCTTTTGCCATTCCACCTCAGGTTATTGCTTACAACAGCCTTTCCCAACCGGATGCCTTCCAGCTGTTGGCGATTTCCAAACTCCCATCATCATAATCATTGGTCATACAGTCAGGGGTTGATGGGAGTTGGGAGTCCAAAATAGGTGCAAAGGTGCCCAACAGTAAACTCAAATGTAACCTCTTAACTATAGGGATCAGTGGGAACAATGCAAATTTGTCATTAGCATGTGGTACAGCTGGCTGTTGCTTGTTCTATTTATTCATTGAAATAGGGTACCATGTTTCTTTTATTTTTGCCACCCCATTCTCACTATTCTCAGTGGGTTCAGATAACTTAGCAGTCATCATAAATAACTCCTCAAAGTGACAGCTACAAAATAAGAGTGTGCTGTGCCACAGTTATCATAAGACTAGGGAATTACCATGTGAGAATTTGTCATTGAGGTTTTCAAGCTATTAATGTGAAAACTTTACCAGGCATGTCATTTATGAAGAATTTAGGATTTCCAGAACTAATTATTTTTAAAAATGTGTTTCCATCTGCATAGCCTGCTTTTATAACAATATCCCTTGAAATCATTATTAATTAGGTTACATACAGAGGACTCCACAGATGCCCCAGTATAATTCCCCTCAGCCTGGGTCAGCCTTATCTCCACGTCAATCTTCTGGAGGACAGATGCATGCTGGGATGGGACCTTACCAACAAAATTCCATGGGCAGTTATGGACCTCAGGGGGGTCAATACGGGCCTCAAGGTGAGAGTATTACACTTGTGTTTCAAATAAAATGCATGAGCAGTGAACATGTGTTGTTTCTGTGGTTGGATAAGAACACCTGCTTAAGACAATGAGATACATGGGTAGAAAGCTTGAGCAGTCTTGTCTCTTGACCTACGAAGTGTGTGCTTACAGTTTTTATCATGGATGTTGTTTATTGGATTAAAGTAAAGGGTGAGTGTGTTCTGCCACCATTGCTGAATCTGAACTTGGGAGTGTCTAGGCATAAACTAAGTATCAACACAAAACACTTAACAGAAGATTTTAATAATGTGTGCTACAGTATTCATTTAGAAATTTTGGGAAATGGAGGGGGGTTAAGTGTGACTTTGTCTCCACTTCATAGCCCTTAATTTTTTCATCAGTGTCCCATACTTTACTTGGCCAATACAGTTAGTTTTGGTAACTTAACTAGTCATCTTAATATTTGGATCATTATTGATTAGTCCAGCCTTTGACAATGATTAGCTGATTAACTTAGTCATGAGATCTCTGGTGGGATGATGCATGGAAAGATTCCACATAATGTGTGTACTGCTTTGTGGTTGATATTGCAATGTAGCTGTGATGAGAGAGAGAGTGTGTGTGTGTGTGTGTGAGAGAGAGAGAGAGAGAGAGAGCGAGCGCGAGAGAGAGAGCAAGAAAGAAAGAAAGAAAGAAAGTACTGATGTGGAATAGATTAACATTAGGACACTATTTTGTGAAGCCAACATTCTCCCATCTTTTAGCTTGCCTTGTAATATGCAGGCTCAAGATGCAAATGCAAGAATTGCCAGGATATTCTTTAGTCTTACTGATCATGCTCCCCTTTTCTCTGTAGGTGGATATCCCAGGCAGCCAAACTACAATGCTATGCCCAATGCAAATTACCCAAGCCCAGGAATGGGAGGAACCATGAACCCAATGGGAGCAGGGAGTCAGATCCATGGTCAAACTGGTGTACCACCCTATCCTGGGCTTCCTCCAGGGAGAGGATTGAGCCATGCTGCCATGGGGAATAGGCCCTATGGACCCAACATGGCAAACATGCCTCCCCAAGTAGGGACTGGGATGTGTCCTCCACCAGGTGGCAGGAAAGCACAAGAAGCTGCTGCTGCTGCTGCTATGCATGCTGCTGCCGTCAACTCAATCCAGAATAGGTAAGCCATGGGGGACCCCTTACCTCTGAAACAGAATTTCCTAGAATTTCAGCTCTTTAAAACAATACCTCTTTAAATAAGTCAGAATAGACTTCCCTAAATCCAGAGTAAAATACTGTTAGGCACCCTATTTGCAATAAAGAAAAGGCAAAGGCAGTCTCAGATACTGGCACTGAATTATTACCAAAACACTCCAAAACAAAGTACAGTCACAAGAATAGGGTGGAACTAAACATCTGTATCTGTATATATAATATCAAGTGTCGCGGGCCAGAGTAAATAGGTATATCTTCATCTTACAACAGAAACTGCATAATGAAGAAGCCAGACACATCTTTGTGGGGAGGAAATTCCACAATTTAGGGGCTGCCACAGATGAGCCTCTCTCACGGGATACCATCCTCCAGGCTTCTGAGGGCACAGAACTACCAAGGGCCCCCCTCCTGCTGATCTTAACACCAGAGAGGGTTTGTGGGAGGGATGCATTTGGGGCCTAAGTCATGGTTAAATACCATATTGGCCCAAATGTAAGCCACAAGTCGGGGGGGGGGGAAAAGACAGTACCCTCCTAAAGCCACTTCCTTCCTTGCTTTCTCCCTTCCCGGCCTTCGGGGAGAGGACGGGGGACTATGCGTGGGGCGGGCAGTGCTTTGCCATGCTCCTGGCACTGTTTGCCTCGTGCTCCTGGCTGCATACTGGGGGGGGGGGGAAGCCATGCTGCGTTGCCGGCGGCCTTTCCCCTTCCCTGCTCTCTCCCTTCCTAGCCTTGGGACTGCGTGCGGAGTGGGCACCACTTTGCTGTGCTTCTAGCTGCACACTGGATCATTTTTGTAAGGTTGCAAATATAAGCCACACTTCAACTTTTCACGGTCAGAATTTTTTTGGGGAAAGTGTGGCTTATATTCGGGCCAATATGGTACCAACATCAGACCTTAATTTGGGTCTGGAAACAAACTGACAACCAGTGGCAGTTAGGGAAGGGAGATGGGGTGGGTAGTGTCTTCTGTTGGATTATAATGGAATTCATTTTTCTGCTGTCCAACGTTACCTGGAAGAGACAATAAAATAAGTGGGGTGGGTTTCTTTCGTCTTGTATTGGGAAGGCCTCTGCTTCAGTTGCATCTGGAACATGTATACTCAGTGAGCAATTTACACAGTATTGAGAAGCTTGGGGAAGAGGGCTATGCCAATTTTAGGTGTGTCCAGTTGACACGTGGTCGCCAATGGGTGGGTACTTTTCAGCCTGGAAGAAGGCAAAATGAGGATGGAATGGGGTGGGGTGCACTTTAATGCATTCCACTAATGCACATGGGGGCCAGGAATGGAACCCCAACACAAAATGGTTGCCACCTGTATCTTGATGCTAAAGGAACTCAAACCTCAAAACCTTAGAAGAGCTGAAATTGCCTCAATAGCCCAGATCTGAGTCTCACTTTTTCACCCACACAGCAAGTCAGAGATACACTAAGGAATGCCCACTATGGAGAAAGATAATCTCTTTAGTCTACCTGTTTGTGTAGGGAATTTAATCAGGAAAAATCACATTATTAGCCAAGTGCTCGTTGGTAATGTACGCAGTTGACTATTTCTAATATAGTTGTGTTGTTTTTAGGCCATCTGGTTACCCCCATATTAACCAAGGAGGAATGATGGGAACTGGGCCTCCCTATGGCCAAGGAATAAATAGCATGGCTGGCATGCTCAATCCCCAGGGCCCACCATATCCAATGGGTGGGAATATGGCCAACAATTCTGCAGGTAAGATGCTGTACCCAGTCTTTCTGCCCAAGTTCTTTGTATTTTTGAATGGCAAGCTGAAAAACATTTTCATGTTGGTGTTTGACTCTCTAGGGATGGCTGCAAGTCCTGAGATGATGGGACTCGGGGATGTTAAACTAACACCAGCTCCCAAAATGAACAACAAGGCAGATGGAACCCCCAAAACTGAATCCAAGTCGAAGGTAAAAAAAAAGTTTTCTGTAGCTGCTGCAGAGATTGGGAGGTAGTTTGTCAGCACTGGTTTTTAAAGAAATGTGAGCCTGGATTTTATTAGTGTGCATTTGACTCTATCTTATGTGATTTGGTTATGGTGAAAGTATGAGACTTTTCTTGTTTTACCACCCATATTGTTGCTGAACAACATCATTTCCTTGTAGAGAGCTGCACTACCAACTTCATATGATTGCCAAATGAGGCACTTGTTTGTGCAAATTCAGAGAACACGTAAGCATTTATGGGGTTCTTTGAAGCTTGTTGGATTGTGCCTGGAACACACTTAGACCATGCCTGCGTAATATTCTCCTTGATTAAGTAATGTGTATTGTACCTCTTGCCTGGGGTTTACCTCCAATAAATCATGGCCCTAAGGCATGAAGAGCGCTAGAGCTATACAAAGCTTTTCACTCCAAAGCACTTTATTCTATCCTTTGCTTGCATTCTGTTGCGCTAGTGGACATTCTCTGTGGAATTAAGAGTAGAGCATCTTATGCATTTAGTCTATATTTCCAGTGTGTGGAATGGCCAACCACATGCCAGGTTATGTGGGATCAGCTTTCAAAGATGCACAGAAATGTATTTCTGGTTATGGGAGTCAACAGTCTTCCCCCATGAGAGCTTTGTAGCAGTGTTTATTATAATAGCAGAAGCAACTAATCATATTTCAGATCTAAATGACAAAATGCTGTGCGAGAATTTTTTTTAAAAGTATTTGTGGATGCTCGGACCCCCGAGCTTCATGCATCTTCTGTGTCTTTAGGACCTGATTTCTAACTTTTATTTATTTTTGTTTTTTAAAAAATGGCAAAATTTCCAATATGTCCCTCAGTGCCAACCTGAATTAGTGTATAGTTCTTCTTCTGATGATGTAACATAGAGGGTGGGATTCAAAAAGAGCTGTTGCAAACAGGGTTTGAAATCCTTATTAAGTGGAAACTGTAGTTACTGTTTGTGTCACCAAAACACTTTTAACTGTGGTTAAGGAAGAAAGAGAGAGTTGGCTCCAGAGTAGATAAGGGGATAGGAAGCACATCGTATCTGTGGCCTGCTCATATTCTGATTTTACATCTGCGCCAGCCCAAGTAGATGTGGCCTTGGACATTCTATGCAGGATGTCTCATTCATATTACATGTTACACTGGCACCTCAACTTTCACCAATCTGGAATAGAGATATATTTCCCTCAAGGATTATTCTAACCCTCAAATGTTAATTTTGATGATAAGGGAAATGCAGTGATTTTATATTTTTCTTCTGCCAGACATTTGGTTCTTAGAGAATTAGGTTCTTCAATGTTCTACAGTAGCAACCTACTTGTAAGGTTAACAACTCTGAATATGGGATCTTAACTCAATTTGTCAATTGTATCAAATAGGGCAGTGACCAGGAGGTTGTCATCCTGGTGCCAAAAAGCCTTGCAGGATTCTCCCCATACCTTTGTTATTTTTAATTGCAACAAAGTAGAGGAATAGTAAAGGAATAGTAGAGCAGTTTAATAAAGCTTTGTTCTTTTTCTCAGTCCAGATCTAACAACTACAGTAGTGCTGTTGTAGTACTAAACAAGGAGCCTCATAGTTGCTGCTTCAGAGAGTCTTCCTTGTGCCCTTCAGACTTCCTCGTAGCAAAATACTGACATAGCTAAGCAAGTTAGCTTCATTTATCTTTACTTAGCTAGATAGGATCTGTTTTCAACTCTGTGGCAAATAAGCCTGGTTCCTTTAAACTCAAACTGCTCTTAGACTTTGATTACCTGGTACCTCCCACAGCTTTCTGCTTTAAAGACTGCAGTTCCAAGTGCTTGAGGTTGGAGCCATAAGGAAAGGGACTAATGCAAAAATTCAGTGTACATTTCACAAAGAAATTTTGCTTACATTTTCTTAATGCTCAGACAATTGGGCCATTGCCTAGTCCCATTAAACCCCCATGTTTATTCAACTAGTCTAAAATTCACTGGGGAGAGTGATCCTCTCATATGTTGGATCAAATGAACCTTCCCTGTCTCTTAAATGAAATAATTCCCTGGGAGTGTTTTTCCTGAGGCAGCTGTTGCCTTTTATTCTGCAGTACAATCTTCCTGCAGTGAGAGAAAAGTAAGAGAAGAACAATCAGTCTAGGTAGTGGCTAGAATGCCATATGGGTTCGACTTGAGACATCTTAGGAGCCCAAAAGGAACATTATCAAAACTGATTACCAACTTCTTTGGCTGGGAATTTGCATAGACAGCAAAGTTATCTTGAGGATTCTGACCCTGACAAAGGAAGCAACTTTGACCACTAGTTGTCTAACTTTAGTTTGTCATAAAGTCTTCTTTCATTGCCTTTGTTTGGTGAAATGCCTTTCACTTTAACTAATGCTGATCCAAGGCTTGCGACTATTTATCTGATTTGTATATTCATTTTCAACAATAGTTGTGAAAGCAGGTTACCCTTCCAGAAAAATAAATGTTATTGATAAAATGACAGTAATAACGATACAGTGTTGTAACAGTGACAGATTTAAAAATGGACAGCTAGTATTAAAGTAACATCTTAATAATAAAAGGCTTGCCTGAAGAGAGAGATTTTAACAGTTCATTGGTAACAGATTCAAGAGCTTGGGGGCCACCAGCAAAACAGCTGCTTGGATGCTGGCCACTAGCCTGATACATGGTGGGAGTGCAAAGAGGTATTCATCCTTACATCTCAAAGTGCATGGCAACAGGTCATGTGCTTCCAGACTTGGAAAAATCTGCATACTATCATTGATCAGTTGCTTGAAAGTTATACTAACACCCCCTTCTTTCTATTTTAAAACTCAAAGCTGTGCAAGCACTGTGTCTCACACTATTGCTGTGACATAGTGTGTGTAGTTTGCTCCTGCAAAGAGAAGTTGGCTAACAGAATTAGGAGACATCTGGATGTGGGTGTTCCGTTTTTCACCCCTGATGTTTCCTACATCTCTTACTGACTCTTAACAGTGGAGCTTCTCATTCTGTCCAAATCCTTACTTCTTCCCCAGGCCAGTTTGTCATTGTCAAGAGGTTTTCCTTCTGGCCTGTGTACAACTACATTCAGATAATACTGGGCTGACCTGCATCCACATTTCATGCTTTTTAACAAAGTTCTACCATCTCTATAACCTCCTGCTTCTACTACAGATCTCTTAGTTCTTTGGTTGTCTCTTTACTGAATGGTTGTGTTGCTATTTTCTCTTCATTGACTTGTTTCCATTATTGCTTCTTTGCTCGAAGACAGAATATTTTTGGATTTTCACACAGTGTTGCTGAACTTGCTTTGACTGGTCTTTTAACACCAGGTTGGTGTTCTTCATTACCAAGCCTTTTTGCAGTGAGAGACCAGAAATGTTAACTAGTTCCTTTACTGCCAGAAGATCTGATGTTTGTGAGAGAAGTTGGACATACCAGTGAATGTACTTGTCTGCACCAGTCCATAGGTGGTGGCCCTTCTCCTTGTTGTATGGAACTTATAATTCAGCAGCCTGCATTTCAGAAACATACAATATGTGTTTACTGAAGAGTGTTCTTCATAGCATCTTGATTCTTCTGGGAGCTGGGTGAGGGACAACTTAAATAGGGCCATGCCTTACAATTCTGAGAAAGTTTTACTATTTGGCATACTCCGCTGTGGTTTATGAAAGGAAAAGTCACTGGTGAGTCCAGGCTTCTTCTCTGTAAGGATTCAATGAGGCTGCAGCTTTCCCAAAACTCCTGTGACGTTTTGTTTGTAAATATTATCTTACTCTTTCAACACCCATAAAGATAATGTCTGAAATTCTACTGGAGCCCATTATATTGGCTTTTTATTTATTGGCTATTCACTTGTTGCATAATCACTGTAACCAGCAAGACTTGAATCTAGATGATTATGCTTCATTTTTCTGGCACATTTGTACTGAAATTAAACTTTCATAGGATCTCAGCCATCTTCAGATGCACCATACTTCTTTAATCAGCTTTATTTCGTAAGTTGTACTGCTTGAACATAGTTTCTAGGGTTAACACTTCTTTTACATTTGTTTCTAAGACTTGTTTTTACAGTGTTTTAGTTTGTATTTAGCATACATGCAAATTTATTTATTTATTTATTTATTTATTTATTTATTGTACTGCCTTTCTGCAACCTGTCTCCTCCCTATGCAAAGTGGCTGACAAAAATAACCAAACGAACAAATTAACCAAAATCCTGTATTGGTAAACAAAGCAGCAAAGACAGTATCAGCACATCAATAACTAGCATTATAAAAAGAAAATTCATGGCACTTTTAGTAGCCACCAAATAAAGCAGAAAATCGAGATTAATTCAAATTAAACAATGAGACTACAATAAAACAACAATAATGGAAACAGAAAGCTAATTAATATGAATTCAGAGTCATTAATCAACAAATGCATGGACGAGCAGGACAGATTTCACTTCATGTCTAAAAGATTTAAAAAGAGGCTAGACATATATTCCTCAGGTGGAGTTGCATCATTTGGGCATAACCCTTAGCCATGGTTCACTGTCTAGTAGCAACCTGCATAACCTCTGGAGATGAGTACATCCAAGAAAGTTCATTGATGGCTCAGCTGCTGTGCAGGTTCATATAAGAGCAGGCAGCCCTTAGGGTACCATGGTGCCAGATGATGTAGGGATTTATAAATTAAGACCAGCCCTTTGAACTGTGCCCAGAAACAAACTTGAAGACCACAAAGGTATTTGAATATGGATGTAATGTGTTGATTCCAAAAGATAAAAGAAGACGAAGAGTTTGGATTTGATATCCCGCTTTATCACTACCCTAAGGAGTCTCAAAGCAGCTAATAATCACCTTTCCCCTCCTCCCCCCACAACAAACACTCTGTGAGGTGAGTGAGGCTGAGAGACTTCAGAGAAGTGTGACTAGCCCAAGGTCACCCAGGAGCTACATGTGGAGGAGCAGGGACGCGAACCAGGTTCACCAGATTATGAGACTACCACTCTTAACCACTACACCACACTGGCTAGATTCATGACTAGTTAATGACCTGGCTATCATATTCTGAAATACTTGTGAAGTTTTTAGAGAGACAGCTGTACATATAATGCACTGCAGTAATGAAACCTGGATGTTACTAAACTGCAATGTCAATGTCATCTTTGCAGTAAAGGACCAGTTTGTAATTATTGCTGTAATTAACTGATGTTAACCTAGATTTCCACAATGCACTTAGACTGAAGTAGGGTGATTGCGCCTACATCAGAATGGTGTCATTGCTTTTCTCCCTGCGTTATGTGATGATATCCGAAGACCTACCTTTTCTCAGATTGCTTTTAAATTAATGTGTGATTCTCTACTCTGCTTCTTCCTCTCTTTTTTCTCTAGAAATCCAGCTCCTCTACTACTACAAATGAAAAGATTACTAAACTATATGAGCTGGGTGGTGAGCCAGAAAGAAAGATGTGGGTAGATCGCTATTTGGCTTTCACTGAAGAGAAAGCAATGGGCATGACCAATCTTCCAGCTGTGGGCCGGAAACCCCTAGACCTGTATCGGCTCTATGTCTCTGTGAAGGAGATTGGAGGGCTGACTCAAGTGAGTTAACTTAAGCTTGTATCTGTTAAGATTCCCTTTCTCAGGTCCGTCTTACACACAACACACGTTTATATATCTTATTAACCCTGGAGGGATGCACAAGGCCACATCTAATTCATAAATTCCCTGCCCTGATAAGCAAAATTCTTGATAGGTTGCTTCAGTTTTTTTATTCACATTACTACATCAGTTTGGGGTAATACTACTGTTAGTGCTCCCTCCCCTCTTGAACTTGTGTTTTTATATTTGCTTCCCTAAGATGGACAATAAATTGCTTATTGCTTTTTTTTAATCCTTTGTTATGAGGAAGGAAACTGGTGATTTATATTTGAGTTTCCTTACTTTCCTAAACACTACTTGAGAAGTGTATTGCTTTGCCTGTGGCATGCTTTAGAAAGGAGATGTGACTTGGATTTAAAAGTTGGCTCTTCTGGCTTTGTGCAGGTTAACAAAAACAAGAAATGGCGTGAGTTAGCAACCAATTTGAATGTGGGTACCTCCAGCAGTGCAGCTAGCTCTCTGAAGAAGCAGTATATCCAGTGTCTCTATGCCTTTGAGTGTAAGATTGAGCGAGGAGAAGATCCTCCCCCAGACATCTTTGCAACTGATTCAAAGAAGTCACAACCCAAAATACAGCCTCCATCTCCAGGTGAGTCAACTTTGACTTCTGAAGTGTTGAATTCATCCTGTCTTGTAATGTCCAGATCAGGGTCTAGTAGGCCACACCCTGTATCAGTATATCACAGTTGCTCAACAGGGTCCTTATTCTACCAGAATGTGGAACTGTGGCAGTTATATATTTTTAAAAGGCATATTTACAAATGTGATTTATCTAGGCAGCCTTTCTGCATTTGTAAAGGTGTTAGAGCATCGTTGAGAACTGGAGGTGGCTTTTGCCTGCTCCAGGCAGGGTAGCTCTTTCAGATAAAGGATGGCATGCTGGGATTATACACTGATGTAGAGACAGTTGACTTTTCTTTCTGTTGTTCGCTTAAGACTTGAAAACGTCTTGCTGTATATCTCAAATTTGACACCTTGTTTTTTAGAACCCAAAAGTATGCTTTATAAGGCTGGAATGATAGATTTAGTGCTGATACGTTGCAGATTTCTCATGGGTTCATGGTTTGGATCAAAAATTTTGGTATCTGATCCAGAACTTGAGAAGACCTGGTTTCAACATATCATTCACTTCTTACGTATAATGTTGTGTCCTTACACAGCTGCCTGTACAATCACAACATGCTGCTCAACTGAATGGGCCAAATATGTGTGCTAAATGTCTATTTTCTGTTAGTAGTCCTGTGGTACTCATTGTATTTCTGCAAACCACATAACTGTGACTTTTCTAGCAGCCCGGGATTGTTGCAGTGAAGGGTGGGACTAGTATGAGAAAAATGGGAACCAAGACTAACAATTGGCTTAAATACACTGCTACTGCTGTATTAATGTTCTTCAGCATACTAGCTGTCTTAATGTTTGAAGAGCTCTAATCCATATACTGGAATTTTTTTTAAAAAGACTAATATCCACTACAAATTGGGCACTGTAAAAAAAAAGTTTTTCTTTCTTCCCCACCCCTTCACTGTAAAGGTAAGCACTGCTTTTTCTTAAGGCAACACTGCTGTGATTGAAGTTCTTTTGCTTTCATTTTTTACTTATGCTGACCAATCCTTGTTTCACGAAAATTTCTCAGAACTTTGATCATCTATTATACTCCTGGCCATATGTGGGGGGAGAAGGTGGGAATGTGAGCCCAAGGCTTATAGTGGCTCCTTCCTGCTCAGTAAACCATGGTTTAACATGACTTGCAAGCACGGCCACTGTGTTACTATCATGGTTGTGGAAATTGATGGGGGGCATATTAAAGAATTGTGACAAGGCAGCACTGTATGCCTGTAGCTACATTCTGAAGTAACTTCCTTCACAGCAGCATGATGGAGAACAGTTGACACGTCAGAGGTTTTGGGGGCTGACGTATCAAATAGGAGTGACATCCAGCAGCCAACTAAAAATGTATTAGGAGTTGTGTTACATAAGATCAGGTGATTTTTCCATCAAATCCAGTGTTGTCATCTCTGGCTGGCAGTGGTTCCAGGATGTGAGATGAGAACTTTCCCATTACCTGCTACATGATCCCTTTAACTAAACATGTCACAGGTTGATCCTGGGACCTTTGGTCCTCAAATCTAATTGATGCCTACAAGAGTCTTAATTTGACCTGTGAGACTGTTTCCCTCAAGCCACATCCACTCGCTCCAAACCTGGCATCGTATATGTCATGTGTGAGGTAGATAAATACTACAGAGGAACAACCAGGAGCCTTTGAATGAGCTCCTTCTTGTTCCTTGGCAAATGGGGCTTGTATTCATCGTATTTTGAATTGGATGGCAAATACAAGCTCTGCTGGGATTGTTTCGACATGGGAGTTCCCAAGCAGAGCCAGTCCCTGCTAAAAGTGGGGCTTAAAGTCACAATCAGCTGGTTGGCATTGACTTCAAGCCCCAATTGGATTGACTGGGATCTGCGTTTGCTGTGCAGCTTGAGTCCAAGCCTCCTTGCAAAGGAAAAATGGATCACCTAATATCATGGTGATGGCATGCCTGTCAAAGTAGCGCAGCCAGAGGTGGCAGAACTCAGGATCTAGAACTCTGATCAGATCATGTTCCTCACCCCCCTGCTGTACAATGAAGACGTACTATTCCACAAAACAATAGTTCCTCATTTGGAATCATTCTGTATATTTGAGCAGTCCAATACTGTTCGGTTGCTGAATGCACTAGCTGGGATTCAGTAAAAATATCACTGAGAGTAGTGATGTGCTCTTGCTCCCTTCTGGTGACCCAGTCTGAAATCCATTGCTGGAAGAGGACATGGTGGGAATTTGAGATAGACATCATAGGATCTGTACCTACCCTTTTCCTGCTGCTTTGTGCCACTTCTCTTGAGCAAATGGATATGCTTCCAGTCTTCTGCTCTCTGCAGTGTGAATCCTTTTCATATTCAAATACTGTGGCTGCTTATTCTGAGTAAATTTAGTGGAGGGGATGCATAGCAACAGCATCATTTGAACCTGAACCTCCTGGACAGTAATTTTTGTTGTTGTGAGAAGGTGTGGTGACATGTTGCTTGGAGTATCCAAGTGACACACTATCTATCCCACACCACATGAGTGAGGGGATGCCCCTGTGGCATATTATGTGATGGAGGCATCAGGGATACAGGTGTCATTTTGCCTGTCAACATTACGGTTTCATAGGGTTACCATATTTTTCGCCCTATAGGACGCACTTTTTCCCCTCCAAAAATGGAGGGGAAATGTGTGTGCATCCCATGGGGTGAATGCAGGCTTTCGCTGAAGCCTGGAGAGCGAGAGGGGTCGGTGCGCACCGACCCCTCTCGCTCTCCAGGCTTCAGGAAGCTCTGCGCAACCCTCGGGAGACCAGCGCGACTTTGCGCCGGTCTCCCGAGGACTGCGCAGAGCTGCCTGCAGCCCTGGGCTTCGCGCAGCCCTAGGGAGCCCGGGGCGAAGTCGCGCCGGTTTCCTGAGGGCTGCGCAGAGTTGCCTGCAGCCCCGGGCTTCGCGCAGCCCTAGGGAGCCCGGGGCGAAGTCGCGCCGGTTTCCTGAGGGCTGCGCAGAGCTGCCTGCAGCCCCGGGCTTCGCGCAGCTCTGCGCAGCCCTAGGGACCCTGGGCCGAAGTCGCGCCGGTCTCCTGAGGGCCGCGCAGAGCTGCATGCATTCCGAAGCCTGGGGTGCGCTGAAGAGCGCACCCGGGCTTCGCGCAGCTCTCCGCAAGCCTGGGGAGACCGGTGCGACTTCCCGCCGGGCTCCCTAGGCTTGCGGATAGCAGGCTGTTCTCGGGGCTGGGGTTGGGGGAATCTCGGGCTTCCCCCGTGCCAGCCCCGTGCCTGGGGGGGAAATAAATTTTTTCCCCTTTAATTCCCCCCCCCCCCAAAAAAAACTAGGTGCGTCCTATGGGGCAGTGCGCCCTATGGGGTGAAAAATACGGTATATCCAGTCCTAGTCCTGTTCAGGGTGGACCAATTGAAATTAATGCACATTACAAACTAAGGTCCATTAATTACAATAGGTCTGCTGTAGAACTCAGTTGGATAAAACCCATAATCTCTAACCCACCACCTCAAAAACAATTGTTGTAGGTTTCATTTGCTGCATTTATTGTATACATCTTCTTATTGCATTTTTATTGTAAAGCCTCTCCAGGAAAGTTTGTTTGAAGGGTGAGGTTGTGTATGAATTTAAAAACTCACAAGTACATTAATTGGTGATAACACAACCAGCTCATTTTTGCTGTGTTGACCAACAACTGTAGTGGGACAGGAAACCATCGAACACTTGCGTTGCAATAATGCTGTTAACCTCCAAAGTGCCGCAGTATTCCTTGTAGTTGCCGTGAGAGGCTACCATAGCTAGCTCTCTAGAACCTACTACCCCTTTAAGAGGTGTACAGCTCCAAAAACTAGCTCTTGGCTGATTTACCTGCAGGCCTCTTTTAACTAAATGTCCTGTGTTGCTTTGGTTTCTGTTGGCTTCTGTTGAAAAGCTAATGCTTGTGGCTGGAAAAAGCCATGTTCCTGTGGTTGGATGGGGCTGATCTGTGCACTTAGGGGTATATCTGAAGGGGTAAACTTGCAGTTACAGCAAACAGCTCGCTTGTGGAAGATGCCAGGGTTCTCCAGCCAGCAAAACCCCCCTATTTATTGTGTGTGGGTTTGTGGTGCTAGGTCCTGATTTGCTTTGCCACTCTCCTTAAAGCATTTGTGGTGCTAAACTCCTCCTTACAGTGCTGCACAAGTAGTGTCTTGTGTGTTAGATGGTGCCTCCTGGATTGCTACTGCACAAGCTTGCTCTCTCTCTCCCCTCCACGCTTCCCCCTCCCTTCCCCAATCCCTTTCAGCTTTTTTTGGCTCCTGGTTATGAATGAATGGCTGGCAACATGTGCCCTGGGAAGTGCAGCCAGTTAGGCTTGAATTCACAGTGTATGGAATTGGCATCCCTCCAGCAGTTTGTAAATTTGTGAGTTGGGAGGGACAGCAGGGGGTGGGGACGAACAACAAATGGCAGCGACACAGGGAATGTCTCGAAACCTCTTCCTGCTGATGTCAGTGTATTAGAATGCAGCAGCGACTTTGCTTGTTGGATTCCCAGGGGAACGGAATGGAGCTGAAAGGCTAATGAATGGGGAGAGGGTGTGAGGGGAGGGGTTATGAATGAAGCTCCCTGCTGGGCTTGCCTCTGCCCTTCCTTCTCAGGAGATGTCCCCAGACTGGGAGGGAGCAGCGGAGCAGAGGGAGAGGGTGCCAGGAAGGTGGGGCGTAAACAAACATGACCTGTAGCTGACCTCTAGAGGATTTTAATGAATAGCTGAAATGACTCATCAACTTGCAAGGCTGAGGCAAGGGATATCAGTGCCGAAAATGGTAACTAATGGAAACCTTAATTAAGAGTTTGGCTTTCGCTAGCTGCTAGGAGTGTATAAATCTGAGAGATGGCACCATTAGAGGCTGTGGTTGGCCTGGAACAGCAGAACTCAATAAACTGCACAGCTGGCTTTTTGATATTGTATACCTGGATTTTCAGACAGTTTCCAGTGGTCTTGTGTCGAACGGTCCAGAGTAGCTGCTTGATCCCTTTTCCTTAGCCTTCTATAGAAGAATTTGTCTTGGACTTTCTGGGAAGGCTCCAATGGAGATTCCCTGTGCTGTGCTTTTAGAACCTTTTACTTGAGGAGCTCAAACTAGGAGTTGGGTGTTTAATCTGCCGTCAACATGCCTTTCTTGGTCATGTGCAAAACTGGACCATACTGATGCGGAATTGCCTCCCTACCTAAAGATGCAGCTCAGAACATTGTTTCTCCTGGGAGGCTTTGTTTTGTGGTCTAGCTCACAGCACTTTTCAGTTAAGCCTAGCAAATTTGGGTTAATAGTCACAGGCATTATGGTGTGTAGGAAAGAGCAAGTTCTGTTATAGAAATGATGACCATTGCCTCCCAATATATCCTCGGATTTCAGGAAGTTGTACTTCCCTGTTCAAGGAGTACTACCTTTGAGAGTTTGCATTGCTATAAAATCCTTCAAGGTTTTTCTTAGTAGCTTCTATTTACCATGGAGCTGATGCCTCTCTTCTCTACTTGCAGCTGGTTCAGGCTCCATGCAGGGCCCTCAGACACCTCAGTCCACCAGTAGCTCCATGGCAGAAGGAGGAGACTTGAAGCCCCCAACTCCTGCATCTACGCCACACAGTCAAATGCCCCCTTTGCAAGGCATCAGGTATTCCGCAGTCAACTTCCTGCTACTAACAAATGCCTAAAGGCTGCTGTGCCTGGCCGTGGCTTTTCTAATAGATTGCATTGATTGACTTCCATGTTAAAACAGTTCCTCCTTTTGTTGGCTCAGGAGTAACTCAGTAGGCCTTCAGGACACCTTTCCCGATGGCAGTGACCCTACTTTCCAGAAGAGGAACTCCATGACTCCAAACCCAGGGTACCAGCCCAGCATGAATACTTCTGACATGATGGGTCGCATGTCCTATGAAACAAAGGATCCATATGGCAGTATGAGAAAAGGTGATGTTATCTTTCATACTATAGCACAGAGCCATTAAACTCTCTAATCCCATGAAAGGAGCTTTGGAACAAAATAGCTTTAATTTTATGTCCAATATAGCTTCATGTCTTCCTGCTGAAGATTGATGGTTTCCTTTCTCCACTTTCAGGAAGTGATCCCTTTATGTCCTCAGGGCAGGGCCCCAACAGTGGTATGGGTGATCCTTATAATCGTGCTACAGGTCCAGGGATGACTAATATGGCCATGGGGCAGAGGCAGCATTATCCTTATAGCCCTTATGAGAGAGTGAGGTGAGTATTCACCCTGGATGCATTGATTCTGTTATTGATTGATTGATTGATTGATCCATCCATCCCACTTTCCCCCTAGAACAAGGCAGTTCTCAAAAATGAAAACAGATAGAGACCCTATGCTGCTATACCAAGCAAATCACAGTTATGCAGATATTTGCTAAATGAACACAGCATTTTTCTCCCAGAAATATCAGTTTTCACAGAATTTATGTGTCTCAGGTTTGGGTTTACAGGTGAATATGTTTTTCAGGAGTATGTAAGTGGCAGGAGGGCTGGATATGGGCAAGGCAGGCTTTGAAGGATTGTGGTGTTAGTGGAACAGGACTAAAAGATGTGACAGTTGAAGTGATGGCTGGACTCTGTTTCCTGAACTATGGAGCCTTGCATGAGCACCACCCCACCTTGTCAGACCATGAGGACTAGAAATTCTACAAGGAATGAGAAATTTAAAATTCTATACAAAATGTACAAGATTGTACAGAACTGCAGAAGGCAAAGAGAGCCCTGGTTCTGTAACATGCATTATATTTATTTGCAGTGGTGATTGTGCTGTTAGGTCAAGTATGGGGAAACAGTAGCCCTCCAGATGTTGGACTATAACTCTCACCATCCCTGGCCATGCTGACTGGCGATAATGGGAGTTTGGAGTCCAAAAACATCTGGAGGGCTACAGGCTCCCCACCCCTGTGTTAGATTCTTTCTTTGTAGATGAGGGCTAGAATTGCTTATAGTGTGAGGGTGTGCTGTGTTTTCCCTCAGGACTGAAGCTGGAATGGGACCTGAAACCAATTTAGGAACCGGAACACCCCAGCCCAACATCATGCCTTCCACTCCTGATTCAGGGATGTACTCCCCAAGCCGATATCCTCAGCAGCCACAGCAGCGGTAAGTTCCAGTATGCCTCTATTGTGTCAGCAATACAGTCACAATAGAATTCCATGGTGTTCTGTGCATCTGGGAAGAAAACTAATACTTTCATCTTTTCTGCAGACATGATTCCTATGGCAATCAATTTCCCACTCAAGGTACATCCTCCAGCAGCCCCTTTCCTAGCCAACAAACCACCCTATATCAGCCACAACAGCAGGTGAGCTCCCTGAGGTTTTGCAATTCAACTGATAAAGATTGGGGTGGTTGTGACCTGTGAGCAGTCACAGAAGGGAAGGATAGTAATGGTTTAGTTCAGTGGTTCTCAAAAGGAGTGGCATGAGAGGATGGCAAGTGCGGCGGGAAGATTCAAGGACAATAAAATAAACGTTTGAATATTTCAGTGTAGTATTGTATCAAAATATTTGGGGGGGGGTTTACAATCAGAAACCGTATCCATGCCTCTATTCAAGATTATTGGCTCTGCAACATATTGTTGTGAACAGAGATTTTCAGCTCTGACAAATATGAAAGATCAAAAAGATGCAGGCTTCCTCAACCTCGGCCCTCCAGATGTTTTGGGACTACAATTCCCACCATCCCTGACCACTGGTCCTGCTAGCTAGGGATCATGGGAGTTGTAGGCCAAAAACATCTGGAGGGCTGAGGTTGAAGAAGCCTGGAAAAGAGAAACACCTCTTTGCATTGATGAGATGAAAGTTTGTTTTTCTCAAATTAGACATAATATAACTGATATTATCCTGCAAAAGCAAGCTTACACTTCTCATTGAGTTTGTATACATACTTAAGCTACATATGTAAAAGGCTTGTTTATAATTATATCATGTTCTTATGTAGCTGCGTTGTTTTATGCTTTCTTGATTTCCTATGATCATATTATAAAGTAGTTGTGTTCTGTGTTAAATCAAGCACTGCTAGTTGTTTCTTCTTTTCCAATGTTTTTCCTATCAATAAAAAATTTGGTGTGGTATGATAAAAAATTATCCTGAAAGTGTGGCCCAGAGAAACATTTTTGAGAGTCACTGGTTTAGTTTAACAAATGCTGGGATTTCCTGGCTGAAAGGGGGAAGGGGGTGGTCTTCCAAAGCACACCTGAGTTATCCAGAACTGTTCCCATATTTGTTCTAGATCTCCAGGCCTTAATTAGGCTTTGCCTCTACTGTGCTGTGGATTTTGCAGAGGGAACTTAAACATATTCATACTAAACAAAGAATCTTTTCTGTTAGTTGAGAACTAACTTTCTAACTTATCTGCAAAAATATTATCTTAAAATGTAGCTGAGCTAAATCAAATCGTAGTTCAGGAAATTTAGGGTAGGTGTCCACCCCTCAAAGATCACCCTTTTGTATAGAATTCAGTTTCTGTATTTCTTAATATACATAATCACAGTGTAATTTTGTGTACAGGGTTCTCTTTCAGTCTTGGCAGTATATATGACTCCTATCTTCTTATTTGAAGTCAAAGCTGGAATATAATTATGTCTCACTTGGATGAGAAGGTGTTTACAGTTGTAAAGCTTGGTCTATAACCAAAAAATCCAGGATTTGATTATTCTTATAGCTTTGCCTTAATAATGTTATCATAGCAGGATACTTGAAGGTTGAAATATTAATAATAAAAGCCCTGTTATAGAAGCTTAACCAGCTGTTTGCAATGGGCACCTTTTACTCTTTTTATTTTTGGCATAACTCTGCACACTCTTATCTTGCCACAGACCCCTTGCCACAAATCATTTCTATTGTCTGGAGCCATGTGGCTGTAGTCAAATTTGCAGTTACTGATGTGATCGAGTACAGTGGGCCCTGGTGAGCAAGGCTTATGAAAACCAGCATCATGTTAAATTGCATCCAGTCCCCAGTCTTCGACTTGATAGTGTTTGTGTTTTCCCCTCCTAGTATATAAAGGAAACCATGGCCATCTCCAAAGTGCCTTGATATAGTCCTGTATACGGCAAGAGAGGGAGGCAAAATAAGGTTAGCTTTCAATGTACTTTATTGAAAACCTCTTCCAGCCTGAACCAGTTATACAACATATTCTGTACACAGAGTACAGCTGTTCATTTTGGACAAGGAGATAATCAGGTTTGAAGCTTCTAGTACCAAACCCTGGTACACCAGAGAACAGTTCTGAGTAGGATGAGAGGAAACTGATGACTTCATGCTGTTCTGTGAATGCTGTAGGTTCCTGCCCATAATCTCTTAGAATGAGAGCCACTTATGAATTGCCAGCTTTTGTTTTCTTTCCAGAATTATAAGCGACCGATGGATGGCAACTATGGCCCCCCAGCCAAACGACATGAAGGGGAACTGTACAATGTACCGTACAGCACAGGCCAGGGACAGGCTCAACAGCAGCTGCCTCCGGCACAAACCCAACAACCAAGCCAGCAGCAAACTGCTCAGCCTTCTTCACAGCAGGAAATCTATAACCAGTATCCGAACACATACCCTGCCACAGATCGCCGACCTGCTGCTGGGCCACAGAACCAGTTCCCATTCCAGTTTGTCAGAGAGAGGGTCACTGCTCCCCCAGGCTCTAGCACACAGCAGAATATTGCTCCTCAAATGATGGGTGGGCCCATACAGTCCACTCCAGAGGGCCCACAGCAGGGCACCCTGTGGCAAGGGCGTAACGAGATGAGCTACAGCTATCCCAACCGGCAGAGTACTGGTTCTGCACCCCAGGGTCCTGCATATCACGGAGTGAATCGAACAGATGAAATGCTACATCCGGATCAGAGGGTTAATCACGAAGGACCGTGGCCTTCTCATGGAAACCGCCAGCCTCCTTATGGGCCCTCTGCCCCTGTGCCCCCAATGACAAGGCCGCCCCAGCCCAACTACCAGACCCAACCCAGCATGCAGAATCACATTCCTCAGGTATCTAGTCCAGCACCTCTTCCCAGACCGGTGGAAAACCGCACCTCTCCAAGTAAATCTCCATTCCTGCACTCAGGAATGAAGATGCAAAAGGCAGGGCCTCCTGTCCCGGCCTCACATATAACACCAGCAGCTGTACAACCTCCTATGATACGACGGGACATCACATTCCCACCTGGATCAGTGGAAGCTACACAGCCTGTGATGAAACAAAGACGACGTCTGACCACAAAAGATATTGGTAATTGAGCTTTCATTCCCTTGAGTTGATGGGAGAGTGGTGTGTGCCAGACCACAAGGCACCCTTTGGTGTATCATGCAGGGATTTGGAACCTTTTTCAGCTTGAGGGGCTGCATTCACTTGTGGGCAATCTTCCAGGGACCACACATCCAGGGGGTGGGGGTTGGACACACACCACTCCATCCAGGCAAGCAAGAGGTATTATTACAATTCAAGGGCACATTCCAACCAGGTAAGATCACTAGAGGAGGACACTGAGCAGAGCCAATGAGGGGTGTGTCATGGGCAGAGAAGGGCCAATGAGGGTTGTCAAGCCTGGAGGCCTGGGGTTCCTCAGTGCTACATTATTATGAGGGAAAGGACTCTTAGATTGGAAATAGATGGTCTTGGTTGCTGTGGTTATGTCTAGTGTCCCTTCATGTGCTGGATGCAATCCACAGGGAATTTTGCAAACCTAATAGAAATCATTGGGAGCCATGCAAGAGCTTTCTTAGATTTGTGCAAGGGTGATTCCTTATGGATTGAGAATTCAAGTCCAGTCCACCTGGCTGGGTGACTTGCTTTTGGTTCTTGTGCAATATAGAAAGCAGGATTCAGGGACAGGTTTAGTTTCATTTCATTCTGGGAGTTCAAATTGCATCAAATGTATTTCTATGTTGCAGGAACACCTGAAGCTTGGAGAGTAATGATGTCTCTGAAATCTGGGTTACTGGCTGAAAGTACGTGGGCTTTGGATACCATAAACATTCTGCTGTATGATGACAACAGCATAATGACCTTCAACCTTAGCCAGGTGAGTTGACACCTCCAGGAGACAGGGCTTTGAAATTTAAAAGTGGAATTGAAAGACATGAGCAAAAGATTAACATAGAAATGTGACTAAAGTTTGGGCTGTGTGTATTCTGCATAGTGTGGAATTCAGCATCTTGAGAATCATTTAATGTCCTTAGGGCTGAAATATTAGGCTTGATATCTTTGGGGGTGGATAGGGCTTCCAGAAATCAGGCCATATGGTTTCCTGTCTTTGCTGCTTCTCCCTCTGTATGACTAGAAGTAACAAAGTTATATAAAGTATGTAAATCTAGACAAATTTGCATTACTTAACTGGTATCTGTATCTGTGCAGAATGTTAACTGTCGGATGTAAGTGCACACAATTTTTTCTTATCGGTGAAATTTTAAGTGTTGGAGCATTATTATTATTATTATTATTATTATTATTATTATTTCAGTTTATACACTGCCCTATACCCGGAGGTCTCAGGGCAGTTCACAAACAATCGGGGTGGTTCACAAACATGGTGAAGAGTGGATAGGACAAAACAACAACAACAATAACAATAACAACACCGCAGCCCAGGACCTACTAGGGTTAGGATTTGCGAGTTAATAAATAACAAAGACCCAAACAATTTACTTGGGGCATTAGTCCACAAAAGCCTTAGTCCACTTTATCAGAGGTCCTGATATACAGGGCATTTATTCATAAAAGCTATATTAAATTTGTTGACTCTTTAAAGGTTGTTCAAGACACTCTGGTTTTAGTGCAACAGACTAACACTGAAAGTTTTGATTGTATTTTAGCATATGCATTTCAGCTTACAGGTTTGAAACTAGGCTCAGATGTAACATAAAACTATGGTTTGGTGCTACATGAATGAACCTAGAACTTGTGCACTTACTTTTTCCATTGGGTCCTGTGATTGTTACCCTCCCTTATTTGTTTGCAGCAAGCCATATTTTTCCATCATGTCTGACCTGGCAAACTATGGTTTGCACTTGTCATTCAAACTATGGTAAAACCCTGGTTTCTAGGGCAAGTGCAAACAGAATTGTAAACAAAGGTTTGAGCATGGTTTTCAAGCAGTTTTCCAGTTTGGATGCAATGACAATATGTGGTTTTGACACAAACGGGAGAGAGAACTATGATTTGGCATTATGTCTGAATTGGGCCAAAGTTGTCTTCAGGGGCAAGAAAATGTTGCACTTTCTTATTTCATGTTCTGTTCCCTTGCAGCTGCCAGGGTTGTTGGAGCTACTAGTGGAATATTTCCGACGATGCCTGATAGAAATATTTGGAATCCTGAAGGAATATGAGGTGGGAGATCCAGGGCAAAGAACACTATTGGATCCTGAGAGGGTCAGCAAATCTTCGAGTCCTCCTCCTGAAGAGGGGGATAAAGAGGAGCCACAGAGTCCTAACTGTGAGGAGGAAGAGGAAGGGGAGGAGGAGGCTGCCTTTGCAAATAAAGCCACAGCGCCTCTTGAGAGCAACGAGGAAAAGCTAGTCAGTAAATTTGACAAGCTTCCAGTCAAGATAGTGCAGAAGAATGACCCATTTGTGGTAGATTATTCTGACAAACTTGGCCGGGTACAGGAATTTGAGAGCGGGCTGCTGCACTGGCGGATTGGTGGGGGAGACACCACTGAACACATTCAAACCCACTTTGAAAGCAAAATGGAGCTGTCGTTGACTCACAAGCGAGCTCCTTGCAACTCTATTTTGCGAAAACATTCTGTAGCTGAGAGCAACCCAGTCACCCGAGAGGGAGTATCCCCTCCATCTGACAATCCTCCGGAGAAAAGGATAACAGCTACCATGGACGACATGCTTTCAGCACGACCCAGCTCATTGGCAGAGGAGGAGGGAGTAAGAAATGTGGAGGTGGCAAAGGAAAGCGGTAAATTCCCATTTGGCATTAGTCCAGCTCAGAGCCACAGAAACATACAAATCCTGGAGGACGAACCTCACAGTAAAGACGAGACGCCCCTCTGCACACTTCTAGACTGGCAGGATTCGTTGTCTAAACGTTGCATCTGTGTGTCTAACATCATCAGGAGTTTATCATTTGTGCCAGGCAATGACTTTGAGATGTCTAAACACCCTGGTCTGCTGCTGATCTTAGGGAAACTGATTCTCCTGCATCATAAGCATCCAGAACGCAAACAAGCGCCACTGACATATGAGAAAGAAGAGGAGCAGGACCAAGGAGTGAGCTGCAACAAAGTGGAGTGGTGGTGGGACTGCTTGGAGATGCTGCGTGAAAACACTTTGGTCACATTGGCCAACATCTCTGGCCAGCTGGACCTTTCACCATACCCCGAGAGCATCTGTTTGCCTATCCTGGATGGACTCCTCCATTGGGCAGTGTGTCCTTCAGCAGAAGCCCAAGATCCTTTTCCAACCCTGGGGCCTAATGCTGTCCTCTCCCCTCAAAGACTGGTTTTGGAAACCCTCAGTAAACTCAGCATCCAGGATAACAATGTGGATTTGATCCTTGCAACGCCACCCTTCAGTCGCTTGGAGAAACTCTACAGCACCATGGTGCGTTTCCTTAGTGACCGAAAGAACCCGGTGTGTCGGGAGATGGCTGTGGTACTACTGGCCAACTTGGCGCAGGGCGACAGCTTGGCAGCTAGAGCCATTGCTGTGCAGAAGGGCAGCATTGGCAACTTGTTAGGCTTCTTGGAGGACAGCCTGGCAGCCACTCAGTTTCAACAGAGCCAAGCCAGTTTGATGCACATGCAGAACCCTCCCTTTGAGCCGACCAGTGTGGACATGATGCGTCGGGCAGCTCGAGCGCTGCTCGCCCTGGCCAAAGTGGACGAGAACCACTCTGAGTTCACGTTATATGAGTCACGGCTGTTGGACATCTCCGTGTCACCTCTGATGAACTCGTTGGTTTCACAAGTTATTTGTGATGTACTGTTTTTAATTGGCCAGTCATGACAGCCGTGGGATGCCTATACCCCCTGTGTGCGTGTGTGTGAGTGGAGGACTTAGAAACTGATTGTTGCCCTTTATTTATGCAAAACCACCTCAGAATCCACTGTCTGCCCTGCGCTGTCCTGCTTCTACCTTGGGGAAAAAGATATTCCCCCTTCCCTCACCTCTGCCCTTCAGATCTGTCCTAAACCCCTGTTCAAGGAGACAAAGTTCTGCCTACATTTAAAAAAAAAAGACTTTTTTTATTTTAACCAAAGTTGCTGTTGTTTACAGTGAGTTTGGGGAAAACAACTTTGTCCTGTTACCGCATCAACAGGCGCTACTTTCATAACTGTTTTTAATGGTAAACTCTGAAGGACAAAAAAAGTGACTGCTGAACTCTTGTGTGGTTTATCGTTGTACATTCACAATCTTGCAGGAACCAAGAAGCTACCAGTTGTTAACAGACCTTGTCCAATGGAGGCCTGTGCAGTAGAGTGTAGAACTTCATGTACTGTACACCTTAAACTGTAAACATACTGTAATAATGTCTCACATTGAAGAAGAAAAAAAGCTGGATCAGCAGCAAGCTGTAGTTTTTAAAAATGTTTTTAGTTAATGTTGAGGAGAAAAAAAGGCTTTTCCCCCAAAGTATCATGTGTGAACCTACAACACCCTGACCTCTTTCTCTCTTCCTCCTTGATTGTATGAATAACCCTGAGATCACCTCTTAGAACTGGTTTTAACCTTTAGCTGCAGCCTCATGGCTGCCACGTGTGTATATATATATGACGTTGTACATTGCACATGCCCTCAGACTCCTTGCAGTTTTGTTCCCCTTCTCCCTGCACCCCTTTATAGTATGACGAGTTAAACGAGTTGATGACCTGCAAAAGCGAGACACCAATTATTTAATCTCTTGCCAGACATCTCTCTCTCTTTCTTTCTCTTTCTCTATTTCTCTCTCTCTTTCTCTCTCTGGAGGATGCTGTACAGGTCTCTGTGTATAAAGTCATTGCTGTCTCAGCAGCCAATCAACTTATAGTTTTATTTTTCCTGGGGTTTTTTTGTTTTTTGTTTTTCTTTCTAATCGAGGTGTGAAAAAGTTCTAGGTTCAGTTGAAGTTCCTGATGAAGAAACACAATTGAGATTTTTCAGTGATGAATTCTGCATATTTGTATTTCAGACGATGTAGCTAAAAAAAAAAACTTGATGTAAATTCCTCCCTTTTTTCCTTTTTTGGCTTAATGAATATCATTTATTCAGTATGAAATCTTTATACTATATGTTCCACGTGTTAAGAATAAATGTACATTAAATCTTGGTAAGATGTTTGTGAGGGTTTTCATTTTTGAATGGCCCAAAAGGCCGCCTAGTGGGATCATCCACACTTCTAATTTGGATTGATTTCATAAATGTAAATTGCATTTCTAAAAAGAAAAGAAAAAAAAAAACGACTCCTGGGTTAAAGGAAGAGACTGCCCACTTCCAAAGGGAAATACGTGGGATTTCTGTTTTAAAATCAGGAAACAGTTGTTGCTTTGAAGATTAGAAAAGTAAGCAGTTCTTGATTTTGGAATTGTTTTTACCTTAACTTTAAACACTTCCTGCCTGAGGGCACCAAAGTGTGCCTGCCATGTTGCTAAGAATTTATAAATCAGTCCTGTTCATGACATCTACAGATGTTGAAAAAGTGGGTAGTGGCGGGTAAAAAATACAGAATATATGGATAAATCTATCTCCCTCACTCCTAGTTCTGTGTTTCTGAAACGAGGTCAGTTTCTTTGACCCTGTTGGAAATGGTAATAAGAAACTTTCATAAAGAACAGGGATCAGCAATTTTTTTCAGGAGGGAGCTGGTCCACTGTCCCTCAGACCTTGGGGGGGGGGGCGGACTTTTGAAGGAAAAAAATGAACGAATTCCTATGCCCCACAAATAACCCAAAGATGCATTTTAAATAAAAGGACACATTCTACTCATGTAAAAATATGCTGATTCCAGGACCATCCGCGGGCCGGATTGAGAAGGTGATTGGGCCGGATCCAGCCCTCGAGCTTTAGTTTGCCTACCCATGATAAAGAACAACGAGAAATACAGTACAGTGGTGCCTCGCAAGACGAAATTAATCCGTTCCGCGAGAGTCTTCGTCTAGCGGTTTTTTCGTCTTGCGAAGCAACCCTATTAGCGGCTTAACGGATTAGCGCTATTAGCGGTTTAGCGGCTATTAAAGGCTTAAAGGCTTAGCGGAGTAGCTGCTAAAAGGCTATTAAAGGCTTAGCGGATTAGATGGGGGGGAAAGCGAAAAAAAAATCTCAAGACTCGCAAGACATTTTCGTCTTGCGAAGCAAGCCCATAGGGAAATTCGTCCTGCGAAGCAACTCAAAAACGGAAAACCCTTTCGTCTAGCGGGTTTTCCGTCTTGCGAGGCATTCGTCTTGCGGGGCACCACTGTAAAGCACTTTTCCAGGTTAAAAGCTGCTATGAATTTACATAACTCTGTGAAGCCAGTATTAACAGAGCTTTGTGAATTGGTAGCTAAATTTGTGTCCTGTCCTTCTACATAATAGTAATGGAGCTTTCCCCCCTCCTCCCCTTTTGTTTCCCCAAAATGGCTCTGGGAGGTCAGGAGAACCCCCAGAACAGCACACGAGGGAGAAGAGGGCAGGTTGTTCCTTCAGGCAAGCAGACATGTTTGCGCTGATGCTGCAATCTGCTTAGTGCTGCATTGAGTTACTCACTATTAAGAATAAATACTCCATTTATATCCCTCCCTTTTCCTCCCATAGGAACCCAGGGCAGAAAATGGTGCTCAAGGCAAAGACAGTGTACAATGTGGGGTGGGAAGGAGAGTTAAGGACAAAGTGCTTGAAAAGGAGTTAAAAGCATAATAATAGATATTTAATATTCCATAACCTGAAATAAACACGGCAAACACATATTACTAAAGCACTCCTGTACTCTGCACATGCCAATTAAAAATGGATACTCCTTTGCTTAATTGGACAGACATGTTTCAGCTTGGAGTCTTCATCTGTGGTCAAGCATAGGCTTTAGAATAAGAAATTACAGTGGTACCTCGGGTTAAGTATTTAATTCGTTCCAGAGGTCCGTTCTTAGCCTGAAACCGTTCTTAACCTGAAGACCACTTTAGCTAATGGAGCCTCCTGCTGTTGCCACACCGCTGGAGCACGATTTCTGTTCTCATCCTGAAGCAAAGTTCTTAACCCGAGGTACTATTTCTGGGTTAGCGGAGTCTGTAACCTGAAGTGTATGTAACCCGAGGTACCACTGTATTAGGTAAAGGTAAAGGGACCCCTGACCGTTAGGTCCAGTCGTGAAATTATTACCTGGAACATAAATGAGGGTTATCCAGTTGCAGCATTCTGTCAATCACCACATCCAGTGTACACATTAAATTAAGGATTATTTTCAAATACTGTTAGAAATATTTCAAATAGTTAGAAATATTTGGTTGAGTACAAATACAATACAATACAGAGCAAGCCATCATATTTCTGTTTTCTAAACTAAAGCCATAGCACAGAGGTACCAAACTATCAAATTTGTCACATTTGGGCCTTATTGAAATCAATGTGAAAACTTAAAAGTTGTGGCTAAAGTGCCACAGATTTCAACAGAGGCTAAGTGCAGCTAGCTTAGTCTAGTTGATCCAAGCTATTTGTATTTTACATTGTTAGCCCCTCTGAGACACAGTGGTCTGAAGAAGATAGGTCACTAAATAAATTAATATAGGGTTGTATCCAATGTTAGTCATACTAAGAAACAGGCTTATTGAAATGAATGGACATGACTAACTTATGCCCATTGATTTCAATGGGTCTACTCTGATTAGAACTTTGTTGGCTTGGCTACAACCCATATAGTCTTACCTTAGAGGCAGAGAGATTTCCCTCCTACCTCATGAGGATGAAAACAAAACCTTGCAGGCAAAAAAAGAGGATAATTGTTAAGCTCATTGAATATCTAAGACCTTGATAAATTTAGCTTAAAACAAAAAAATGTATTATATTTGCATCCTTCCCTTTCAGGAGTTCTGGGAGTTGCATACCAGCTTTCCTATTTAGTTGATGCAGCTGAGAGAAGTTAAGAAGGTCTCTGCTGGATCAAATAATCCAACAATGGCCAACCAGATGCTGTTGGGAAGCCCACAAGCTGTGCATGAAAACAGCAGCTCTCTCTTATTGTTGTTCCCCAGCAACTGGTATTTACTGGTATCATGTTTTGGACTTGGAGTTTCCCTAAAACAGTCAAACCAGTAGTCCATGATTAAGACATCATCCATGAATTTGCTCCTCTTTAAAGCCATGAAATGTTAGTGGCAGTGAAGTTCAGGGGTCTACAGAGGATAACTGAACAGAGGATTTGAGCTCTGTTTTTCCTCATTTTCATCCAACACTGTCCACTACACCACTCTTGTCTCTTTTATGTGCTCCACTCCCTAGGTTTTCCACTGTAAGCTCTGCACCAACTTTTTGTAGTCAACTAAGCTACTCAGAGTAGGCCCACTGAAATTAATAGACCTGTCGTGTCCATTAATGGGTCTAAACTGAGTATGACTAATGTTGGATCCAACCTTGTATGGGGACATGGGTGGCACTGTGGTCTAAACCACCAAGCCTCTTGGGCTTGCCAATCATTAGGTTAGCAGTTCGAATCTGCAGATGGGGTGAGCTCCCGTTGCTCTGTCCCAGCTCCTGCCAACCTAGCAGTTTGAAAGCATACTAGCACAAGTAGATCAGTAGGAAGGTAAATGGCGTTTCCGTGCGGTCTGGCACTCGTCATGGTGTTCCATGTGCCGGAAGTGGTCGTCATGCTGGCCACATGACCCAGAAAAGCTGTGGACAAACGCTGGCTCCCTCGGCCTGCAAGCAGAGTGCCATACCCCATAGTCAAATTTGACTGGACTTAACTGTCCAGGGGTCCTTTACCTTTAACCTTTACAACCTTCTTGTCTCTTCCACCTGTTTTGCCACAGAAGAGCCAATCTCCACATTTGAATTGTTTTGTACTCAAGCCAATGAAAATTTTAATGTGATTGTAAATGGCAAAAAAGGAAGTTGAATTGATAGAACAAAGGTGTCCTTAGCTTCCAAAGTCAACCCTGAAGCCAAAAGAATATCAGACCTCCACTCCTGGATAACGAATAAAATAATGTCTTAGGGTATTCTGCAGAACCATCATAAGGCAAAGAGGAGAGAATATAGCCACATAGTCCTTTTTTTGTCATTGCTGCTTGTGGATCATGTTATCAGTGGATTGTTCTCTGGGTTCCTCCCTGTCCCCTACTTGTGTTATGAAGAAAATGTTTAGATCTGATCACACTTGATTATCTTGTTCTCAGAGATGGATATGAATTGTGAACTAGTTGCAAAGGGCACTTGCTCTTCTGTGTAAATGACAGCAATCATCTCTTAAATCCTTGGAGAAGATGGTTGCTAATGCTATGTGGAAAGTGCCTATGTAACAGTAGCTTCTGTTTATTAAATATTATATGCTACTTTTTTGTTAAAATATCCAAGGCAGTTTCCAAGGCGTGCTTGGTGTAGCAAAATGGCCTTAAAACATCCTAAGAAGAGTAGAAGGTAATGACATAAGAACAGCCATTAGTCGCCATTAAAAACATTGGAGAATAAAAAGTTAGTTTAATGCTTGTAGCTTTTCTATTTAAAAACAACCCAAGTAAAAGAAAATCTAGCAAAATGCAACCCTTTAAAAATAATAATACATCCATTAAAAATGAAAAGCAGGTAAAATAAAAGGAAGCGGTACTAAAATTCCTGCAGGTACAGGTCACTGATGAAAAACTAGCATAAATTAAAAAATCTTAACCATTTTTTTGCAAGACAAGAGGGTTCCTGATGATTCTCCAGTGGGAGGGAGTTCCAAGAGGGTCCCACCACTGAGAAGGCCCTGTCTTTGCACTCTTTTGCCTGATCCCATGTATGGACAGGACAGTAAATAGGTTTCTTATAGCTGATCTCAAATGCCATGTACAGCTTTAGATGTCTTAAATCAGGATTGGGGAACCTTTAGGCCTCCAGATGATATTGGACTTCAACTCCCATCAGCCCCAGCCAGCATTGCCAGTGGTTAGGGACGATGGGTATTGTAAACCTGCTGTGCTAGCAGCAGCCAAATTAAATTCTAAACTGGGAGGAAACTGTTTTTGCACAAATTCATCCTGATTTGCGGGATATCTTGATATATCTACTGACCACAATGCCTCAGCCATTTGCCACTAGTAGCAACGTTCAAATCTAGTTCTCCAAGTACATCATATGAGGTGTTCTTCAGGGCCATTTCATCCATGACATTTTCCTATACAGGAAAGTGTTCCCCCCGCCCCAAATTCTGACCATGAAAAATTAAAGTGCGGCTTATATTTGCGACCTTATGGTACGCAGCCAGGAACTTGGGGCAAACAGTGCCAGGAGTGCAGAAAAGCAGCACACCCGTGCGTAGTCCCCGTTCTCTCCCCCAAGGCTGGGAATAGAGAGAGGAAGGGGAACACGCGCCCCCCAGCATGCAACCAGGAGCAGCAAGGAATGGAGCGGCTTATATTCAGTTATTCCCCCCTTCCAATTTTAAAGGTGCAGCTTATATTCGGGCCAGTACGGTACACCACACATTTAAAGCACATAACATACCCCCAAATAATACTGGTAACTGAATTATGTTAAGGGTGCTGGGGATTGTAGCTCTATGATGGTTCAGTGGGATCTTTCGGGGAAGTCATGTTCTTTAACTGTTCTTTAAGGGGGCAATCCTATGGCAAGGTCTGCTGGAATGAGCACCTTAGGATGCAGTGGATCTCCATCTCAGCTGGCTTATTCCTAGCTCAGCTGAGCACAGCCAACATTATATCTTCAACCTCAGCTCAGCTGAAGATGCACTGGCGTGAGCATCCAGCTAAGATGAGGCTTGTGTACATCCCCAAAGAGAGACATGATAGGGGTGTAGCAGGGGCTGGACCAGAGAGGGTGGGATACTTAGGCTGGATCCTAAGAGCATTCAGCTTGTTTGTATGACCAAGCAATCCAGCATAGACAACTGTTCCATAGGCTTGTTTTCTCTCTGCCAGGCTTAAGCAGAGCAGCAGCAGCAGCAGCAGCAGCAGCAGCCCTGCTGCTGAACAGAGTTTGGATCTGATATACTAGCTTGACTTACACTGGCAAGCTGAATGTCAACGTGCTGTGCATAGGGGTTGCGCACTAAATGTATGGTGTGTGTGTACGCCATCCCAGATCTGAAGGCAGGCAAACTAATCCTATTGAATAGGATTGTTGGCGTCTGTCCATGGCATGTTCTAAAACAGGGGTAGACAAAAATTTGATCTGGATTTGCTGGTAGATGACTTGGGTGAGTTACAGATAGGGTGGGGGAGAAAATCATTGTGCCAAATTTGCACTACCTGAACTTCAATGCAGCTGTCTCTTGAAATTTGCACTTCTTTGAATTTTGTGATATGCTTCTCAAACAACCACAAAAATGTTTAAAATGGAGCAGACTCCATTTGAGGATCTCTCCCTCATTACAGTCGATCAGGTATATGAAGACGAGCAGCAAAGTCAGTCCTCAGGGAATGTGCAGGCGACCTTGGAACGGACAGCTCACAGAAGAACCCCGACCAAACCTAAGAGGAGGCGTGTAGTGGTGATAGGGGATTCCCTACTGAGGGGAACAGAAGCAGTGATCTGTGGGCCTGACAAGATGTCTCGGGAAGTGTGCTGTCTCCCGGGGCTAAGATCCAAGATGTAACTGAACGACTGCAAGGAATCATAAAACCCACTGACAAATACCCCTTCCTCTTGGTTCATGTGGGAACCAATGACACTGCAAGCAATAGCCTCCAGAAGATCAAAAGAGACTACGAGGCTCTGGGCAGGAAATCGAAGCAATTAAATACACAAATTGTCATCTCATCTGTCCTCCCAGTTGAATGACGTGGCCCAGGGAGAGAGGGAAAAATAGTGGAAGTGAACAGCTGGCTTCGCAAATGGTGTAAACAGGAACAGTTTGGATTCTTAGATCACGGACTGCAGTTTCTTGAAGATGGACTTCTGGGAAGCGATGGGCTGCACCTCACAACAGTTGGGAGGAATGTTTTTGCCAAAAATCTCAGAAACCACATCAGGAGGGCTTTAAACTGACTAATGTGGGGGAGGGAGACAGTGCTCCTGAAGGTAGGAGTCTATCAATTGATGCAGATGATCATCCAAATGCCATAGACCAAATGGAGCAAACAGCACGCAGACCAAGTGGTGGAAGGAAAAAATCCTTAAATAAGAGACACGGGGGAATGATTAATGGACTTCAATGTCTGTACACTAATGCGCAAAGCATGGGAAATAAACAAGATGAGCTTGAGCTCTTGGTACAGCAAACTAAATATGACATAATAGGCATCACTGAAACCTGGTGGGATAAGTCCCACGATTGGAATGTAATAATGGAGGGATACAATCTATTTCAGAGAAACAGACCAGACAAGAAAGGAGGAGGAGTGGCGTTGTATGTCAGGGATGTGTATACCTGTGAAGAGATCCAAGATTTAGAACCTCAAAGCCAAAGTGAGAGCATTTGGGTCAAAATTAAGGGAGAGAAGAATAACAGTGACCTCATTGTGGGAGTTTACTATAGATCCCCAAGCCAAACGGAGGACATAGATGATGCCTTCCTGGAACAGATGGCCAAGCATGCAAAAGGAAGGGAGATAGTAGTAATGGGGGACTTCGGGGACTTCCGAGGGGCGGCGCGAACGGCAATGGCGGTCCTCTTCTGAACGGGAGAGGAGGCTCCGCAGACAACGGGTCGTCCGCTACGGCGAAGCGGAGACCCACTCCGGAAAACCCCAGGCAGCAAGAGCTTGGGGTCTTGAGGCTCGGTGGGCGCCTTAAGTGACCCTCCAAACGTGAAAGGAACCTCGTAAGGGGCTCCGGAGCGTGGAGGGGGGTTGCGGCGCTGAGAGCTGCTTCACAGTCTGCGGAGTGAAGCCGCGCTGCTGCTGCCGGTGAGCGCTGATCCTTTTTCCTGTTAAAATACGGATTCGGACGAAAAGCAACTTACTCGTGAGTAAAGACTGAATCACTTGAAATTAGAGACTTTAAATGAAAAACCTTAAATTGGCTTGAACTTGGCTGAAAGCGGAGAGACGTGGAAACAGGAAGTCCGTCTTCCGCAGCCATTGAACTTGAAAAAAGCAACTAAGTTGGAGGAGTGGAGGCTGAAAGGAAGAGATTTTAAACTTTACAGATCTAAGCATCTACTGAACTTGCAATTTAAAGTAAAGACTTTAAGCTAAAGATTCGGAATTTTAACTTGCACTTGACTTTCCTCCTTTTATTGGATTACAAATTAGAAGGTGAAACCCAGAGTCAGGAGCTGCCTGAGCATTGAGAGATTGAGCTGTCAGTATTGCAGATTTGGATACTGTATATTGGAACTTGCAACAATCTGAGGGTATTGAGACTTTTTAAATTTGAAACATTCTTTTGGAGATAAATAAGCACTGTCTGTAACAAAGTGACTACTTATAAACTCTGCTAAATATTTATATCTGAAGGTTCTTGGACATTAAATTAGACTCTGAAAGACATTTTAAGCTCCCTCTAGAGGATTGGATTAAAACAGTGACTTTACATCTACATTTACTTTCGATTCCCTTGTTGTTTGCTTGCTCTGGGCCTTTCTATTCCCATGGGAAAAACTCAGTGTGACCTTGACTGATAGACAACGTTGGAATGAGTGGCACAAGGAAAAGAGGGAGAGTTAGACAAACAACTTTAACAACTCTAACCTCAGCCTCGCAGACACGTAGATCATCTGTACCTACTTTGCCCTCAGAAGTAGAACTTGAAGAAGTTGCCTTGCCACAGGCAAAAGAGGGAGAGGGTGAAGCAGAGCAGTTACAATTGGAAGATATGGCCTCAGGAGCATCTGTTTCTGTTCTAGACAAAATCTTTGAAAAATTGGAAGCTTTGGACAAGAAAGTAGATGCGCAATCAGCAAAGATTGACAAAAATACAGAATGTCTAAATAAATTAACCATACAAGTGGTACAGAATACACAAGCAATTGGACAGTTAACGGAGGCCTCAGCAGAAAATCGGAAATTGGCTGAGGATACTAGACAAAAATTGGAAAATTTAGAGCAAGAGGTAAGACCACTCACCAAACAAGTTGGGGAACATCAGACTTATCTTTCCATGATAGAACTGCGAAATCGTGAGAATAATTTGAGGATTAGATCATTACAAGAGGCAGAAGAAGGAAATTTAACTGAGTTTTTGACTAAAGAATTTTCCAAGTTCTGGAATTTGGAAGAAAAGGATTTTAAAATTGTGTCGGCTTTCAGACTTGGAAGATTCACAAAGAAGGAGAGGCCCAGAGACTGTTTGATTACATTGAGATCAAAGGAGGAAAGGGATAAGATTTTGGGCCTACATTACGGAAAGTCACTGGAGGTTTTGGACAGAAGAATTGAAATTTATAAAGATATTCCAAGACAACTGCTGGATCTTAGAGCCGCCTATTCTGAACTTGCTAAACTACTAAGGAGCAACGCAATTCCATTCAGGTGGGAATTTCCCCAAGGAATATCTTTTACCTTTAAAGGGAGAAAGGTCAAAGTTAGAACATTGGAAGAGAGAGACAAATTTTTGGCTACATACGGAGAGGACCTTCAAAAAGGAATTGAATTACCTTCTGGGCCTGGGGCAAAGCCAGCATTAACACCAGCACCTGGGGAACCTGAAGATCCAGAGAAGATACCACCCCTGGAGAAATAACCAGATAGATCCAGGATGTCTCTGCAATTGCTGAGTTGGAACATTAATGGTTGTAACATTCCGGAAAAAGGAAGAAAATATTTCATATATTAAAAAAGAACAATTGGACATTATCTGTTTACAAGAAACACATGTGACGAGGCTCCACAGAAAAGTGTTAATAAATAAAAGATTGGGCCAGGAATTTGTTTCGTCGGACAAAGTTAAGAAGAGAGGCGTGGTGATATATGCAAAAGAGAGCCTGTCACCTAAATTCTTATTTAAAGATGAACATGGAAGAATTTTGGCCATTGAGATACAATATCAAGGAGAGAAACTGTTGATATTAGGAATCTATGCACCTAATGAAGGGAAATCGGAATTTTACAAGAAGCTGCAGGGGACAATGCTGGACTATCTGGATTACAACAACATCATAATGATGGGAGATATGAACGGGGTCGTGTCAACTAACATGGACAAGTCACAAAGTCAAAATGTTACAAAAGACGGCAGACTACCTAAAACTTTTTTTGAAATGACTGACAATATGGATTTGATTGACATTTGGAGGACAAAGAACCCACTAGGTAGAGAAGGAACATTCTTTTCTGAAGCCCAACTGACCTGGACAAGAATCGACCAAATATGGATTTCCAGAGGCCTGGCACCTAAGGTCAGAAAAGTGGAAATCTGCCCAAAGACCTGCTCTGACCATAATGCAGTAAAGATGGATATGACACTACTACCAACTGGATCCTTTAGATGGAAGATGAATGACAATTTGTTTAGAGATCAGGAAATTACCAAGAAGGCCCAAAAAGTTTTGAAGGACTATTTTGAGATAAACATGAACAATTCGGTGGAAAAAAGAATTGTCTGGGACGCAAGCAAAGCTGTAATGAGGGGATTCTTGATACAACAGAATGTAGTAAAGAAAAGAACACAAAATGAGAAAAAAGATAAGATCTTGGACAAAATAAAAGAATTAGAGAAGAAATTAAGAGTGAATCCAAAGTCACAGCCAACTCTGAGAGAAATTAAGCTTTATCAAACACAATATTCTAAATTGATAAATCAGGAAATTGAATGGAAGGTTAAATTAATGAAACAAAAAACGTTTGAGTCGGCGAATAAATGTGGAAAACTGCTAGCTTGGCAGTTGAAGAGAAGACAAAGATTAAACACGGTTACAAACTTAGAGGTTGATGGAAAAAATATTCAGAATCCAGTGGATATTAGAAAGTGTTTCCAGAGATATTTCAAAAATTATACACCCAAGGGCCGCAAGACGAAGTGGAGATTAAACAATTTTTGGCAAATGGACTATCTAAATTGTCACAAGAAAATAGGACAATTCTGAATTCTAAAATAACACGACAGGAGATTGAACAAGCCATTCAGAACATGCAACTTGGCAAATCTCCAGGGCCAGATGGGCTGACCTCCAAGTATTATAAGACATTAAAAGACTATTTGATACAACCTTTGATGGAGGTCAGCAATGAAATTATGGAGGGGAAGAGGGCACCGGATTCGTGGAAGGAAGCGTTTATCACATTAATACCAAAGTCGGAAGCTGAAAAGACACAACTTAAGAACTACCGCCCCATCTCCCTTTTAAATGTGGATTACAAAATATTTGCAGATATTTTGGCAAGTAGATTTAAAAAGTCTTAAATGAAGTAATTCATAAGGACCAGGCCGGTTTTCTCCCAGGTAGACATCTGTTTGCCAATACAAGGAACATTATTGACATTTTGGAACTTCTGCAAACAGATATAAATACAAAAGCAGTTTTAATTTTCATAGATGCGGAGAAGGCCTTTGACAATATCTCCTGGAAATTTATGATGGGAAATTTAAAAGAGATGGGAGTGGGACGGGGTTTTGAGAATGGGATTGAGGCGATATATTCAGAACAGAAAGCTAAACTGATAGTTAATAATGTGGTCACAGAAGAGTTCAAAATTGAAAAAGGGACACGACAAGGTTGCCCTATCTCCCCTTTGTTATTCATTTCGGTTCTGGAAGTGCTATTGAACATGATTAGAGGGGATCGGTTGGTGGAAGGAATTCAGGTCGGTCAGAAACAATATAAACTAAAAGCTTTTGCAGATGACCTGGTTTTGACCCTGCAGAAGCCAGAGCCCAGTACGAAAAGAGTATTACAATTGATTAATGATTTTGGTCGGGTGGCTGGATTTAAATTAAATAAACAGAAAACTAAGGTTTTGGGGAAAAACTTGACTGATACAGAGTCAGAACGGTTTCAGAATGAGACGGAACTCAATGTGGTTAAAAAAGTAAAATACCTAGGGGTAAACATAACAGCAAAAAATCTAAGTCTATTTAAGGACAATTATGAAAAATGCTGGACAGAAATTAAAAGAGACTTAGATAGTTGGTCAAAATTGAAACTTTCTTTGTTAGGCCGAATTGCTGCTATTAAGATGAATGTATTGCCAAGGATGTTGTTTTTATTTCAGACACTTCAGGTTTTGGACAAAATGGAGTGCTTTCAGAAGTGGCAGAGAGACATTTCTAAGTTTGTCTGGCAGGGCAAAAGCCCAGAATTAAGTTTAAGATATTAACTGATGCAAAACAAAGAGGGGCTTTGCCCTGCCAGACTTAAAGTTGTATTATGAAGCCGCAGCGTTCTGCTGGCTAAAAGACTGGCTACTTCTTGAAGACACTGATGTGTTAGATCTGGAAGGGTTTAACAATGTTTTTGGATGGCATGCATATTTATGGTATGACAAAGTTAAAGCAAATAAGGCCTTCAAGAACCATATTGTCAGAAAATCACTGTTTAATGTCTGGACAAAATATAAAGACTTGCTGGAAAATAAAACACCAAGGTGGCTTTCACCTTTGGAAGCTAAGGCCCGAAAAAGACCCAATATGGAGGCTAAATGGCCAAAATATTGGGAAATATTAGAAAAGGATGGAGATAATTGGAAATTGCAGAGTTTGGAGAAAATGAAAGATAAAGTGCGAGATTGGTTACATTACGCTCAGATTAAAGAAGTTTTTAAAAATGATAAGAAATTAGGGTTCCAGGTGGAGAAATCGAAACTAGAAACAGAATTGTTAGAACCAAAGATTAAGGTACTTTCAAGGATGTATAACTTGCTGCTGGAATGGAATACACAAGATGAAACGGTTAAATCGGCTATGATAAGGTGGGCACAGGATATTGGGTATAATATTATGTTTGAGGACTGGGAAAGGTTGTGGAGTAATGGATTGAAGTTTACTGCATGTAACGCTCTGAAAGAAAATGTAATGAAAATGATTTATAGATGGTATATGACCCCAGTCAAACTTGCAAAAATTTACCACCTGTCTGATAATAAGTGTTGGAAATGTAAAGAGTCTGAGGGAACGTTCTTCCACCTCTGGTGGACTTGCCCTAAAGTGAAGGCGTTCTGGGAGATGATTTATAACGAATTGAAAAAGGTATTTAAATATACCTTCACCAAGAAACCAGAGGCTTTCCTTTTGGGTATTGTCGGCCAAGGGGTGGCAAGGAAGGATCAGACACTTTTTATGTATGCAACAACAGCAGCAAGGATACTTCTTGCAAAACATTGGAAAACTCAAGATCTACCCACACCCACAGATGGCCAAGCATGCAAAAGGAAGGGAGATAGTAGTAATGGGGGACTTCAATTACCCGGATATTTGTTGGATGTCAAACTCAGCCAAGAGCATAAGGTCAAACAGATTCCTCACTGGCCTTGCAGACAACTTCATTGTCCAGAAAGTGGGAGAAGCAACAAGAGGAACAGCCATTTTAGATCTGGTCCTAACCAATGTTGATGACCTGGTTAGTGGGGTAGAAGTGGAAGGATCATTAGGCGCGAGTGATCATGCTCTTCTGAAGTTTACTATACAGCGGAAAGGAGCAGCCAAGCATACTAGGACTCAATTTCTTGACTTTAAGAAAGCCGACTTCATAAAACTTAGGGAAGTGCTGGGTGAGATCCCATGGACAGTAATACTAAAAGGAAAGGGAGTTCATGATGGCTGGGAGTTTGTTAAGAGGGAGATAGTAAAAGCACAACTTCAGGCAATACCAATGAGACGGAAACATGGAAGGTGCCTAAAGAAGCCAGGGTGGCTATCTAAAGAACTTTTAACTGAGTTAAGATTAAAAAGGATGTGTACAAAAAATGGAAAAGGGGAAAACCACCAAAGAGGAATTCAAACAAATAGCCAGCACGTGTAGACACAAAGTCAGAAAAGCTAAAGCACAGAATGAACTCAGGCTTGCTAGAGAGGTTAAAAGCAACAAAAAAGGCTTTTATGGGTATGTTCGTAGCAAAAGGAAGAACAAAGAAACAGTGGGGTCACTCAGAGGAGAAGATGGTGAAATGCAAACAGGGGACACAGAAAGGGCTGAACTCCTCAATGCCTTCTTTGCCTCAATCTTCTCCGATAAAGAAAACAATGCCCGACCTGAAGAATTTGGAGCAAATGATTCAGCAGAGAAAACACAGCCCAGAATAACTAAGGAGATAGTACAAGAATACTTGGCTAGTTTAGATGTATTCAAGTCTCCAGGGCCAGATGAACTGCATCCAAGAGTATTAAAAGAACTGGCAGATGTGATCTCAGAACCACTGGCAGTCATCTTTGAGAATTCCTGGAGAACAGGCGAAGTCCCGGCAGACTGGAGGAGGGCAAATGTTGTCCCTATTTTCAAAAAGGGGAAAGAGAGGACCCAAATAATTACCGCCCAGTCAGTCTGACATCAATACCAGGGAAGATTCTGGAGCAGATCATTAAGCAAACAGTCTGTGAGCACCTAGAAAGGAATGCTGTGATCACCAATAGTCAGCATGGATTTCTGAAAAATATGTCATGTCAGACTAACCTGATCTCGTTTTTGACAGAATTACAAGCCTGGTAGATGAAGGGAACGCAGTGGATGTAGCCTACCTTGATTTCAGCAAGGCATTTGACAAGGTGCCCCATGATATTCTTGTAAAGAAGCTGGTAAAATGCGGTCTTGACTATGCTACCACTCAGTGGATTTGTAACTGGCTGACTGACCGAACCCAAAGGGTGCTCATCAATGGTTCCTCTTCATCCTGGAGAAGAGTGACTAGTGGGGTGCCACAGGGTTCTGTCTTGGGCCCGGTCTTATTCAACATCTTTATCAACGACTTGGATGATGGACTCAAGGGCATCCTGATCAAATTTGCAGATGACACCAAACTGGGAGGGGTGGCTAACACCCCAGAGGACAGGATCACACTTCAAAACAACCTTGACAGATTAGAGAACTGGGCAAAAACAAACAAGATGAATTTTAACAGGGAGAAATGTAAAGTATTGCACTTGGGCAAAAAAATGAGAGGCACAAATACAAGATGGGGGACACCTGGCTTGAGAGCAGTACATGTGAAAAGGATCTAGGAGTCTTGGTTGACCACAAACTTGACATGAGCCAACAGTGTGACGCGGCAGCTAAAAAAGCCAATGCAATTCTGGGCTGCATCAATAGGAGTATAGCATCTAGATCAAGGGAAGTAATAGTGCCACTGTATTCTGCTCTGGTCAGACCTCACCTGGAGTACTGTGTCCAGTTCTGGGCACCACAGTTCAAGAAGGACACTGACAAACTGGAACGTGTCCAGAGGAGGGCAACCAAAATGGTCAAAGGCCTGGAAACGATGCCTTATGAGGAACGGCTAAGGGAGCTGGGCATGTTTAGCCTGGAGAAGAGGAGGTTAAGGGGTGATATGATAGCCATGCTCAAATATATAAAAGGATGTCACATAGAGGAGGGAGAAAGGTTGTTTTCTGCTGCTCCAGAGAAGTGGACACGGAGCAATGGATCCAAACTACAAGAAAGAAGATTCCACCTAAACATTAGGAAGAACTTCCTGACAGTAAGAGCTGTTCAACAGTGGAATTTGCTGCCAAGGAGTGTGGTGGAGTCTCCTTCTTTGGAGGTCTTTAAGCA